TTTTTTTATTGTATTTTATTTTATTTGCTCTTGTTATTTATTTATATGGTTTTCGGTCGACTGATGTATTATTTTGTGTACGCAAATGTTGATTTTTTTCATAAAAAAAGATTTTATGTCTATTTTTTTAGCGCTGTTTTGAACGCTATAAAAACGCGCTTTGCAAACGATAAACAAATTTAAACCAAATTACGATTTTAGCACAACGCGTTTGTGTGTGTTGTGTGTTGTGTGAGTGCAAAAGTGAGGCAGATATGTGTGTGTGTGTGTATGTATGTGTGTGTGTGTGTGTGTGTGTAGATATAACTTCGATTCGTATATAGATATAGCTGTAGATATATAGATATAGATATGGATATAAGTAGTTGAACGGATAATCGCAGATTTCGTGTGTTAATGTCGCGGCTTGAACTTTAAAACTGGGCACAAAAATCTGAAAACGAAAAAAAAAAATTCAGAATCAGATATTTCGCATTGTTTAGTTCGCTGTGCTAGGTGCTTTTGTTGTGTTTGCTGCTGCTACTGTTCTTCTCGTTGTTGTTTTTGTTATTGTTATTGCTACTGTTGTTGTTGTTGTATTATGTTTACTCGTATTATAATTTGTTGCTGCTGCTAGGTGCAGCAGCGCTGCCGTCATGTTCGCCTCCGATCTGCCTCCGATTCGCCACATTGAAGCGCTCAATGAGCTTGAGTGTCATCCACTTAGGAAGCGCCAACCACTGAACTCGCCACAGCAACAACAACAACAACAACAACAGCAGCAACAACAATAACAATAATCCATGATGCTTGAGGGCGGCGTTAGCTGCGCAGGCGCAGGCAGAAACATACACTCTGAACAAAATCTTATATGAAAATCACCCTCAAAATAAAACGTTTTTTTTTTTTGTTGTGATATAATTTCTCAATATTTGGAAAAATACATTTAACTAACTCGAAATTCTCAAAAGTGTGGTGAATTTTTCAATTTTTAAAAGTAGAAACCCAAATTTCTTAGGAAAAAAACCTTTCTAACCAATTTACTGGCTCGTCTTTTATTTTAAAGTTTAGCTGTCTTTTGCCTCAGAGCTCGATTAGCTTATATTAAATAATATAAGGGTATATGGAACAACAAATATAATATAAGAATTCTTTACTATTCACCACACATGGAAAACAACACTCTGGAAATCAAACATGTTTCGTGTTACATTTTAGACAAGTAAACAAAGAAATTTCGAAATGCAAACCGTAGTTTTTAGAAAACCATAAGCAAAATGTTAGAAATTTACTTTCTGAATAATAGGGAGACTAACCATTGGCGCCAATTTATGGCCAATTTAGTGTTTAATAAAATTTGGGCGATTTTTTTTTTTTTTTAGTGTAGGTTGACAGCGACTGCGACTGCGACGCTGTCATAGTCGTCTGTGAGTGCGGGAATGATTATAATACAATGGACGATAATGCGAGCGATCATGTAAATTAGATTTGTCTCAGTTGTCGACGGGTATATGTGTGTACACATAGCTATAGCTATAGCTATAGCCATAGCTATAGCTAAAGCTGCGACAAGTCGAGCTGAGCAGCTCCAAAACAAATACAAAAAATATATATATATGTATATATATGTATATACATATACATAAATATATCAGATGACTTAGAATTATATGCTACAATATTTATTGCATTATTTGATAAAGTATAAGCAGTGACTGAGGCAATGGAAATAATATCAAGTATGCGCGCCGACTTAACTAAGTACGTAGAAGTAATCAGTATATATATATATATATAAAGATGTACATATGCAATGTAACGTAATGCAAAAATGTATGCTAAAATTCAATATTTATTTATATATGAACAGCAACAGCAACGAACGAAATAAAAATAATAATAAAAACGAAAAAAAAAACAGAAAACAGAAAAGAGGAAAAAAAAACATTCAACGAGCAAATTGAATTAATTCAATTAATTTGCATTGTAAGTACACATGAAAATGGCAGAATTGTAATAAAGATTATTGTGAGGAAGCAGGCAACTAACTAAAGTGAGTGAGCTTAAATGAATAACGTTTTGTGGTTGTGCCAAGTGCCCCACTCATAAGTAATTTGTGCAAGTTTTGTCAAGTTGTCAACTTGTTTTGCGCACAATGCGCTAATAGCCAGCGCCTGGCTGCCATTGTTGCCTGCGTTGCCATTGCTGGCGCTGCGGAAGGAAATGAAATCAGCATTATTGAGTACAATTCCTCGTGCTGAGCTAATTCAAATGAATGTCGCAAAGCGCGCGTAGTTTCTTGGTACCGTGACACAAAGCTAACTGTTATGGTATTTTTCTTGCTTGCAACGCTGTGTGCGATCTACGCTATGCAGCACTGTTTTCGTCGTTATCGATAACGATATTGTGCGATATCAAGCATGGCCGCCAACTCACTATCAAAGGTTCTTTTCCGGTTTCGTACACGACGAAGGAGGTACGCTGAATTGGCAAAGCCGCAAACAAATTTTAAAACATCGCAATAATAGCAATGTATAAACATACGATTCGCGCAAAAATATCAAAGAATATAAAGTGCTGCAATCGTTGCTCGTAAACTTACGAACAAATTGCAAATTTAAACGGCAACCAATTGACGTCAAAAATTGTGTTATTTGTTTTTTTTTTTTTTGTTTTCTGTGTGCCTGCAAAGCAGATAAAAATTTTTTTCTTGTTACTTGAAGTGTGACTAAAACATTGGTATTTACTATATTTTGTAGATATTGAACAATGGGTCGTTACTCTCGTGAGCCAGACAACGCCACCAAGTCGTGCAAGGCGCGCGGACCAAATCTACGTGTTCATTTCAAGGTAAGTTTTTCGCCAGGCGAATGGACGCCAAAATGTTGCTGTTGTTGTTGACATTTGTGGTTAGGTTTACTGTGTGTGTGTGTGTGTGTGTGTGTGTGCAACATAAATCAGTGAATCGCCTGTCAGAAATAAAGTGCAGCATTTCACTTTTGCATTGTTGCTAGAACATAAACTAGGAACAAGTTCATCAGCTGAGCGCGCCGACAAAAGACTCAAAGCGCCCTCTTCTTAACTCTTGTCCACAGCAATTAAGTAAATTGTTTGTGGGCACACTTAATATTTGATTTGCTCACATTTAATGCAGTGTGCAAGGAATTAGAGTGTGCCCAAAGCAAAGACCAGCCATGTTAAAACAGCGGCGAGAATCGCGTTCAATGCACCCGCCTCTACCTGTAGCATGGCATAATAGCTCTAAGATGCCGATTAAACATGGATAACTTAACTGCATTGTGCTTTTAAAGATTGTTCACTTAGCAAAGCTATCGCTAGGTGATTTAAAACAATCAAGTTGTGGGCACACTCATTATTTGATTTGCACGCTTTTAAGCCAGCGTGTTTTGAATTTGAGTGTGCCCAAAGCAAACACCAGTCATGTTAAAACAGCGGCGAGTATCGCGATCAATGCGCTCGTCTCTACCTGAAGCATGGCACACCCATGAATAACAACAGCAGCAACAGCACTTAATATATTATATATGTCAATAAATTTACGTTTCTGTTTTTTACATCCGGCTAGAACACCCACGAGACCGCACAGGCCATCAAGCGTATGCCTCTGCGTCGTGCGCAGCGTTACCTAAAGGCCGTCATCGATCAGAAGGAGTGCGTTCCATTCCGTCGCTTCAACGGCGGCGTTGGCCGTTGTGCTCAGGCCAAGCAGTTCAAGACCACACAGGGTCGCTGGCCAAAGAAATCGGCTGAGTTTCTGTTGCAGCTGCTCCGCAACGCTGAGGCGAATGCCGATTATAAGGGACTCGATGCCGATCGTCTGGTCGTCGATCACATTCAGGTGAATCGCGCACAGTGCCTGCGTCGCCGCACATATCGTGCCCATGGTCGGATCAATCCGTACATGTCGTCCCCGTGCCACGTTGAGGTCATTCTGTCCGAGAAGGAGGAGGTCGTCGCCAAGGCCGCCGACGATGAGCCCACAAAGAAGAAGCTCTCCAAGAAGAAGCTGCAGCGTCAAAAGGAGAAGATGTTGCGTTCTGAATAAAAACGAAAAATATATATATGTGTTCTGGAACCGGGGGCACAACTGCCCGGGCCGGTGTTAAACAACTGAAAAAGCGTCATTTTTTTTAACAATACAAACATAAACATACAGTCTCCACGTGTATTTGTGTATGTATATTTAAGGAAGCAGACTACAAATGCAAATGTTCCAAACTAAAATGCACCCAAAATTGTGTGATTTTGTTGTCTGTTTTGGACCGTTGAATTGGGAAAGTGCTGTTAATCGCTGCATATTCTTAATCAACACGGGCTGGTGCTACCGCTCTAAGCAAGAAAATCAATTATTTGGAGCAGGTTTAGCATCCTTAGGGGAACTGCAATCGGAGCCATAAATAAGTAGTTCTGTGTGTTTTGAGCTTGTCGCTGTGCTCAGCTGTTTTCTTTATGAAATCAGCTGTTTGATTAGTGCATGCATAACTCTATACAACACTGCTGGATTGCTTCTTCGCTCCCACAGTTAACTTGGCATTAATATCCCTCCGAAATAAAATATAACAATTCAGTTTTTCTTTTATTAATTTGTCTTTATTGCAGTCTATGATATTTTAGTTAATTTTTTGTAACATTCGCAGCTCAAACTTTCCAAATTCAACTTGGCAATGTTCGTTTTGGTCATGGGTTAGAAAGAGAAAGCATTAATTTCCACAAATTTGAGTGAGAAAAACTATAAATGATTATCAGTACTTACACCAAAACCTAGAACGCATCGCTTTCAGGGATTTGGATTCTCGAAAATCTGTTTTTGGCAAAATGTATTTAATATTTTGTGATATAGTTGTATGGCTCAATACACAAAATTTCCACAATTAAGAAATAGTCTGCATTTGTAGTACAGCCCTAGATAAGTATATCGTTTTCTGTGCTGTGCAACACTATGCATTGCGGATTTTCAACACTGCCACAGGAATTTCATTACAGCAGTTCGACGTAAACAACATTGGCGTTAAGTTCTCCATTTTAAATGTCTCTGGCGTTGCTCTAATTGCAAAATATTCGGATTCTATAAATTCCATTCATTTTGGTCGCAATAGCTAGCGAACACATTTGTAATACAAACTGCAAATCATGAAATGGGTAAGTTTCAACTCAAGGCGACAGGAACACATAAATGCGTGTCTGTGTGTGTATGCTTATGCATGAGTGCAGTTTCATTTGATTTTCTGTCTTCTATTGCCGCAATTAGTTCAGTTTCAAATTGATGCAAGGAATTTAAATATACATATGCATATATATTTGATTTTTGAATTTGTAGAATGCGCTTCCTGTTCAGTCAACAATAAAAACGAAATATTGTTAATTAAACTACTGAAAAAGTTGATCAGTCTATTCGAATAGAGGCAAAAGTGTGGGTAAGAATAATGCGATTCGTATTCAGGCGGTTATTTGTGAGCTCAATATTCATTGAAAAATACAACGACTATTACATTCATTGTGTTAATTTACAGTTATGCTTAAGTAGGATTATATTTATATTGATGCATGCGATACAAACACACATAGACACCATTTATAATAATTACGTACATCAAGCAATAAAAATAGCAAAACACTTAAAAATACTGTGAATGGCATTTAAATAGCAAATGCACTGTTTACAGAAAATGTCGGACTCACCAAGCAATGATGAGTGCGTCATAGTCGACGTGTGGCAACATAATATGGAGGAGGAATTTCGTACCATACGAAAGGTTGTGCAGAAATATCATTATGTTGCAATGGACACGGAATTTCCCGGCGTTGTGGCGCGTCCCGTTGGCCAATTTGATTCGATGACCGACTATCGCTATCAGTTATTACGCTGCAATGTCGACTTGCTGCGTATCATCCAGCTGGGACTCTCATTCATGGATGACGATGGCAACAAGCCACCCGGCTGCTCCACATGGCAGTTCAACTTCAAGTTCAGTCTAACGTGAGCGAAATTACTTATTTATCTTTGCTAATTGAAATATATATATATATATTTGATGTTATTTACAGCAAGGATATGTATGCACATGATTCAATTGAGCTGCTACATAATGCCGGCATACAGTTCAAGAAGCACGAAGAGGACGGCATTAATCCCACCGATTTTGCTGAGCTACTAATGAGTTCGGGCATTGTGCTAATGGATAACATTAAATGGCTATGCTTTCATTCTGGCTACGATTTTGGATATTTGTTAAAGATGCTCACGGATCAAAATCTGCCCGTCGCCGAGAGCGAATTTACCGAACTGTCAAATATATATTTCCCCAACATATTCGATATCAAAGATCTGATGAAATCGTGCAAGAACCTTAGCGGTGGCCTCCAAAAGGTCGCTAATCAGCTGGGCCTGCCACGCGTCGGCAACCAGCATCAGGCCGGATCGGATGCCCTGCTCACCGGCAAGGCTTACTTTAAAATGCGTGCGATGCAGCAGGTGCCTGAGGTACAGCCAACAACCTTTGGTATTCAGTTTCCGATTGCCCCATGTGCCTGAGCTCTCCAAGCACTTTTAGTCGATTCCTCGGACATTGCCATTGCGATTGCCAGAGCCTGATGCAGTTTGCAGCTTGCAGCCAACGGCATCAATCGTAGCACAGCAACAACAACACGGACCACAAACACTATTCCTTAAATACTAAGAATTTATGTATATATTCACCTATATATTTACACATACACAATCCGAGAGCTGTTGTTGCTGTGCTGGTATTTTTATTGCATGTAAAACAGCTCGATTTCGTTCAAAAACATAATAAGTTTTCGCTATATCCATCCGCTTGTAAGGTTGAATGTTCCTTAATTTGCACACCGTTCTCGCTCTCTCCCTCTCTCTCGCTCTCTGTCTCTCTCATTTTTACATTGTGTACATACTTTCACTTTTCACCTATTTTTTTCGTTTAATTTCGCAGTGGTAATGTTCCTTATTAGTTTTAAACGCCGCTGGACGCTTACGAAATATGCATTTTTGTTTGTTATGCAGCATGCAACAATGTATTTACAAAAAAAAAACAAAAAAAAGACAATTTTATAAAGACCAAACGATTTTGGAGCTTTATAGAGGAAAACAAACCACGACGTTAACATGCGAAACAAGACTGTTAATTTAATGGACACTTTACAAAAGAAAAGAAAATAAAAAGAATAATAATATAAATATAAATATATTTAATTTAAATTTTTATTTTGTATTTATCACATCTTACACCTCGCACATGTTGAACTTGTATCACCATCCTACTGACTCTCTTTCGCACAAAATATTTTATATTTGGATGTATTATTGAATACCAAAAGTATTTTATTTTTAATAATTTCGATAGCGATTTCGAAAGCTCTTTTTTATTTACAAGTGTTTCAAAATAAAGGATAATAAATAAAATAAGTGTTGGATGGTCAAAAACGACGATCTCAATTCGTAAACAATTTGTACAAATGAAAAAGTAATTTATTATCAGTTAATACTTTTATTTTTTTGGGAGAATGGGGAGATCTTCAAGAGTTATTTGTTGGCTGCTGCAAGAGCATGCATCCGCAGCTTATTACTGTTGGCCACGTTGAACAGAGGCTCGCGGCGCACAATTTCTGGGTTGTGATGCATGCTGGTCGCAATGTGCTGCTGGATGTGCTGTTTTCGCATGAATTCTTTGCCGCAGACGAGACAGGCATACGGTTTCCGTATGCTATGCACAAAATGATGGATATTTCGATTCTCGATGCGACCAAATCGCTTGTCACAAATCAGGCAGCTAAATCGCTTCTCGCCCGTGTGGCACAGCATATGTTGGCGTAAGTACACCGGATTCCCGAAAGTAGCATCGCATTGGGTGCAGCGTAAATCGCGCAACTTTGTGTGCCTCGACTTGATGTGATTGTCGAGCAGACGCCGACGCTTGAACTGCCTGTCGCATTGGTTGCACTTGAAGTTGGCCTTGTTTTGGTGCGTGGTCAGCATGTGGGTGCGCCAATTGGAACGCTGCGCAAAGCGGGCGTTGCACAGTTCACACTGGAAGGGTCGCTCGCCCGTATGTATGCGCTGGTGCTCCTCCAGCCACTGACGCCGGGCAAACTTCTGTCCGCAGTAGGAGCAGCAGTTTTTGCTTTTGCTCTGCTTGGCATCTATGGGAGGAGTGGGGCTGGCATCTGGCCTCGTCTTTAATGGCTGCTCCAGCGTACTATTCTTTTGGTAGTCACCACTATCGGAGTCCTCCTCAATCAAATCATCATCATGATCGAAGTATTCCTCGGTTGAATGATTTCTATTGTCGGAGCATTCGGAGCACTCTTCGATCATGTAGTCTGCGTCCTCATCGCACTCCTCAATCAAATCGTCATCCGTTGTGCCCATTTCACTGGGCACATCTTCTATTCCCTCTTTAGGCTCGTACAATTTAAGAGTTTCTGTGTGCCGATTTCTTATATTCGAGCATGTCTCAAGGAGTTTAGCCTGATATGTTTCATATTGAAGCAAGTCCATCTTGCAGCCGCTGCATAAATACTGCAACAAAGTGGGTTCAAGTTCGATTCGCTGAAATTCAGGTCAGGACTCACCGTGGAATGCAATTGCTCTCCGTGCAGTTTGTGGCCCAAAATCTGGCTTAAAATTGAACCCATTGAATTGAGTTCTTTCCCAGTGGGGGTAAATCGTTTTTCGAACATATTCCCGAATACTGTAACATCGTCAACACTGCAGTCGCACAGGTAGCAATGCTCTCTGGTATTTGCCTTGCCTTGCGCTAGACTCATTTTACTCAATTTATATTTGCAAATCAAACAATTTCCAACATACTCCTTTACGTCGTGACCATAGCCGGCAAAAAAATATATCGATATTGTGAGTGTACACTATCGATTGCAGCAACGATGCATGAATTATTGATAATTTTATCTAAAAGCATTGTTTATGGATCAGAAATAAGTTATCAATAATGGAAAACTCCATATGAAAAAACGGTGTTAAACAGGTGCGAAATATTTTGCAGCCGAATTTTGTTAGCCGGATTAGAGACTGCAAAACTAAAATCCATAATGTTAACTCATTGTTGACCTGTGTGGATTCTGTCAAAATAATGAACATTGATAAATTTTGACGGCTGTTATCGGCTATCGGCATTCCACCATAGAAGTGGAAAATTCATCGAAATGGAAATAGTAAATTCTGAATGGAAAATATAATTAATCTTCAAGAAAAGCGTAAAAGGTTATTTCAACACTTTGTTCTTATATAGAGGAGTCTTCCAGACGATAGCTCTCAAAACCGATTATTTGCTCGCCACTTGGTGCCAATCAAAATACCAAAGTATAGCACACTTTTTTGTAATCTGGTCTCTCTGTTACAATTCGATATAAAACACACACATATCGACAATCTAAATAGAAATATAACATTTGCAATTCGATTGTAGAGTTCTGGGATAAAGCGCCGGAAAAAGTTGCGTTTATTGACGAATTAGAATTCATTTATCTACAAAGAAAAAAAATCTACAATCAAGTGCTTGCTTCTGTATAAGTGCGTATGTGTGTGTTATTTTTTTTTGTTCTTTGCTTCTTGTCGCATGTAAAACCAATTTGTTTGACTTTTTTTAACAATTTTTTTTCGAGCTGTGAAAAACTTTTAAGGTGTAAAGTACTGAGCATTTGTTTTTAGCGTGTTTCCTTTTTGTGCCAGTGGGGCCAAGGAGTATAACTAAACTATAGCTCAAGTGTCGAGTGCGTTTTTGAGGCGGCAACAATAACCCAACAATCAAGATTTCATATCAACGAAAATTGTTTACTTCCAATAAGAGTTAGAAGCAACCCCAACCAGAATAAATGGCAACAAATGCTAGGGGTTATTTTCGCTATTTGTATGCGTGTGTGTGTATGTGTATTTTGTGAGTTTTTCTAATGTTACTTTTGCGCTGATATCTTTTGTTCTAATCGACAAACAGAAATTAATATGTTCCATATATACATAAGAGTGTGTGTGTATAAAAAGCTGCACGCCGATGATGAGCTCATGATGAGGTGGTGCCCTCTGCTCTCAATATTTACGATACATGTATATTTTTTTAATACTGCACACGCACACACGCATACAAACAGCCGCCAAGTGGCAGAGACGTCGCAGTCGCGTCGCCGCCCCTATGCTGTCAATGTTTGCGTCATTCAGCCGCCTCCCCACCCATGCTTTGGGACGCCATTATACATATTGTTGTTGTTGTTGTTGCTGTTCTAATTTTATTCAGCGTCGCGAGTAATTTTTTTTTTTTTATCATATCTAACTTGGCATTTAAATTGAATAATACAATTGTCACGGGACTTGTTTCTGATTGTTGTTGCGTTGTCGATACAATTGCATTAAATATATTTTTGTGCTTGATTTGAGCGTGTATGTTTCATCATTTATTATTCAGATTATAACTGAGAACAAGTTGTTGTCCACGCCCAACAGCGCAAATACAAGCAACCAAAACAAAACAAAACAGAACAAAAACAAATTCAAATCTATACGAAAAGAGAAGTGTGCTTGAGTGAAATTAAAAAAGCTTAGCATACTTTCAGGCATAGCTGAAATACTTGAGCAGAAAAAAGGCGTATCGTGCTTTCAGAGGCAATTGACTTTTGTTTACGTATTTCCATATATTATTATTTATCGTTTTTATTTAGCATTTACTCGAACACGGTTTCGATCGGTGTCTTGCTTGACGTTAAATAACGCGTGTTTATCAATAACCAAGAAATCCTTAACGTAAAGGAGGACTACATACCCAAACAGAGAGCGTCTTCCAATCATGGGCAACATACACACAACGGGCCCAAATGAGGCGTTAATTGTTTCAGGTGAGTTTTGCGATAAAACCCTTCAATTTCTCTACACATATAAATTCAAACACAATCATAAACATACACACGCTTTTCCTGTCCGCCCTTTAGTAGTAGAGCCAAATGGGTACATTATACACGCCATAAAGTAAAACTATTATTTGGAAGCACCAATAGCAATATTCGATGTACATATAGAACGATTGGCTGATTATCGATAAACTGCTTCGGGGATTTGTAGCTGTATCGAGGATGTGAATAAATAATTGCTGGTCATCTATGTGTAGTAGGCAACGAAATTCATATCATTAAACAAATACCACAATGCAATGTAAAATACACGGTTGCATCTCGTGCTTTATGTAATCGGGAGAGATCGATAACAATTGTAAATAACATAAGCTTAACATGAACATGCAATAAACTCATTCTTCTGTGGAGACCGTTTGAAGAGGGTGGCCAGATGAATAAAGAAATTTTCTGCCACAATTGTGACTAAAAAGAGTTTCCTTCCACAAAAGATGGCTTATTAATTAAACTCCTCAATATATATTATATATATATTTTTTTTATTCAATTTACTTTACATATAAAAAATGTATACATTTGTTATATAATAGATCTAGATTCTAGATCTTATTAGGTGTTTTTATCTGTGTCTCAAAATTATTATAAAAATATGTTTAAGACTAATTAAAGCATATTAACAAAATTTTGATCTAGATATCAAGGTGCTACTGAAATATATCATATATCATATATATTTAATTGATTTTTAATAAATGAAAGAAACACCTAAAGCTATTCCCAATTTTAACCAGTGCGGCCAGGCTTGCTTGTTTTGTTTTTGTTGTTTGTTTTGTAATGCGAGCATTGCGAGAAAAATGAGTCCCCTGCTGATGCATATTGCATATCTTATCCAACAACAATGACAGTTACAACCAGGCTGACAAAAGCATGATAAACAACAACAATAGCACCAGTATCAGTCAGAGCTTAAGCCTTTGCACATTGATAACCACTTGTGTGCACAACCCCCAAACATCTAAAGACCCCCCATGCCACCTCCCCCCCCCCCCCCCCCTCCCTGCAAATTCTGTGCGGCATACCCCACTCCTGCCTCGGTACAGCCAACAGCATCCATAACCAAGTTTTTCAGTTTCATGTTTTGACTATTTTATGGCTGGCGACGTCAAACCACCCCATTTAGCTTAGCTCTGTGCTTGCTGTCTGCCTCGTAAGTTTTTCAACCCTCGTTACTTGGGACTGGGTGAATGCACTCTGCGGTCGGTCAACCCCCAACTTGACGAAAAGGCAACCGGGTAGGGGGGCATCGCTCCTCGCTCCTCGCTCCTCGCTTCTTGCTCGTCGCTCATCGCTCGTTAGGCGATTTTATTTAATTAACTTGCTGAAGCAATTAACCGTCTTGGAGCACTTTTTCCTTGCACGCGCACTTCTGGTTACCCTTCCACTTAGCTCCAATCGGCCCTTATCAGGTCAGCCGCCTTCTCGCCGATCATAAAGGCCGCTGCATTTGTGTGTGCTGTGGGTGGCAATGGGATGATGCTGGTATCCACCACACGTAGCTTTCGCACGCCATGCACCTTGAGCTGCGGACTGACCACAGCACTGGGATCTGTGGCTGGACCCATGCGACAGGTGGCCACTTGGTGGTGCAGTGTGTACGACATGGTGCGAATCGAGCAGCGCCAGTAATCATCCGATCCAAAGCTGAACTCCTCACAGCCAGGCACTGGGCGATCGAGCAGTGTGGTACCAATTGCTTTTAGGGCGGGCATCTGGGCTATCCGTAGGGTCTCCTTGATGCCATCAAGCAGATACTCCACATCCTCCTCGTCGAGAAAGTACTTGGGATCTATTTTGGGCCAGGTGAAAGGATCGCGCTTGTGCAGCCAGAGGCGACCCACGGACTTGGGATGGAACTGCATTACAAGCACCGTGAAATGATCCTGCTGCGCCATTTGCAGCGGTCTGAACATAGTGTCATAAATCTCATCCCTAAAATTGGCGCCAAGCTTGAGAGCGGTACCATCATCGCTAGCCAAGCTGCCCGCTACCAGAATAAACTCCAGATCTGGCCAATCTCTCGGCAGCGTCGATCGTGGCGACTTCAGGAATGCTAACGCCTCCACGCCGCCAATAGAGCTGAGACGCGTTGCTCCATTGCCGGCCAAATAGAAGGAGAGTATATCTGGTAGGGTTATACGCGACGTAAAGATGGACTGGCCCGTTGTATTCGTGACAAAAGTGGGTCCAAAGTGGCACATGTGATCGTACAGGAGCTTACCCACCGGCAGCGCCTGTATCACGGGCAACCCGATGGCCTTCAGATTGTCCTCCGGTCCAATGCCCGACAGTATCAGCAACTGCGGCGAGTTGAAGGCGCCCGCCGACAGGATGACCTCCTTGTGGGCTATAAATCTGTATTTGGTCCGCTTGTAAACCAGTTCAATGCCCTTAGCTGATTTGCTGGTCTCGTCAAAAAGTACACGGGTCACCCGCGTAAATGGAAAGATATGCAGATTAGGTCGACGATTGCGCACGGGTTGAATGTAAGCGGAGAAGGCGCTGTGCCGGCGCCCATTAATTGTGGTGGCCTGCACATAGGAGACGCCCATCTGCGACTCCCCGTTGTAGTCGGTGTGCGGATGTCCAGCCTCCACTGAGGCAGCGACAAAGGCATGTGCCAACTGGGTGCGAAAACGCACATTCTCGACCCTGAGCGGACCGCTGTGATTGTGATACGGTGAGTGTTCCAATCCCTGTAGCTGGGCGGACTCGCTGCGTAGGAAGTAGGGTAGGACCTCGTTGTAGCTCCAGCCGTGATTGCCACGTTCCGCCCAGGCATCAAAGTCGCGACGATTGCCGCGATTGTATATCATGAAATTGATGGAACTAGTGCCGCCCAGGACTTTGCCACGCGGCAGGGCGCACTCCTGGTTGTGCATGCCGCGGCAGGCGAAACGCTGCGGCACTGAGCGATAGTTCCAGTTGGAGGCAGTCATCTGCATTGAGGGCGCCAGCAGGGGCATTAGATGCATGATGTCCTCCACACCGCCAGCTTCGATGAGCGCCACTCGCCATTGAGGATTCTCGGAGAGGCGAGCGGCCAGCGTGCAGCCAGCGGCACCAGCGCCGACCACAATGAAATCATAGCTGGCCAAATTCTGAGGCACTGCAACCAGACATAAATCAAATGCATTAAGTTAACAGAACTAAATCCGATTCAACTTACCACTTGGACGCACTGTCTGCTCTATGAGATTGCTCAGACCCAGCAGAGGCAGCTGGTCCAGCAGGCGAGTGTTTTGTGAACTGGCCACAGAGAGTGTTGTTATCAGCGTGAGAAGCAACATTTCACTGATTCCCAGTCCAAATGGGATTAGGTTTTATAAATCTGTCCACAATTCCAATTAGCGAGTTCATCAAGTGTCAGCTATGACTCAAGTGCACCTGAAAGTACTTTCACGTATATTCGGATACTCGGTTCGCATGCTTTTAAAAGGTATACAAAATATACATTTATTATGTATATAAATAACAGAGTGATGACTGTATCACAATCAAATGGGAATGTTGCAGTCGGGCGTAATCGACAGCGACATACTCTGTTACCAATAACCAATACCAGTTGATAACAGGTAATAAAGAACAAACATTTTTCTTACCATCGTTGAAGAAGGTATCAATAGTAATCTACCTGCCAAGTTTGCTAACTTTATCTCTTCAACTGTGGACGATATACGGAGGGGATGGATTGGATGTGATCCTAAAATGTATTTTCGCCTTTTAAAGGGCGCTACTAGTAATATAGAGCTTTAAAATGGTGTTCTCGATATGGTTTTATCGATTCTCACCATCTGGCATATCTCTTTTAAGGGCTGGAGTGGGCGTGGTCTGAACATGCATATATCAATCTTTGCCGGAGGTTACCAGCTTCCCTTCCAAGTCTGATGACTATCTTTAAAATTGTAAGAGCTATACGCTTTTATCGACTTACACTTTCAGAAATATTGCTTCTGGCGATATTCTTATCTATTTTTTATCGATACTTAAAGGCGGTTACCGGTAATTTGAAAAATCTTCAATTTAATTTATCTTCTTAACAAAATGCATTTAGTAGATATTTTATGCGAGTAAATATGCATACATAATATTGTTACAGGGTATGCGCAATCATAATATTCATAATGTTCATTGGTGCGGATTCGTTTCGCCTCGAAAACACTACCCAAAAGTCTAAAATTACTGCAGTCTATCGATTTAATACATTTTGGGTCACGCTGGAAACCCGTTAGACTGGTTCTCATTCTCATTCTCATTCTCGATCTCGTTCTTATGTTCTCATTGTCCATTCTCCTTTATCGATTCTCATTCGCATACGTCATGCTTTCGACTCGCATTTTATTGACCCATTTACAGTTTTGAGTCATGCCCCAGATTCAGATTCGGCTATAGGTCATTTGGAGCTCAGCTCCAATCGGCCCTTATCAGGTCAGCCGCCTTCTCGCCGATCATAAAGGCCGCTGCATTTGTGTGTGCTGTGGGTGGCAATGGGATGATGCTGGTATCCACCACACGTAGCTTTCGCACGCCATGCACCTTGAGCTGCGGACTGACTACAGCACTGGGATCTGTGGCTGGACCCATGCGGCAGGTGGCCACTTGGTGGTGCAGTGTGTACGACATGGTGCGAATCGAGCAGCGCCAGTAATCATCCGATCCAAAGCTGAACTCCTCACAGCCAGGCACTGGGCGATCGAGTAGTGTAGTACCAATTGCTTTTAGGGCGGGCATTTGAGTTATCCGGATGGCCTCCTTGATGCCATCGAGCAGCTCCTCCACATCTTGCTCGGCGGTAAGGTACTTGGGATCAATGCGCGGCCATTCCAACGGACTGCGATTGTGCAGCCAGAGGCGACCCACAGATTGTGGTTTGAACTGCATGATGAGGAAGGTGAAGTGATCTTTTTGGTGCCTGGCCAGCTTTCGATACATCTTCTCATAGATTTCTGGCTTAAAGTTGGCGCCACGCGTCAATGCAGTGCCTTCATCGCTGGCCAGGCTGCCAGCGACCTGAATAATCTCAATATCTGGCTGTTGGGGCGGTGTCTGAGCCGTTGGCACCTTGATGAAGGTGAGCGACTCCACGCCGCCGATGCTCGACAGCTGCGTGTCCGCGCGGCCCAGCAGAAAGTCCTTCATCATGGGCGCTGTGAACTTGGAAGTAAAGATGGACTGGTTCGTTGTATTCGTGACAAAGGTGGGTCCAAAGTGGCACATGTGATCGTACAGGAGTTTACCCACCGGCAGCGCCTGAATCACGGGCAACCCGATGGCCTTCAGATTGTCCTCCGGTCCAATGCCCGACAGCATCAGCAACTGCGGCGAGTTGAAGGCGCCCGCCGACAGGATGACCTCCTTACGTGCACGCACCTGATGCCGAACACCGGCGTGAATCAGCTCGATGCCATATGCGGAATTGGTAGTGTCATCAATGAGCACTTTGGTGACCCGCGCCATGGTTAGTATGTGCAGATTCTTGCGTCGCAAATTGCGCACTGGCTCAATGTAGGCGCGAAAAGCGCTCTGCCGACGACCCTTGAGCGTGTTCGCCTGCACATAGGAGACGCCCAGCTGGGACTCCCCGTTATAGTCGGTCCTAGAGTGACCCGCCTGCTGTGCAGCACGTACATACGCATGCACCAACTGGGTGCGATGGCGCACGTCCTCGACATTAAGTGGACCGCTGTGATTGTGATACGGTGAGTGTTTCAATCCCTGCAGCTGGGCGGACTCGCTGCGTAGGAAGTAGGGAAGGACCTCGTTGTAGCTCCAGCCGTAATTGCCACGTTCCGCCCAGGCATCAAAGTCGCGACGATTGCCGCGATTGTATATCATGAAATTGATGGAACTAGTGCCGCCAAGGACTTTGCCACGCGGCAGGGCGCACCGATTGCCGGGCATCCCGTGGCAGGCATGACGTTGTGGCTGCGATTGATAGTTCCAGTTGGAGGCGGTCAGCTGCAGACTGGGTGCCAGCACTGGCACCTGGTGCATAATATTCTCCACGCCGCCTGCCTCAATCAAATAAACATTCCAACTGGGATTCTCCGAGAGGCGAGCGGCAACAGTGCAGCCAGCGGCCCCGGCGCCCACCACAATGAAATCGTAGCTCGAACGTGGCACTGTCCGGGATTTCAGTTAATTTGAGATGTTGGCTGGATTGTTGTCGAACAGTAGATGCATCTACTTACGATCGGTGTAGAGCGGCAGGTTGATCACATTGCCCAGACCCAGTTGACGCAGCTGCTCCAGATTGGGCTGTTGGGCCATTGCCACGGCCATTGTCAGGGCCAAGACAAGTGGAAGTAGCTGTCCAAGTGAATGCTGCTGCTGCTGCTGCCTGTTCGTCGTCGTCATCGTTGAAGAACTGTTTGCTTGGCCAATTTTCTGCCGACTGAAATAGTTTCTCTTATCCATTTGAATTTTCTGTGCGCACAGTGGAACCAGTTCAATATAAATAGTTTGCTTACAATTTGCTTGACCTATTATCAGTCAATGGTTATATGTTTTTTTTGTTAGTTGGTTTTTGGTTTTATATTTGATATAATGGAACTTAAGAACAAACAAAAAACAATTTATGATAAAGTTTGCCTCGGTTTTATCTGGTGTTTGTGCCAATTTTGCTTTCCATACACAAGCCTGTAATGCATATCCATGCATGACTGATGACTTTATTACCATATTCCGTCTATTTTTGTACACCTTAAGGGTTCTTAATGTTCGCATTATGTCTGTTCTACTTTCCCTTTATATGTATATACACAGGTGGTTTTCTTTTAGGTTTCATACACATTTGTGTCACTGTGCAACACTGGCTTGTGGCACTTCTTTTATCTGGGTGCTGAGCTCAGTTTCCATTTGAGCTCAGCGTATTTTATTGCTTATTAGCGCTTCTCTGTTTTTTACATCTCTTCCCCTGCTATCCCCCTATACAAGTCTTGGCTTAGCACTTTTTTTGTTGCTTAGGTTATTGGCATTGCCGTGGTTTCCTGCCAACATCTTGTTATCTGGTTCTGGTTCTGAATCTGGTTCTGGTTCTGCTGCGTCTTGTGTTTCTCTCATTCTGGTTATTATTGCGGAGACTATAAAAAAAAAACAACAACTTTTGACACCGACTTGCCACATTCGACTCCATCGTGGATTTGGACGCTGATTCATCAGCTGCCTATCTAATAAGGCAACCCCATTGAGCTCTACTTGTATTATTTTTGTTGTCTTTCTCTTTTTGTTGTTTTTTTTATTCGTTTTTCCCCATGACAAAGTTGAAAGAAAACATAATTACGAGTCGGGAATGCATCATGCGCAATCAGAGCAGATTAAAAAGGATTTGGACTGACAGCCACCCTGTGCCAGCTTTTGTCAACATACGCCCCCTACCCTTCCCCCATCCCTACCCTACTCTTACCCCTCAATCCACACAGTCCGCTGGTTAGCAGCAAAAAACAACCCCCAAACATATTGAAATTAGGTATGCAATTGTGGCTCCATACACCTCCCTTCATCCCTCTCAATGGGCGACCACTTGCGAATCTGGCAATTGGGCCTGCCAGAGTTTTGGTCATTCAATCGTTTTATTCAGACAACCTGTCTGTTTATCTGTCTGTTTGTCTAGCTGGCTGTGCATCTCTAAAAGTACCTGCCGGTCCCATTGTGAATTCATGAATATTTGCTCCTTTGATAATGAAAATTCCGAACTTAGATGGAGGGGGCGCGAAGCGAAACGGATGCAGGATAACCACAGCCAAAATCCACACTCATACTTTGGCTACATGCAGGGAACGCATACCCAACTCGAGTAGGGTTTCATTGCACAGATTGACAGCATGTTGTTAACATGTCATGGAGTATTTATGTGTACTATGGATGCATAGAGTATTGAAATCGACTCTGAATATATTTCAAATTTGATTATTCATGGTCTTTGTTACGTTTAGTTATCTCTAAAAGACGCTCATTTAACTTTTGAAATCAAGTTTGCATATAATGGCATTTAATAGATACTCGCCATATTTTTGTCGCCAAGTGTAACTCACTTTACTAATGAGAGAATATATTTCTAAAATCAAGGGTTTTCTTTTCTCAGTTTCTCAGTATAACTTTCAGGGTCTTCATATATGGGTTTGTTTCTTACATTAGTATTTCAAAATTGCGCATATACAAAGTAATTAGTTTACTCTTGTTTTGTGTTAAGTTTTAACAATTGAATTACATATTTCAACTGAATCTAATTGAGTCACTATATTACATACATTTGTTATTTGTTTACAACAGTATTTGGGTATTTGGAAAACAGGCAAACAAAAGTTGTTAGCCGATAATCAAAAGCTTCTTTGAAGCTGTAGTTTGCTTCAAAAGTTTGCTGCATACTTTTAAGCGCAGCTCATGAAAGCAGCTTATGCTTAATTTATCTTGCTTGAGAATAAGTATGCATACATACATACTTAAATACATACATACTTACATACATACATACATAGTATATTATATAATTCAAAGTGCATTAAATACATATATGTTTGTATGTTAATTGTACTATCAAGGCAAATAAGAACTTGAACACCTCCCTGAGCATGCAAATCGATACATTAAAATAAAATGCATCAATTCTATTTTTACGATTAACACTCGACTAGAAAATACTTTATCGATCGATTTGAAATACTTATTGTTGGCATATGAATTGGACTTTGGTAAGGGGAAGTGTAAGGCTTAAGGCTAAACTTGAACTTATTTTGGTGTTTCATATTCAATGGGAGTCAATTATTTTTAATATATTCTCTTGATTGAATCCAATCAGATATGCTCGTTCGCTCAAATTGTTCATAATCAAAACACAATTTTGTCGCACTCAATAAAGTATTAAAATGAAGCCAAATTGTTTGGGTGCTGCTCGTAGATCGCTTCCGCAACAATAAAAGTCGAAAAACAGTCATTTATAAACCTAACCTAAGCAAAAAAAAAGAGAGGCTAAAACAATAGCCAAAAGCGAACAAAAAGGTGGCATTTGAATTGGGCGAAGTAGCAGACTTCATGGCTTCCAAATTAATGATGTTGTTGGTTTTATTGTTGCGGTTGTTGTTGTTGTTGTTGTTGGCACTGTTGCCGTTGCTGTTGATTAGCATGAAAATCGGTAAAGAGCAGTGAGTAAAGATGACAATAAAGAGAACGAGTATGAAGTAAATGAAAAGATGCAGACAAATGTGAGAAAAAAGAGAAAATATTTTTAATTTAATCTACAAATGAATACAGATAAATGTTAAGACAAAATACAGATGCAGGCTCACACACACACACACAGATACATATTAATCAATATTCATATTCACATTCGAATATTCATATGGTTTAAAGATTCAGTTGCTAAATGCTGAGATGAAGATGAAGAATTAAATATTTACACATAAGATATACAAATATATATAGATACAGATGGCTTGATCAATAAATAGAGCAAAAGAAGAAGAAATAAATGTAAAACGATATTTCAATGTCAATGACAATGTCAATGCCAATGTCAATGTCAATGTCATTTTCAATGCCAAAGTTCCGTACCGGGCTGTACCTAAAAATGGCAGACAAAAAACCCATTATCAAATGGTTTATCGCCATTCGCAGACCTTTGCCCGAATGAGAGAACCTGTTCGTGTATAAAATTATTGAGAACCAGTGCTCATAAATTTCTTAAAATATTTATTGTTGTCTTAGGCACTATCTTAAAATTAAAATTATAAATCAGTTCATTATGTAAAACAGATAGAGTTAAAATGCTGGCAAGAACTAACTAAAGCAACGTTCAGAGTTGGACAGACCACACTTGGCACACACTCCCCAACAAACTGGGACTAATTGAACGGGGCTTAAACCTGACGTGAAACTAATGTTAAACTAAAGAAAATCCATATTTGAAACTGGGGCTTATTTGATGAAGCCATAATCCTGCTTAATCATATCGGCTGCCTTCTCGGCAATCATGAAGACTGGCCCATTGGGATGTCCGGACATGATTTCGGGCATAATGCTGGCATCGGCCACACGCAGATTGCGTATGCCATGGACACGCAGACGGGCATCGACAACCGCAGCCCGATCCGACTTGGGCCCCATTTTGCTGGTGCCCGAGTAGTGATAGATGGTAAAGGTGAAGTGGCGCACATAGCAGGCCCAGTAGGCCCAGCTCTTATACGGATGCTGTTTGCATGTGGGTATCTTGCGCTCCCACAGCTGGGCATCGATGGCCTTCATTCCGCGCTGCTCCATCAGACTGATGGCCTTTAACAGGCCACGAACCGAGATGTCCACATCGTAGGGATGGGCAAAGTAATTGGCATGAATCAGCGGATACTTGAATGGATCGCTGCTCTTTAGCATGATGCGGCCGCGACTCTTTGGTCGCAATATCATTGGGAAGATCATAAATGCATTAAGCGACTTGTCTTCGATCTCGGCGAACAGTGAATCGTAAATGGATTTCTTTAGGCCAAAGGCACGTGAAATTGCTGGATTGGAGGACATGGAGCCGCCCACCAAAAAGAGCTCAATGTCTGGCCAGCCATCCTCATCGCGTTCATGATCCAGATCCCAAAATGCGATCGCCTCACATCCGCCGGGCGAACCATAAGGACCCTCCCTGCGATTGAATCGAGTTAGCCAGGTCGGGTTGGAAAAGTCCTCAAATTTCAGCGATGTTGCATTCGTTGTAAATGTCACCGCCGGCGCTGTATGATCCTGCAGATTGTATCCTACAGCCAGATCCACAATCGGCTTGATGCCCACCTCACGCAAATGTTTGGCGGGACCCACACCGGAGAGCATCAGCAGCTGTGGTGTATTGATGGAGCCAGCCGAGACGATCACCTCTTTGCGAGCCAGCACCTTCTTCATGTGTCCATCAGTCTGCACCATGATGCCATAGGCGGTCTTTGTCTGTGGATCGATGAGCACCTTGGTCACCAGAGCATTTTTCTTCACATGGAGATTGCTCCGCTTGCCCTTGAGTGGATAGAGATAGGCACGATTGGAGCTCCAGCGTGTAGAGTTGCGTGTGGTGGTGTGCAGGAAGGCGACACCGTTCTGAATGCGTCCATTGTAATCGCGATACTTTAAGCCATCCTGTTGGGCCGCATCGACAAAGGCCTCTGCAATTTTGGAGCGCCAGTTAACGTAGCTGATCTTTACTGGGCCATTACGTCCGACATAATCCTCCTCGGCATCTGGGACGCTGCTGCCCTCGTATTTCTTAAAATAGGGCCGCACATCTTTCCAGCTCCAGCCGGGATTACCCAATGCTTCCCAGCGATCGTAGTCACGACGATTGCCCCTTGTGTACATCATATAGTTGAGCACGGAGCTGCCGCCCATCACTTTACCACGCGGCCAATTGCAGCGATTATTGTTCATGGCGAGGCAAGCATGGTCCGAGGGCTGTGTGCGATACTTCCAGTTCATTTCGCCGAGCTGCAAAAAGTGAGCCACAATGGGCACATCCATGACCAGACGCTCCGGTCCGCCCGCCTCCAGCAGCAACACTTTCCATGCGGGATTTTCGGAGAGGCGAGCGGCCAAAGCACAGCCAGCGGTGCCGGCGCCGACAACAATAAAATCATATTCGCCCTCCATTTCTATGGTATTGTCAAAGTTCTCTAGGTCCACATCGGACTGACCACGTCGCAGGAAATTGATAGTCTCGAATATCACATTTTCGCTCTGGGCGATAACCATAGCCAGGCCTGTCAGGCCCAGCAGCAGCAGGCACAGCAGCCTTTGGTTTACATTTATTTTGGCCATGTTTAAGCACTTCACTTGTTTTCACTTTTTGTTGATAAATCAAAAAAAAAAAATAAAATAAAAATAAAATAATAGTTGCAGTTCTCTTGTAGATTCTTGAGTGTTGCTCAGAGTTCTAAGACGACGCTTGCGGGTTCGTCTCTTATAGTGCGTACTGTGCGCGCATGCGAGGCCCGTGCCTTTGGTTCGAACTCGTAACTGGTAATGCTGACTATCGCACTGTCCAAGTTCAATTTAATATTAAATACGAGCGTCGCCGTCTCGGCCGAATCGTGTTTTGTTGCCAATGTTTTCGGCTGTCGTTCGAACGGCAACGTTATCTTTGTTGTTGTTCTTGTTGTTGTTAACGTTGACTGCCAAGAATCTTCAGACTAGCAAACAACAGCAGCAGCAGCAACAGCAGCAGCAGTGGCATGACTATGGACACGTTCACAAAGCCAAATAGAAACCGAGACTTGAGCGAACGCACTCTGACATTGACTTGAGCTGATTGTTCACATGATCAACGAACGCAGTTCGATCATTGACCAAATTGCGGAAGCTACTTAAAACTGTGCAGCAAAATCAAGCCAAGCCAAGCTAAGGGAAATCAAGGGCCTAACTTCACTTTTGCTGCGACAGAGTGTCCCCCATTGCGTTCAACGCGGAAGGGCGTTCAACAATTCATTTTTATTAGCGAGAATATGTCAAACCATTGATGAGCACAACGCATAAATTGTCTGCAACAATCTCTGGGTTGATCGACAGCATTCACACCAACGTTCTTTGTCCCAAAGTGGCTATAAATTGCATTTAATTCATTCTTGAGCTGGCAAGGCCATTTTAGGGGAGGTAACAACACGTAAAATTTGCACAGCGATCGCACAGACGATCTTTTGCGCCTGTCCTTGTCTTCTGCATTTATTATATGCTGCTCATGCTTATACTTATACCTATTTTTATCCGATCTTCTGTCAGCAACTCCTGTATAACCATAAAAAACAAGACAGAATGTTGCAGTCGGGCGTAACCGACTGTGAAATACTTACCATAAGTAATACCCGCTGATAATAGGTTGCAAAGAACAGGGTGGGCTTAGTCAAGAAATACCGTCCAAGTTAACCTTTCAAATTGCGGTAGATAAAGGCTTCTGTCAATTTTGGAGGCGGGAGTGGGTGTGGCCGAACAAAATTGTTGGAACATTTTCCCAGTAACGTTCCTTCTAAGTTTGGTAACAGTAGCTCTTAAGCTCTGGAAGATATAGGCTTTTGGTGGCGTTAATAGGCGTGGCCAAAAAAAATGTTGAAGGACGATATTAGTAATCTACAATCCAAGTTGTTGAGGTGGGCGTGGCATAAGTCAATCTTTGAAGGACATCGCCAACAACCTACAAACCAAATTTGGTGACTATAGTTTTAAAATTGTGGGAGATATGTGGCCCCCTGGTGGACGTAGCACTCCAATTTGTATATTTTGTCTGTCCGGGGCACAGACCAATATATGTTCCAAGTTTCAAGTCTCCGTCAAGTCTCCACCAAGTCCGCATGACGGACATTGCACAAAACCAATATACTATGATACCTTCCCTATCAAACCATATAAATTAAAAAAATTTAAACATTCAACAAAAAAAACACGTATACAAGGGATAATGAGAATTTGTTGTCTTCACATTGTAGAGAGGTTGAGAAGACCACTCATCATTGTAATTTATACAATTATCTGACTGCAGCTTGGTAACAAGATCACCAATCGATCTTCTTCTTGCTGTTATTTGTTGTTATTGAGACAATTTAAATGACTTTTTCGCTAGACGTAGTTGTGATCCTGCTTGATCATATCGGCTGCCTTCTCGGCTATCATAAAGATCGGGCCATTGGGATGGCCCGCAACCAGATAAGGCATAATGCTGGCATCCACCACACGAAGATTGCGAATGCCATGGACACGCAATCGAGCATCCACAACGGCACTGGGATCGCTCTGGGGTCCCATTTTAGCCGTGCCCGAATAATGATAAATCGTAAAGGTGAAGTGGCGTGCATAACACGCCCAATAGGCGCTGGTCTGGCGTCCATGTTGTCGGCAGGCGGGCAGCTGCTTATCCAACAGACGGGCATTAATGGCCTGAAAGGCCGGCTGGTCCAATAGGCTGACCGCTTGCTGGATGCCGCGCACTGCGATATTGAGATCATAGGGATCCGCAAAGTAATTGGCGTAGATCAATGGATGCAGCTGTGGATTGCTACTGCGCAGCTTGATGCGACCGCGGCTCTTCGGTCGCAATATCATCGGAAGGATCATGAATGCATTTGATTGCTGACGGCTCTCTTCACCAAACATCTGTTCATAGATGTCCGTTCGAATGCCAAAGGTCAGTTTTAGTACATCATTTAAATGGATGGCACCGCCAACACTTATGAGCTCTACATCCGGCCAGTCCTTGGTACGCTCATTGCCATCCAGTGCATAAAAGGAAAGGGCCTCCACGCCGCCCGGAATACGCATCGGTCCCTGGCCACGCAGAAAGCTACCCACCGCTTCCGTGGTGAGCATTAGACTTGGTTTCAGTGAACTGCTATTGCACAAAATGGTTATTCCCGGCGCCAAATGATCCTGCAGATTAAAGCCCACAGCCAGATCCGCAATGGGCTTGATGCCCACCTCACGCAAATGCTTGGCGGGACCCACACCGGAGAGCATCAGCAGCTGTGGTGTGTTGATGGCTCCAGCCGAAAGGATTACTTCCTTGCGGGCGAGCACCTTCTTCATGCGTCCATCAATCTGCACCATGATGCCATAGGCGGTCTTTGTCTGTGGATCGATGAGCACCTTGGTCACCAGAGCATTCTTCTTCACATGGAGATTGCTCCGCTTGCCCTTAAGTGGATAGAGATAGGCACGGTTGGAGCTCCAGCGTGTCCCGTTGCCAATGGTGGTCTGCAGATAGGAGACGCTCAGCTGCGACTCGCCATTGTAGTCGCCGCGTGGCAGACCCGACTGCTGCGAGGCCTCCACAAAGGCATCGGCACTAGGAGTTCGATATGACGAATAGCTAATCTTCACCGGACCCCGGCGGCCAGGGCGTGCATATCCTGTGTCCGCGTCCGGTATGAGAGAGCCTTCGTATTTGCGAAAATAAGGCAAGACTTCGTCGTAGCTCCAGCCGGGATTGCCCAGACGCGACCACTGATCGTAATCCTTTCGATTCGCCCGCGTATACATCATGTAGTTTAGGACGGAGCTGCCGCCCATCACTTTGCCTCGCGGCCAGTTGCATCGATTGTCTTTCATGGCTAGGCAGTAGTTGTTGGAGGGCTGGGTGCGATATTTCCAGTTCATCTCGCCCAGCTGCAGAAAGTGTGCTATAATGGGCACGTCCATGGCGTAGCTCTCCGGACCGCCAGCCTCCAGCAGTAAAACTTTCCATTTGGGATTCTCGGATAGACGTGCGGCTAAAGCACAGCCAGCGGTGCCGGCGCCGACAACAATAAAATCATATTCGCTAAGCAGACTAACGCGATCATCCACCGATTCTAGATTCATTTGACGCTGGCCACGTGCTAGCATTTCCATGATATCAAAGATGCCATTGTCGGTATAGCTCTGGCCAAGCGCGTCACTGAAGCACAGTGCCAGAGTGCACAACAGTATCAATTGCATTTCCACTGATCGATTCGACAGTACGTTCCAGACAGATTGGCAGACAGTAGGCAACTGATTTCTTTATTTATTGTAAGTGGGATACTCGTTGAGTTCTGCTTACATGTGCCAGTCGATTACTCAATAAATAACTAACTTAAAGCAAAGATGAGCTAAACTTTAAAACTAGACCGTAAAAGGTTATAAACCAAATGGAGATGCATGCATTTGAGATAGAGAAAACGCAACAATAAAACATGGTTTTTCTCAAACTGTAGGTCCAAAGATCTCTCGGAATTTTTCTAAAACCCGTGCTTAACTCAAATTGTCTGCAATCAGCTTAATGGTTCAGTAAATTTATATAGCACCTCCCTTGCCTTGACTGATAAGGGTCATCAGATTGTGTGAATTCGTTAGAATGCTTGAACATTTTATTGTTTCCATTTGCATGTGAATTAGTAAGCAACAGATATGCCACACCAAAAACAATCACAACAACAATAGCAATGCCAATTCTTTGTCATCGTCCCAAGTCATAAACTGTCCGGCAGTTTTCGAGTATAGCTTTATAGAAATTGTATTTTAAAGTTAATTACAGATATGAAATATTCAGAAAATGGATAGCTCAAAGTTGAAATGGGATGGGATACAATTAAACAACCACGAGCTTACAATTATTTTTACATTGATTGTTCGATTAACCAATTATATATTTACTAATTATACAGACAAATTATATAAAATGTCATTATTCTAAAATACTGAATAGAAGAAAAGTTGCAGTAAAAAAAATTTTTTAAGTAGACATGTTCAAGTTAACAGCTTGAAAAAATTTGTGTTAGAGCTGAAGATATGCAACCGCCAAAAGCAGCAGAAATATAACCACAAGCTTGAGCATGTGTCAAGAACCAGATTAACTTGATTTGAGCAGTAAAGTTTTGGGGGTATTTTTATTTTTTATTTGAATGATATAATCTTCTTTGGCTTAGTGATAGAATTGTAATGGAAGTTCTCCACAAAGTCAGTAGGGGCGGGAGTGGCTAAGGCTAGACAAGAACCGCTGACACTCAAGCGGCGGGTTTTGAGTCAAGGTTGGCGCCGTTGCTAGTTGGTGAATTACACAATAGTTGGCAAAGCTGCAGCGCGTCTAACGGCAATTAGAGGTTTCAGTTTGTTGTTGATTGTTTTATTTTGTTTTTTTTTTTGGCAATTTGCTGTTAAGTCAAGAATTTTGTTAGCTGTTGACTTTGGCCGACTTTCAAACCGTCAAAACTGCGGTCAAATACGCTTATATGGATTATAAATTTTTTTTTTTGTTTTATCTGTCTTTGAATTTGGTTCTAAATTTCAGTTTTTTGCATTGACTTTAACCGCATTTTGCGGGTGTGTCGCGATGCAGCTTTTCATCTTTTCGTATGTGGCTGCAATATTCTGTCTTAATCAAGCAATGAGCTCATGTTGATTCAGCTGAAGTCTGAGTGTCACGACGGTGATGCTGCGATTGTCTACTCTGATAATGACTGACGGTTTTTAAAGTTCCCCCATCATGCTCTCCACTTGCCATTAAAATGTTGTTGTTTTGGTGACAGTCCGCAGAATTCTGGCTTATGTGCTCAAGCGAGACTCGTTTTTAGACTGTGCCTTTTTTATCGATCACAATTTACATATTATACTATACTTAACTGCACTCTTCCAGGATGTTACCCTATAAATAAAAACGTTTGGAAATCAGATATTCTTAATTGTTCCACATATGACTATTAATATAAAATCTTTATCTATTCTGGTTCTCGTCAACCATGAAAACTTTCAATAATAAACAGAGAGACTTTTTTAATATATATATAATTGTCAGAGCTTTGAAAACGCATTTGTGAAGATGAAAAAAACTGAAAGTTTTATTACGATTGGATTGTTACCACCCGAGTTTTTCGAGACTGATTCCTTTAAGGTTAACCATTTGTTAAGTATCTAAGAACATAAAGAACACTTCACATAGCCTCTCCCAGTGAATCACTGACTTGGTTTTTTTATGCAGATCATGTAAACGCATTTGAATGACTGTACTTAATTAAGCTGTTCCAAGTTTATTGTACAACTAAAATAGTTTATTAATGCAAAATTTGTAGCAATTTAATACAAATGTCTTGTGAATTACAAGTAGCTGAATGTATGACATTGCCCTTGAGTGTATTGGCAATTCGTATTGTTCAAACTCGGGCATATTGTTTTGCTACATTTATCCATTTATAGACACTAGTTAATATTTATTTTGCATACAGTTAAATCATATGCAGAAGTTTCGTTAAGACAAGTTGCGCCCCTTTCAATGACTAAACACAAAAAATCCATAAAAAAAAAAACAAACAAAACATGAAAAGCGTTTTTTGCAGCGGTAACTGGTCAATACAAATCTTCTAAAAAAAAAAAATGAAACTCAAGGTTGCCAGACAAACACACCAGCGAAGGCGCAAAGAAACCAAAAAACTAGCAATCAAGCGCAGACTGCAACGTTAGAATTGGTATTAAGTAGCAAGAAACTCGTTGCTTTGTACCGCATTTTTGGGTATTAACCATTGCTTTTTATTAAATGAATAAAATATTTTCGCTTTTAATGAAGCTCCAAGCAAACATTACATTTGCATTTTGTTGCATTTTAAACTTTAAATGTGATTTGGTAACAAGAATGCTACGCTTGATTTGTTAACAAGACAAGTTTCCATATCATTGTGTAAAAAAAAAAAAATGGGATAAATATAATTTATTCAATATAATATTATCTGCTTAACACTTATGTCACTTATTTCATTGGGCTTATCAGAGCTTTGTCTCTATCTTGCTTTGACAGCTGTCTTTGTGTACTTCCTTCCGTCTTATTCTTCCGCCGTGACAGCGTTTGAACTCATTGTAAATACATCCACGCAAAAATATTTCTGATCGTATTTTGTTTTGAGTATCATTAAGTTGAAATACCAAATAATTGCACACTTTAAAGTGCTTTAGAGCTGAGCGCAAACAAAAGTGCCACAGCAAAATAATTATGAGCTCCAGTCGTTTGAGCGACAATTGACGGACAATCGATGATTGTCTGAGTTCCAATATTAACATTGTTCACCTGCTTACCAATTATGCGTACAATGGTCATTCGAAAATAACAAAAATATTTTCGAATTGAAGTCCAAATGTTATTCAACCCTAAATTGATGGGCTAGTGTATCGAACGCGCTGCGTCATCGGACGGACAATCGATAAGCCGATTGTCGGATTTGTTATGTTACCGTTGGAATCAATTGAATTATCAGTTACAATCCGATAAGTTAGTTACACCCATTGAAAAATTTCGATGAAAAAAATTACCTTGTCTGTTCTACACATACTATATGATAATGTGTAACCTTTAACACGATACGATGAAAACTACTTAGGTACAGGGTCAGATGTTTAAATTGGGACCGGTTAATCGTTAAGTATTTCCGTCTATCTCAATCATTAATAACAATTTTAAATGTGACGTTGTAATTTTCCAAAGCAACGCCAATAATTAATCTTTTGTTCTCTCTCTCTCTCTTTATCTTTTACAGGTGAGCAGAAAACACGAAGTCAACCTGGGGGGCAAAGCGTACGTGGTAAAAACTTCTTAGCCCTGAGATTCTTAATATTTTATTTGTTTTATTGGGTTTAGCTTAAGATCAAGTTCATTGGGTCTGGGTCAACTGGGTGGTTGACTTCGTGACTCGCCAGTTGTCTAACGGATTCGCGTGGAAATGTTAATTGAAAATCATATCAGACTATAACAAGTTTATTAACCTCTAAGTGGAACATAACGACGCATGGGCGCACGAATTCGGAAGTTCAGCCATTCGAAATAACAACAACAAAAAACCAAGATGGAACTTGCGAAGCAGCTGCAGATGTATGCAGATGATTTTACTTCCGTCAGCCATTGACCTAGTTGATGGTTCGCTTTAGCTTTGCTTTGCATTGCCATCATATTTTATATATATTTTTCATACTTAGATCAGCGAAGGGCAACTTGTGCTGACCACAACCAGAAGCCAAGCAGCTGCAGAAGCATCAGAAGCAGCTAGATAGCTTTTAATATATTGCAGTCAAGTTTTGTCTGGGGGCGTATACGTAACGCACAAACAAAGTAGTTAGTTGGCCATAGTTTAAGTTCAAATAGTTTCGAAGTGAGTTGTACTGGTTTCTCAAGAATTTTAATATATACACATACCAGCCAGCATACCAAGTCTATCTTGCATAAATGATGCTGATCGTGAGAAGACGTCACGCCTTCTACTCAATGTTTATTTTGTGAACCTAAACAAACAAGTAAAAATGCTCTTCTTGACCAAATATAAAACAATATTTGACTGATTGATAATCTGTATTTAGCTTTAGCCGCAAAGGCAATCAATTCAATGTGTTTTCTGTGTGCAATGTCTGAACTCATTTAAATTTGCTGAAATGGGTATAATGAAGTTATGCAAAAGTATGTAAAATGCAGAAGAAAGCATCTTCGATTTCATAAAGTATATATTCTTAACAGGCATCAATCGCCAAGTCGATTTCGCCTTGTTCGCTTTCCTATATCACGCAAAGATCAATTTATAGTCTATCGATAACTTTCTCTATTTCCCCAAAATCGAAACGATTCGATTACCGATATGAATAAACTGTATGAACATGTCCCAATTAGTGGTAAATTAGAAACTTTTTGCTGCCTGCTTTTAGGCAGTTCGCATAAATGATTGCTTCAGCTCAGCTTATTATTATGTGATTAATTTAATAAAAAAAACACTGACTAACGGCCTGTTTACACACTCTGCCATATACAATATGCAATATGCGCTTACTCACGCTGGCAAGGTTGATACCTGGTAACTCACCATTTGATAACATATTATTACTTAAAACGAGTCGACAAATCATTGCTGCGGCTGCATTTTTAATGCATGTAAAAGGCAATAAAAATATGAAATTAAAAGGAGAAGTAAATAGGTTCGGAAATGGAATATCCTCAGAGAGGGTACATTTCTTTATCTGCAACTTTGCTTAGAGAATTGCGGGCTGAAAAACGGTATAAGCTCTACACTGCGAGAAATGATTCGTCTCAATGGCATTCTCGCGCAACTATTCTGGAGCTCATAACTAGTCTCGAAGTCCCATTAAAACGGTACTTACATGAATATATATATAGATATAATACAATAAAACAAAATAATTAACTTAAGTATACATATTCATATACATACATTTAATAGAGATAATAATTATTTATTTATTTGGTTCCATTATAAATTGCATATGTGCAAAATTTGCCATTCAAATTTATTCGCTAGAGTGAAGAGTCTCTGCGCAGAGCGCTGCCACGTCTCTCTGGCATCTGGCATCTGGCAGTTGTTTATACGAATCTGGCAGCACTTTTGGCGAATATTCGCTGACGTTGCCAGCGTGTGTAAATCCACCTTCACTTTAACTATATATTTGACATTTAAAAGAAGGTATTAAGCTTTCATTAAAGCAAAGATCCTAAAAATAAGAGGAGTAAAAATACAAAAATTAAATGAATTAAAAATAATAATCAACTTCAATTTTATATAATTAAATGAGTATCGATTAGTCGAGCATTCTCAATCTAATCAATCTCAATTATTTTTAATCAAAATAATTACATTTATTAAATAGAATTTTGTTGAAATGAATGCATAAATAATATGTGCTTGAATGAATGTTGGCTTATAAATAGTCAAAAATATATATATTGCTAAAAATCCTATTGAATGTAGAAAAAAAAATTATTTTTATAATATAAATTAAATATATAAGATAAAACAATAATTATTTTTAAATTAACTAGAGTCTAGAAGCTATATTATAATATAACTATGACTCGATATCATGCATTTTGCCATTACATCATTTTCATATACATATTTATGTGAGAGAGATATGAGAAAGTGATTGTTGCGTCGCTTGGCGTTATGTGAGCGAACTTTTGTTGTTTTTTTTTTGTTTGTTGTTTGTTTGTTTGTTTTGTCTTAACACTAAATTGAAACAATGGCAAACTTTTGTCTGGGACTATATCTCAAAAATAAAGGCAACTGAAGAAGTTGCCTTCAAGTCTAAAACACAATATGCTCGACTGTCATTATAAAGCTAGTTGACCCCCTGAGCATACGTGGCCAAAAAATAAAAACAAAAAAAAAAGACAAAATAAAAAACCTAGGACAACAGGCAACAGCAAGCAAACTTGGCTAGCTGCTTGTCATGATATCAGCAGCTGTTGCTCTCAGCGTCAAATTGTTGATGCTATTGTTGGTGGTGCTGTTGTTGGTCGTGCTGTTGTTGCTGTGTATGTTGATGCTGTTGATGCTGTTGATGCTGCTGGCTGCCGTCTCGCTATCACTGTAGCTATCCTGACGTTTGACCTTGTACTCTGGATTCTTCAGCCAGTCCTCCTTGATGAGATCGGCGCCTTTCTCGGCTATCATGATGACAGGGGCATTTGTGTTGCCGCTGCTAATCGTTGGCATAATGCTAGCATCGATCACCCTCAGGCCACGCACCCCATAGACGCGTAGCCGGGGATCGACAACGGCCTCGGCATCCCAGCTGGGACCCATTTTGGCCGTGCCGCAGGGATGATAGATGGTCATAGATATGGTGCGCACTTGACATTCCAAATACGCGTCCGATAGAAACTTGTGCTGTTTGCAGTTGGGCAATGGTTTGCGCCACAGTCGACTGCCAAATTGCTTAAAGACCTCCGCCTCGGCGACGCGCAACGCAATCTTGGCGCCCTCCACCAGCGTCTTGGCGTCAATGGGATCGTCGAAATAGTTGGCATTTATCAACGGATACTGAAATGGATTGGCGGAGCGCAAACGTACAGTGCCCCTGGAGCGTGGTCGCAGCAGTAGAGGCATTATGGTCCAGCTATCCTTATTCGCAATGGGATGATAGACTTCCTGATAGACAGACTCCTTCAAGCCCATCACCTTCTTGACGCGTGCCCCATTATCAGAGTTAATCGAGGCGGGTGCCATGTGAAACTGTATGTCGGGCCAGTCGATGCTGCGATTTGAGTACGGTGTATGAACAAAGGCCAAACCCTCAACGCCGCCCAAACTCGTCATCGGTCCACGTTCGCGCAGCACATACTGAAAGGTCACCGCCGTTGGATTGAACCGATCCTGCACTATGGCCACCGGCTTGTCGACCAGAAATGTGAGTCCTCCCATGCCCACATGATCCTGCATATTTTCGCCCACGGGCAAATCCTGCAGCACCCGTATGCCATGCTTTTCCAAATGCTGGCGCGGTCCCAATCCTGACAGCATCATCAGCTGCGGCGTATTGATCGCACCCGCCGACAATACGATCTCCCGCCGTGCGGCAATGCGATACACCTTGCCATTCTTCACAAACTCAACGGCCTGGGCGCGCATTGTGCCCGGCTCGATGATGATGCGCGTCACATGGGAGTTCATTGATAAATGAAAGTTTGCACGCTGTCGTATGGGGCGTAGAAATGCTTTGGCCGTCGAGCAGCGCGAACCGCGTCTAATGGTGCCCTGGGCGATCATGAAGCCCGCCTGCTGGGCACCATTAATGTCCCGATTGTCGTAGCCCAGCTGGGTGCCCGCCTCCACAAAAGCGGCAACCAATGGCGTATGCCAGGGTGACTCCTGCACGGTCAGCAGTCCGCCCCGTCCATGATAGGCGCTTTTGGCCAAATAGGGATTCCGATTATCCTCGGATTTTTTAAAGTAGCGCAACACCTGCTCGTAATCCCAGCCGGGATTGCCCAGCTCTGCCCAGTGATCGTAATCATGTCGATTACCACGCACATACAGCATATAGTTAAGCACTGAGGAGCCTCCGAGGACACGTCCGCGCGGCCAATTGCAGCGATTGTTCTGCATACCCAGACAGGCCTTGGTCGAGGGTTCCGTCTTGTAGGCCCAATCGAGTTTGCTTAGCTGCAGATAGGCTGCCAGCGAGGGCACATCCGATATCTCGTTTTCGTCTGGGCCCGCCTCGATGAGCAGCACCTTCCATTTGCGCACCTCGCTCAGTCGATTGGCGACCACCGCACCCGCCGACCCACTGCCCACAACTATGAAATCATATTCGGGCCAAAGATTTAGCTGGTCCAGGGGTCGCGACTCTGGATCGACGGCATCATAGCGATAGTAGGTAATCGCTGCCAGGAGCAATGGTATTAGCCACAGTCCAGTGGTAACCACACCAAATGTTGACTTGATCACCGTCGTTATAAAGAGCAGATTTAACACCATATTCCTTGGCTTCCTCGTTGCTTTTAAATGGAATCGCTCGACTTGTTGTTGTTGCTGTTTGGCTTTGAGTTTATCTTATATTATCTAATAAATCTCTCTCTATCTCTTTCGCGCGCTCTCTCTCGCTCTCTATCTCTCTCTCTAGCGTTTCTTTCTCCTGTGCATGGCGTTGCGTCTGCGACCATCCGAACCGCTGCGTGGCTCTGCTTCGGCTCCTCCACTTGAATTGTCCTCTGGTGCAATAGCTGCAAGAGAATTGTCATCAGTTTCATTAGTAAGGATAGATAAAAAGGACGTTCGATTAATCGATGTGTTCATATTGAGCGATAGGTATTTCCTTTTACTTCTGTGGCTTTATTAAGTATACTCTGCTGAGATCCTTTCATTCCAGTTAGAAATATATTTAAATGCTATATTTTTTAAATACCAATTCAACTTAATCAACCAACGACCAACTCCAGTCGCTATAAACCACAGAAACCCAACTTCCGTTCAGTAAATGGTCATAAGAGCTCTGCTCAACTGCACTGCATTGTTGCCACCTGGCATGGGGTCGAAGAGTTACAGTGCATACCGTTAAACTATGAATGCTTAACAGATTTGATTTTCAATTTGTTTGACTTGCACTCGTTCGAATATTTCAAGAGGTTAATTGTGTAAGTCAGCTGACAGCAGTCGGCAAATGCGCAACCCAATAACATTCCACCGCCCCACGCCCCACGCCCCAGCAGCCGTGTTGGGGATACCGTTAATGTTGCTGCAACCGAAACCGTTGCTTGCACTAACTATCCTCAATCAGTTTGTTATTGTTACACGATTGCATTCCGAATATTATTGTTGTTGCAATAGCTCTTCAAAACGTTTCCACCATTCCTCCCCAACCCCTTGGGGGGGTTTATTGTGTGTGCCCAAAAAGGGCCACTGGCGGTGCGACCTTGACGACTATTGCGGCCAATAAAGTTTAAGTGTTGTAAAACGTAACCGTGTTGGCAGCCACAACAAATGCGGCTTATAATGAATGTAAGCCACGCAAAATTCCGTTTAAAGCTGCACCAGCACCAGCAACAACATCAGTAACAGTGACAACAATAGCAACAACAACCACAGTGAATATACAAAAGATATCTTTTGCTGTTGTCTCTCTCTCTCTCTCTCTTTCTCGCTCCCTCTCCCTCTCTCTATTTTTGTCTTTCAAATCGTGGTTCCATTCGTTTTTATTACAATATCTACGGGCTCTGATGTAATAGCTACCAAATTGTTTGTTGTTGCTGCTTTTTCGTATAATTGGTAAATTTACAAATCTACATACGATATATATATATATATATTTTTTTTTTTTCTTTTTCTGTTGCTGTCTATATATCGGCCTAAACATAATTCATTTGCCTTGTCACTCGGTCAGCCGTTAAAACGACACAACAACAACAACAACAAGCAGCTGTTGTCACGTTGTTGTTGTTGTTGTTGGTATTTTTGCTGTTGTCGCTAGTTGTTGGTTGTTGTTATCGTGCGGGTGTTGAAACGTGCAGCATTGCGTTGCTTGTCAGTCAGTCTATGTGATTGTCTGTCTGTCCACAGTTAACAGTTAAGCTCTTTGGCTCTTTGAATTACGGCTCCCCAATAAAATCGAAAAAAAAAATAAAAATATAAACAAGTAGTTCCCACCAGTTGAATCATACTATTTGGCTTATAAATAACTGACAACTCATGAGAAACTATACATTAATGCTGCGAGTCGTAATCTATTGTTGAATATACATCAGGAAGCGCCTTAGTCTGATAGAATGCAATTTTTGGCAACAAGAAATTATAATGATAAGTCAAGGAAGTTTTGAATAAATAGTTTTCGTTGCATGTCTCGTTTGGCGGAATAAAAATCTGTGAATATCAAAATCTGCCTTAGCTTCAAGCTAGAAAAAACAATAATAAATCGAATGGAATTCGACTACTACAAGTTTATAGCATAATTTAATTCAGATTTTTAGATCACTATTTTAAAACATTCACAAAGCATAATCGACAGCAAATAACACTCCAAAGAGCAAAAAAATTGAGAAACTGAAAGCGGCAACATAAAATATAAGTATTAGTTACGCATTCGTAGGGGTCAATGGCATTTGATGAAGGCAACAACATCAGAATCCGAATGTTGCAACATGACATTTAACAATCAGCTTTAACTTATTAACTAAATTTTTATAAAGCTGCCGCTTCACTGTGCCACTCGGTGCCACACTGTGCAACATTGTGCCATATCTTTCTATTTTGCCGCTTCGTTGCGCCCAAGTGAAAGGCCAAAGGCTTCTTCAGCTTTAGCTTTAGCAGCTTTGGCTATAGCAGCACTGGCTCTACTGCTGCCAAAACAGGTGCTTGCCTCAACAGCAATTTGGAACATTTTTGGCAACTGGAAGCTGTAACTGAAGTTGAAATTGAATCTGAAACTGAAACTGAAACTGGGGAGCTTAACGCACGCATTTCTTTTGCCGTTTTCGTTGTCGTTGTTGTTGTTGTTGTTGTGCGAAAAACAAAACATAAAAAAAAATGTAAAAAGTCGACAAAAAAAAGTTGCATGAAATTGGGTCAGCGGCAAACGAGTTTACACAGCTAAAACTGTGAGCCGTGGTATGAGGAGAGGTAGCGGCTGTGGGGAAAGGGGGCAACTACAAAATGTGGGAGGGGGTGATATGGGCTGGCCTGTGTGATGGCAGTTAGGTCGAGTAAACCAGTTGAGCATCTCTGCAAAAGCGTAGCTGCTTTTGTTACCGTTGTTGCTCTTGCCAAATGAGCTCTTTGCTTGTGTGTGATTGCTATGTGAGTGTGGGTGTGTGTATTGGCTATTGGCCTTACCATTTCCTGGGCTCAATATTTTGAAGACCAAAATATGTCAATGTATCTATATGGCTTTGTATCTATGTATCTTGTATCTGATGGATGCGCACTTGACACTTGACAAGTGACTCTAAAGTGCGCGCAATTAAAGTCATTTTGTGCGTTAATTTGGTGTCAAGCTCAGCGGGCCATGCGGCCAAAGTCAACATTGCTAACGACATGAGCATGAGCTCTAGGTAGTAGGTTGTTGGTTGTTGGTTGTCAGTTGTTGGTTGTCAGTTGTCGGTTGTCGGTTGTCGGATTGGTGGTGTCAGTCACCTTGACTGTGATCAGAAGCACACAATGCCACAGCAATCAGTTCAGGCTGCATTTGCAGCAAACAGCCCCAACAACAGCAACAAACATTCACAGCAACTTTATTTACTTGCAGCTACAACAGCAACCACAACAACTGTTGCCTTTTAGTTATTAAATAAACAGTTGAATGCGTAGCGGCAAATTTGTTGCTTTATAGTTATTTATTTAGCTGCAACAGCACCCAAGAAAATTGCAAAAAATGTTTAATTGTTGCTGCTGCGGCTGCGTGTCGGTTTTGCATTAGCTAATGTTAACGCTGCAACGCGTTTTCACGCGTTTGTGTCCTAAGTCTTTTGTTTTTGCAACGCAACTGAAGCCGATCGAAAAGTTCAACTAGCAGCAGAGAACGCTGGGAGTTGCCAGAAGCCTAAGGGGATAAAAATAAATAGAAATATAGTTGCACGTTCTTGGTAGCTTTTGGGCTTACTGTCGAAATTAACAAGCAGCTTAACTTGTTGCCAAAACGAGTATTTTAACGCGTTCACTGTTGGAAGCCGTAGCAACTATTAATACTAGCAGTAACAGAAAGATATTTGAAGAATAATTAGATATGTAGTCTTGCCACCTAGCCATAATTTACTGGTGCTGCCACCTAATATTATTTATATTCTCTTGGCGTTGCCACACTTGTTCAATATTTGAATATTTTGTTAACAGAAGGTTTTAACTTGCAGTCAACTGCACATGCGTAGTATCGTTGCAGCCGATATACTCCATAGAGTAAATGGTAGGGTATTGCTGCCTGCCCAAAGTTGCGAAAAGAGTTGTTGCTGTTGTAGCCTACTTATCTACGAAAGCGTCAATGTTTTTCTTGCTTTTCCTTTTACTCATGTATGCCATATACTATCTTTTTAAATGTATTTCACAGACATGTGTGTGCACAATTGCCGCTGCGTTGTTGTTGTTGTTGTTGTTGTTGCTGTTGTCGTGGGCGATTGCAAAATGTTGCCGCTTGCAGTTGCTGCTGCCGCTGTTGCTGTTGCTGTCATAGTTGTTGTTGCACTTGAGTGCCTTTTCCATTTGCCCAAATCTCAGATAGCAGTATGTGTGTCTATTTTGTGAAGGGTACTCCCTGCTCAATAGTTGCCTTTTCCCTATATCAGCAACAATGTCAATAAGTCCGACAACAGTTGTTGCTGCTGGTCGCTGTTTGCTATTGCAGCTGTGCTGCACCTGCACCTGTTGCGGTTGCTGTTGCTGTTTCTGTCTCAGTGCAGCGGAAATAATCAGCTTGACCTATGGTCAGTGTTTCACTTCAACTGCAATTCCTTTCACACACAAACACACACACAGACACCAGTTTACCGTTAAAACGTTGCTTACTTGAAATTCTGCGCGCACAAATCACACACGTTTGCCTCAGCGGGTTGCGGTGTCGCCTTAGGCGTATCCTGTGCTCATCCAAGCAAAACAATAATAAAAAAAAACAGCTATTTATTTTGATCGTATATCGATTATCGTTAATCGGTCTGTGCGGAGCACTGCGTCCGTGCGGTTGCGTTGCACGCTTTCAACTGAACGCAAAGTTTACCGCGAAATCCGTGCAAACGATCCAACCGCAGCAGCAGCAGCAGCAGCAGCATAAACGTCAGCGTCGGCAGCATCGGCAACTGTTTGGCAACAGCAGCAGCAACAACAATTGCTACGAAAACACCAACAGCAACAACAACAACAACAACAAGAGCAACAGCAACAACAACAACAAGAGCAACAGCAACAACAAAAATGACAGCAACTAAAGCTAAAGCAAAAGCAAATGGTTAGCAAGCGAGCAGCTGTTGCATATTATTGGCACATCGACATCAAACTTGTTGCAGATCAAACATGTTTGATGCGCTGATAAGACAGACAAGCAACACTGATCACTTATGCAGTAAAAATGATGACGGCAATGAAATAGAGCACGTTAAGTCGATTAACTCTAGATTAAATCGAAATGAATTGACAGATATTCTGTCTTATGGCATATGAAATCTCAGTTTAATGAAATAGTGATGCTTACAATAAGAAAATGATTAAGAGTTTATTGTGTGAATAGTATTTTTCATAATCCTCATAATTATGATGATGGTGCAGATAATTGAGAAAGTTTAATAGGAAATTGAATAGACTCTTCTTCTGGTAAGAAAATTATGATAACGATAAAGGTAATTGTCAGGTTCACGGTAATTGTCAGGTTAACTTGCCAAGACAATCTTAACTCATTCTCAAAACTATTTCGTTGGATCTTTGGTAATAATGGGAGTAACTGCACCCTTTAGAATTTTAAAACAAGTCGAGTTAGCTCGACTTCGATAGAGTTTTATTGCCCAAATTGCATAATCAAACGCAAGCAGGACAACAAGTCTCATTTATTATGTCAGTACAGGCACTGAAGTGTAAACAAAACTAAGTCAGTGCATATACAGACATGGGTTTATTGACAAGCCCGAACTGAAATCACCGTCTTGCGACAAACGTTTACACATACGTCCATACATATGTACATACGTACACGAAATAATAGCGGGGATCTGCAAAATACACACAACATAATTACGTTAGCGTCGATTATCATGTCATCCCTTTCTCACACATCGACTATAATTTATATACTTACATATAATATGTTTTCTCATATTATGTATTAATTAGAAAAATGTCCCTTTCGTGTGGCTTTTATTTCCATCGGAAATCGATATGTATCGATATTCGAAAAACGTATGCAGTTATCGATCTAATGAAGCAAACTTGTTCTGCCTATCGGACGGAAATGGCTTTACCGACTCAGCTGTTGATCCTGATCCTGTTCAATAATATTTATATTCATTTTGGGGCCGGATTGGCTTCCGTCTCCCTGTTACACAAAATTGCACCATTATAATCCTGTTATTCATTTTCAATGCGTTGAGGGTATAAAAATGCATTTAGTTCGAAAATGATAAAAATATCCTCGTTAAGGTGAGACGAAGAGCAATTGTATATATATTCCATATCAATAATAAAAAAAATGGGTCGTCTTAATAAAAAGAATAGAGAAACATACCCCGGAAAGGTTAAATTTTCAACGAAGGAATAAATTGAAAAATAATCTGAACTAATCTTTTTCTCAATTTATTTAATGTGAATTATAAGAAGTTCACAAAAGTTAAAACGCCAAAATTTTAAATTATAATTAAAGTTACAAATTAAATTAAATTAAATTAACAGTAATTAAAATGAAAAATAAAATAATTAAATAAAGTTTATAATAAAGTCTAATCTGCGGCTATTCAAATTAAAAATGGCTCAATGTGTTCTGCAAGAGCTATGAAAAGAGTTGCGATCAATCATTAACAATAACATGGTTAGTGTTGTCCTCAAAAATTGTGGTTAACACACTTGCTGCTGCTGCCACTTATTGTTGCTGGTTGTGGTTGCTACTTGCCGCTTGCTGCTTGCGTGACCGCATTCCACGAATTACATACGCATTCCCCAGCAGCTGATGAAAATGCGAAGAAAAACAAAAAAGAAATGGGAAATAAAGTTATTAACTTATTAAGATTTGGCACACCAACGATTTTTGTGTGTGCGTCAATTTGTGGTGCCATGCGGCAACTGTCCACAAAATGTGGCACCCATTTGCTCCATTTGCTATTTATTTTTGTTTTATCAAATACCCCGCATGTGACAATTTATATAACCTTTAGTAAGAAAAAAAAACTGAAGTGAAGAGAAGAAAAAAACTGAAACTAAAACAACTAAAGATTTAGTGGCAAATGTCGAAATATTTTTGCAATGTTTTGTTGCTGCTTTTGTTGTTGTTGGGTGTTAATGTGCAATTAGCGCGCGTTTTTGGATGCGGATAGGCAAATGGACCTGGCGACTTCAAGCCCCAAAATTGCCAAAATTCATTTCGTTGATGGTGCAAAAATGAAATGCGACCGCCCTCAAAACATGTCAAAAGCCCAACAGGTAAACGTACACTGATAGCGAGAGTGGTCGACTAGCAGATATCCTCGGCTGCCCTTTGCTTAATTAACTGTTATACTGTATATATATTATTTAACAATAATTAAGTAAATAAATGGCTGAAATAAAATGTATTCGTTCGCTTAAAAAAAATCGAAATTCAGATAGTTCGGTTGAGTAAAGCTCTCAATCTATCATATATAATTTGTTTTTTTTTTTCATAACATATAATTTTTTAGTCATTCATTACAGGGTATAGAACATTTACAAGGCTTTCATTAAAGATATTGTTCAAAGCTTATCAGTAGTATATTTATTGATTTTTTGCAATGTAGTTGTCTCGCATTCACACTAAAAACACACAATCCAATAAAACCCTTTTTCGTCCAGACATACCTAGAGGGTATGCCAAAAAAAAAAAAACTCCAAAATCGGCATAAAAATTACTTTCGCTTTGAGCATCAGGAAGCGAATAAACCATGAGCTCATAGCTTCAAGTGGCTGGTTACTCGGAGCTGCTCCGCTATAGCTGCCGCCGCATCCAATTAATGGCCAGTTAAAGACTTTGCTCCGACTAAGGGCAGGTGCCAGCAACAATTTCCAAAGAGACAGCTGCTGCTGCCTGTGCTGCTGTTGCCTACGTGAGCCCAATCAAGTGGAAGACCTGACACCTTCCAGCAGACACCATGTTTATGACGCAAGCATTTCCATCGAACTGCTCAAATTTGCTTTGGATTTTATTATGTATTTTTTTCTTTTGACAATGCTGCCAAGCGTTTCCCAGATTCCAACCCACCGCCCCCCACACACACACATTCATCTGAATCGCAAACAAAATTACATGTCTCCAGATTTGGTTGAGTTCGCTTTGGGTTCGGTTTGGGGTTCGGATTGGCTTCGGTTCGTTTTATTCGGATTCGGGCGGCATAATTGACCAAAATTAAGCAGACATTATTCAATTTAGTGCTGTATCTGAAGACAGCTGCTTTTGCCGGCTTTTGATATTATTGTTGCTACCTATCGTTTATATATATATATATATATATATACATATTTTTTTTTATATTTATTTTGTTGTTGTTTATATGTTTTGTTGCGTGTGTTTCTTGCTTTGTTTTGATACTCGCTGCATCGTCGAATGTGTTCGACATCACGTCGACACATAAACCCGACTACGGCATTTATGGGATAGTCATGGAGCGGAATTTCAGATGGAGTATTTGCCAATGCATACCACAGCCAAAACTCGAGTACCCATTGCTATGATTGATTCGCTCGATTCGATTTAGGCGCCTTTTCGATTGGAGGCTCACTTTCAACTCGACTTGATGTTTGATTGCCCTAAGTAAATGATCTTCGTCATCGCGACAACTGTCGTCATTTCACAAAACCGCATACCAAATATATGCAAACAAAATCAAAATGTTAGCATTGTAAGTTTAAAGATATCGAGCTAGCACCCTCTGTGGAAATTCGCTTGAAACTAAAGCCGTTATTCATTTGCTTAATAATTAGCTTGAATTTGATTTATTTAAGCTTTGATCTATAAAGATTTCGAATGTATACATTTTATACTCCATAACCTTGATGATATTGGCATCTCGATTTTTTCTTCAAATAAAATCTAAATTGGCTTTTATATTAGTTTTAGGAATGATTTCGAGAGATAAGGGTCTTTGGACATTGGACTCGTTCGCATTCGTATGGAATTAGCTTTTACTAATTTAGTCATAACAGCTCGCAACATTTGCAGCAACTGTTAAAATGGATGCTGTAATATGTCTCTAAAATATTTTCTGCAAACTATGAATTAGCTACAAGATGCTCCTCTAAAGAAAACAAATTCACGTCACGCCCAACAGCAACAGCAACTGGACAGGCAACATCTACAGTAACAACAACAACAGTAACTGCATAAAGTGTAAACAACAACAATCATAAAATGTGCCAATTGCTGGTTGTGGTTTGTTCCCAGGTTGTGTGTTGCATTGCTTTTGCCTTTCGGCTGCCACTCAGCCGATTAATGACCCAAATTTGTAGTCGCAACGCACTGACCACAGACACTTTGAGCACCACTTCGTGGTGTTGTGTCTTCATCGTCATCATCATCATTATTATGATCATGATCTTCTTCATTATGATCAGCTCTGGCCATCATCATCGTTGTCGTCGTTGTCGTTGTCTTTCACATAACACTTTCCATTATTTTGGACTCACGTACGCCGCCTCGTTTCGCTAAGTTGCCCCCGCCCCTGCAACACCCCCACCACCGCCCTTGTTACCCATATAAATAGCGACTATGACTTGGCGTTTCTTTTAAATCAAATCAAATATTTACTTAAGGTCTTGGGCGGCTATCTAAAGGGCCTTATGTAAGAAACGCCTTGGGTGGTTTATGACCACTTCGAAGCTCATCACTTTTGCACCTTTATGACTCGATTCCTATTACCCTGTAGCTGTAGCAATTCTAATATTTGTTAGGGTATCTACCAGTTTGAGTACTCTTCCATTTTTTAATGGCAGCGCGCAAATTGCAAATTGTTAATTGGGAAATGTGGCTGCCAGGCAAATAATAAAAAAAAAACAAAATCAAGCGTTGCGACTTGTAATTTAAATGGTCAACCAATTGGGCCATGTCGCCGCAGTGCGTATTGATTAAGCGCATTAGCTGCACGCTGCTAACTGGGCTAAATGAGTGAGTTAACTTGCTTAACTACCTGGTTTTAACTGTTGTCTGGGCTGTTCCCCAGCTAACACCTACGAAATAAAACGTGAGCGCTGCCAGAAATGCCGCCAATGCGTAACTTTTAGTGTATAACCTTGGCACACTTGAGCACCTGTAAAATGCAGACAGACAAAGGGGGGAGTTAGAGAGAGAGGGGCCGAGGGAAAGACGGCGTGAGTGAGTAGTCGTAGCGGTTGCATTCAGGAAATGCTTAATAACCACGCCCCAGCGGGCGCGCTCTTAGTCACGGAAATTATGTTATGCTTCCATTTGATTGGCAGTAAAGTTTTTGGTAATTTGACATTTGGTCAGGCTTATAATTTTGACGTCTAAAGGCGGAAGTCGAAGTAACACCCAAATGGCTAACATCACGTATACGTGACAGCTCAAAGCATTTCCATTTCACAATTTTGCTGCGGTGCGTGTCTGTACTAAGTGCAAAAATGCGGCAGGGTTGGTGCATTCGCTACGCATGCAATATTAAAAATGTTACAATCGAATGGAAACGTCGTTATTCGTTTAGCAATTAAAAATAATCGATTATACCTGCTTAAGTAACTAGTTGTGTAAATATCCAAAAAGTTATGCAAATTTGTCGATATGGCTTCTTCCACTGTGGTGTATTTCTGTGCTAAGCCAACCCAAATCGAACTCTTTGCATACTTACAGGCGGCAATTATAAAATGAATTTTAAGAAATCCAAACCAATTGGTGAACGTTGATTTTAATTGGTAGTATTATGAATATAAATATTACAATATAAATTGGCAACTAAGTAAATAATATATAAATATTATTAAATACTATTCAAATAAATAAAATCAGAGATTAAATAATACAAAAAATACTAATAAAAATAAAAAAAGAAAAACATTTCACAAATCACCATTCATATGCTACTGCGGTGGATGTATGTGCTTAGCAAACACGAGTTTCTATTTTTGTGCTGATAGTTGAGTTGAGATAAGCATGAAAATAATTATTGAATTTCAATGGTTTATTCATTTAGCAACTAAAAATAAATTAAATTAAAAAAAAAATACATTTAATAATATCAAATAGTAATAAATAAAAAATAATTTTATAAATATTCAACACGCAAATTAAACAAAATAATCAAAGTTATAACTGTAAATGTAAAATTAGTCAATATTAAATAATAAGGTAAAAAAAAAAAAAACAAATATAAAATATGTATAACAGTTACACACATATTTGACTAGTTGTTGAAATTTAACAATAGACATACATTTAAAATAATATAGCTAGCCTGCGGTAGCAGGAACACCAGCAGAAAGTTTGGCTGCTGCCGCTCTGCGTGCGCCCCAATCCTCCTTAATCATATCGGATGCCTTCTCACCAATGGCGATAACTGGCGCATTCGGATTGCCATTGACAATGGTGGGCATAATGCTGGCGTCCACAACACGTAAACCGGAGACGCCATAAACACGCAGCCTGGGATCCACAACGGCGGTCACATCCCAACTGGGACCCATGCGGCAGGTGCCCGCCGGATGATAAATGGTGAAGGTGAACTGTTTAATGCAGCACGCCCAATAAGCATCTGACTGGAATGCCAGATGCCTGCAACCGGGCAACGGTATATTATGCAGTCGTGAACCAAAGCGCTGAAATGCCTGCGTGCTGGACACGTTCACTGCCAGCTTGATGCCCTCGACGAGCACATCGATGTCCTGCTGGTGTGCAAAGTAGTTCGGTATTAGCTTGGGCGGTTGCTGTGGATTCCGCGAATTCAAACGCACCCAGCCGCTGCTCTTAGGCCGCAACAGCAGCGGCAGTATAGACCATGTTTCGCTGTGCTGCAGTGGCTTATAGACTGTATTGTAGAAACCATCTCTTAGATTCAGTATCTTGCGTATCTGTTCACCGCCATCCGAATTGATTGAACTGGGCAGAAAATGGAATTGCACATCCGGCCAGTCGACAGCGGGATCCTGAAATTTCGTATTCAAAAAGGCGACACCCTCAACTCCCGAGAATGTCATCGGACCACGTTCACGCAATATATACTCCATGGAAACGGGTATAGTTTGAAAGCGATTACGCGTCACTGTCAGCGGTGCATCCACGACAAATGTGAGTCCGCCTAGACCCACGTGATCCTGCATATTATTGCCCACGGGCAAATCGGAGACAACTTGTATATTATGCTCCTGCAGATGATCCGCCGGTCCAATGCCACTCAGCATTAGTAATTTTGGTGAATTGAGTGCTCCGGCACTGAGTATAACCTCACGGCGCACAAATACCAACTGTTTGCGTCCACCCTTCATATACTCGACGCCCACGGTGCGCTTCTGTTTGTCGAGCAGCAGTCGTGTCGCCTCTGCATGCAGCACCACATCTAGATTCTTGCGCAGACGGACCGGTCGAATGAAGGCTTTGCCTGTACTGCAGCGGGCCCCGCGCCTTATGGTACTTTGGGTGAGCATAAAGCCCGTCTGCTTGGCGCCATTGATATCCCGATTCTCGTAGCCCATCTCCATGCCCGCCTGCAGGAACGCAATGGAGAGCGGTGTGCGCCACGGCGCCTCCTGCACCGTCAAATAGCCGCCAGTTTCATGATAGGGCGTCGTTGCCAAATACGGATTGCGCACATCCTCCGATTTGAGAAAGTATTTCAGCATATGCTTGTACTCCCAGCCCGGATTGCCCAGCGATGCCCAGTGATCGTAATCGTTCTTCGAGCCACGCACATAGACCATCGCATTTAGAACGGAACTACCGCCCAGGACCTTGCCACGCGGCCAGAAGCAGCGATCGCCCTTCATCGCCTGGCAGTACTGACGCGTCGATGATGGTGACGTCTGGTATTTCCAGTCCAGTTCGGTCAACTGAAGATAGCCAGCTAGTGCGGGCACATCCGAGATCTCTGTCTCATCGCCGCCCGCCTCCAGCAGCAACACCGTCCAGTTGCGCACCTCGCTCAAGCGATTAGCCACCACAGCGCCAGCGGATCCGCCACCAATCACCACAAAGTCATACTGGCGACGTATCTGAAAATTATGTACAAATTATTACATTGCTGTTGGAGAACAGTCATAAAAAATCAAAATTCATTTAGTCCGTAAGTAAGTCTATATATGTAGTCTTCTGCCTGGTACTTTTTTTCAAGAAATTTTCCAAGAGAAGAGACAAAGATTTATAGATAACGAAGTTCCCAGCGGAACTACTAAAAAAGTATACTCGACTTACGACTGATGGTTCCTGGACCTTGTTCTCGGGATCGACACTTTGATAACGATAGTAGTTCATGCCGATCGCCAGTAACGGGATCATGCCAAGCAAAGACGTCATTGTGCCAAACGCCATGATTCAGTAATTGTCAAATCCAAGGATCCTCCTGGCAAGTTCGGCCCGCAACGCTACCGTTACAAGCAGCCGCCGAGCTGCTTGAGCTGCCACCAACAGTTGCCCGTTTGGGAGGATTCTTATAGCCAACGCTGGCACTGGCTGGCGCACTGGCGGACAACGTTGAGGTGGTTGAATCACCGCTGCCACCACCAAGTATCTTGGGCGTGTAGTTGCGAATGCCGCCCGGACGTGCTGACTTGAAGTGGGCGCGTGCACGCTCGTCCTCCTCCAAGATATCCAGATAAGACTTGATATACAGATGGTGGCTCAGATAGTGCTTTTGCTTGTCCTGCTGCAATCGGCTTGACTTGCTCGACACCAGCGAACTGGGACAGCCGCTGCTCGAGCTGGCCGAACTGCTGCTGACCGCCGACAGTGATGACAACGAGGAGCAGTGGCACGATGAGTTGTAAATGCCACTATCCGAACTCTGCGAGCTGCTGCGCAGCAAATTTTTGCCGTTTAGCTTGGCGTAATGCGAATCACTGTCTGACACAGGTAGACTGTTGCGATGATGCTGCACCGACACGTTGCTGGCCAGGATCTTGGTCCGTTCGTACGTCTGCTTGGATAGATTGTATTTGTGGCGCAGCCGATAGTTGGCCTCGTAGTCGTCCTGGGTGCTCTGCGAGCTGCAGCTGCTCGACAGTTGGCTGGCGGGCGTGTAAATGGGATCCTTGTAGCTCCTGCGTAGCGGCTGACCACGTTTCGGATTCAGGTTGTGGCTGTGGCTGTGATTGTGGTTGAGGTTTAGGTTGTGGTTATGGTTGTGGTTATGGTTGTGGTGTTGCTGCTGCTGTTGCGATATCTCTTGGCCCATATTTCAATTGCAATATGGACAGAACTGAATTAAAACGAAAACAAAAGCAAAGTTAGTTGATTGTTTAAAGTAATCCAGTGCGAAAATAATTCAGAGCCGGCAAATCGCTCAAGCAGTTACACACAATTACAGCTAAGACAATCTACAGTAAATATATATGGATAGGCAGCTAATTGCCTTGGCGTTCCGCACCTGAGCAAAAGTGGGCTTTTATTGCAGAAGAGCAATTAGGCATTGGTTTTTTTATTTTTTATTTTGCTCATTGTCAGAGATTTCACAACTACAAACATTTGTGACTGTGGAAAGTGATTATGAGTCACTCGAGACAACAGTGAAATTAACAAATGAACAAATGCATAAATATTCGCATACTTAAAACAAGAGTCGGTTAAGGTGCAGAGTTTTTAACCCTAGCACAACTAGCAAAAATTCAGCTTGAAAAGTTTAAAACTATCAAAAGATATTCACTCTATTTTAATCCATGCAGCAAATCTGCACACATTTTCCATATCACAAAAACAGATGTTTTTTATTCTCTATATGTAAATCAGCAAATCATAAAATTAATTAACTTCAATGCGACCTATTATGAAATTTTCCATTGCTGTTTATTAAAATATACATAGTTCTCAGCTCAAAGTCGCACTGCATTTGTGAAAAGCGCACAAAAACTATTATTTTTCTGAAATAATTTCTAAATATAAAAAAAAATATATAAATTGGAAAAGGTCTATTTTTCTCCATTTTCGAAATTTATTTCTTAATAATGAATAGATTTATAACAAATATAAGCAAAGATTTGAAAGCTTTGCATTGAATTTAGATATTAAAGAGTATTTCCAGTGTTTCGGGGATTTTTAAGGACTAATTGCACGCTTGTTCAGTCAAAGTTATGACTAAAGTCTTAAATGAACGCTTGTTCAAAAATCTTTTTAGCTAATTGTGTAATTTTGAACGATTTTGCATAATTCATTGTATAGTTAAGATAATCGCTAGTTTTTAGTATATTCCTTCTCACAGTCACAATCACAATTGCAAACTTCTTATATCATAAATTTCTACGATGTCGTCTTATATTTCCGAGCTCTGTGAACTATTTAATTATTAACGGCTACTGTGCGGAAGTGATGACGTCGATTTTGCAATCATTGGCCAATTGTTTACGTTCATTTGCATAACCAGCAAACACGCATACGCAAAAGCACCAACACACACACATACGCTTGGTCGCAAACAAAAGACTTAGCCAACGAACTTGTTTACATTTTTTCGCAAGCATCACGAAAAGAAAACAGAAGAGAAAAAAAAAAACTAACCGAATTGAAATGAAAGAAAATAAAACGTTATCAAATCACAGATTGAACATCAAGCTCGAACGATGTCAAAACAGCATCTCATTATAGACATGCGCGATTGCACGTGTCACCCGTCTGCCATCCCCTGGCGTCCGTGTTGCCATCGTCTGCGCTAACTGTTTTGGTTTTGGTAATCTGGCTAATATGCTGCGATTATGCGATGCGGTTGAAGTTTTTCAAGTTCAATGCCGCCAATGGCGGAAAAGCACAACTTTGCATCGCGTCGCAATCTTCAACTTTTCTCGTTTTTCACTTCTTGTTGTTTCTGTTTATTTGTTAGTTGTCTGTCTGTAGTTCAGTTACTGTAAAATGCAATTTCGTTATTTGGTTTGGTTTGAATGTCATTTGCCGAACCGCCCAGCTCTGCTCCGTCTGCCGTTTGAGTGTCAGCTTTAATTGCTCACAATGTCCGCTTGACCAGCTGCTGTGGTTTTTCCAGTCTATGCAACAACATGTTGTCGTGGGCAATTTAAACAGTGAAAACAATTCGCACACACACACACACACACACTAGTGGGAGGGGCAGGTAGGTGATAGAGGGGGTGGGGTGCGGTTTATTAAACTACAGCTGTCACTATAGTTGAAGTTGGTCTGAACCACTTTTTTCTTTATTTCTTATAGTTTCCTAATCCTTTGGCAAGCAAATGCTTTGTTTGTCTGAATTTTATTTTTATTTTTTATTGGTTTTTTCTTGGTCACAAACACTAAAAAAAAAATGTTGATTGCACTTTAATTACCCGCAATACAAATAATAAATAATTTTATGTTTGATTTTTATTTCTGTTTGGTCAACAGTCTGTTGAAGTTTCTCGAATGCAGCCGCTTTGCGATTTGGTAGATTGCGCGGTTGGCTTGTAACTGAACCATCAACCAAATACGAAAATCTACCCACAAACTATCAAACCAAAAAACAACCGTTAAAAAGCGAACGCAAGCCAAAAAAAAAAAACAACAAAATCAAAAAATAAGGCAAATACAAAAATCTTCATAGAAAACATGAAACCAAACAGTAACCGTTAAAAGACGCGCGTCTACAGTGCAACATGTTAATTTATGCAACGCCCTTGGGACAGACCTCATTTGTGATTTGGGCCAGCGCCGGCATCATCTTCAGCTTGGGCTCTCTGTGTGACTGCCAGCCAACTTTAGCCATCCTCATGTGATGCAATCGCTTTTTTTTCTTTGGCTTATTTTCGGGCTTTTCGCATTCATTGTTGAAACGAGCGATGCTTTACATCATATATATATATATTTATAAATGTGTGTGTGTGTGTGTGGATCCAAAGAGTTCCCTTATTCATCTCCTCTAGCCAACTACGGCTATATGGCTATAGCTCCAATTCCCTGACGAGTTGCTGTCGATTGTTTGAGCCTAGGTTATTGTGGCATTGTTTTTGTTATGGATGCTGTTGTTGTGGTTGTTGTTGTTGTTGTGGTGGTTGTTGTTGTTGCTGTTGCTTTCTTATGCAATTTACACAATTGTTAGAAACGCTGATCGCATCGAGTTATAGAGTTGGTTCGGTGTGTCAATTATGATTTGACAGCTTTTAATTATGACTGGGTTTACTTTACAGCTTATTATTCATGACATTTGCTGGCCATATTCGGCAAGCACACACACACATACACAATGAGTATCGTTTGTTTGCGTTTGGGTTCGCTCTTTAGTGGGTCACTCAGCGTTGCCATAAAGCCAGCTAACATCTAACATCCAACTGCAAGTCTTGACACTTTCTCACCTGAGTCACGCTCGTTGCGCCCGCCGTATCGCAAAACAAAAACGCTCGGCTAATTAGCTAGGCTAAGCGGCAGTTGTTGGCCAGCTTGGTTTATTAGTTGGCTACCGGCGTCAAGTCCCATTCACATTTCCGGCGCCAGTTGTTAAGCAGCAGAATGTCTGTTGATAGCTATAGCGTGTGCAGACTACATGCTATCGATAACATATTTGATACCATCTCTTCTTCGCCAGAGAGGTAGCCGTCACAAGCCTTAAGCAACAGCTGAATAAACTTCGGCTTAAATAACCCAAGTTGGATGCCATCGATAATATCAACTTTTGATTTTCTACAACACTAGATATTGATGGTTAATATAAGAAATCTAACTGATTTTTGTTGTTGATATCAATTTAGCGATGGACTCAAAGAACATGTTATCGATAACATCAAGTTTATATTCCATTGTGTAATATGGGCTGCAGATAAAGTTGTTGATTATTTGCCAAAAAACACACACAACAAATAAAAAATATATCTGAATTCTGCTATTATTATTAACCTGACAATACTAAACAAAGTTAGCTTTAGAAGCAAAGTTGATGTTATCGAAACCATCAAATTTATACCCCTTATTTCTGCGTTTATATATATTCGTACCATGAAATATTATCTTGATATTATCGATAATATGTACTATAGACATATATGAACACAGCAATATCTGATCTAGATTCTGTTGACCATATTCTAAATCACTCAGCAAATATACGTTTTTGCTGCTGTATTTCCATTTTAGCGATAGGATATGCTTTATGCTCTTTTCCTGCAGTTTCCGGCCAGCAGGCAAGCAGCCCAGCCACCTACTAATCGGTAACATTAAGTCCATAACTAGTGTGTTGTCTTTAGCATTTTCCCCTGTTGTCCACATTAGCTGATCTTGGACTGACTTGGAAATTGACGTGTGTGACGAGTTGTAGACGCATTTTCTTTTGTCAGTCGACATACATACATATGTGTATATGTGTGTTTATATACGTCGATGTACGTATGTATATCCGTCAAGTTGGCTCTGAACTTGATTTTAGTATGCCCATTCCAATCAATCAAATGGCGCCCGATCAGGGTTTCTGTCGCTATCTTTGCGGCTATCCAGCAAAGTGCCAGTTTATTGGCGCTTACTTTCCTTTGGTCAGGTTTTCCGCCTAATCGCTTTAGGCAGCAGTAGCAGGCAGCTGCCGCATGGATCCGCTGTTTATAGCATCGACGTGCACAAATTGATAATAATTTGTGAGCTCTGGCAGGTGTGAGGCGGCCATGCCGAAAAACGTAGAAAGTGTAAACGTGCTCCAAAAGGGTAAGTGATCGTGTGTGTTTCTGTGTGTGTGTGTGTGTGTGTGTGTGTGTGGGGCGTGTTGGCCTGGTGATAAACCAAAAGAGCAAACACACAATTACATAAGAACTTGCAGGCGCATTGCAATGTGCCATCGAAATTTGTATGGGAACTTAAATTGAACGATTACATAAGCGAATTGCAAGCGTTGCGCGCTTTCCAAAAAGTGAAAATTGGGACAAGTAAATCAAGAGCTAGACCTCTATCTGTGTGTGTGTGTGTTGGTTGTATTTTCTTAGTACAAGACATTTTGTCAACTTGCCTCCGCTTGTTGTCGCTGTTTTTGTTGTTGTACTGCAATTGCCGTTGCAGTTGCAGTTGCAGTTGTTGCTGCTGCAGCTGTCCGTTTGCTGCGAGCGTTGCCTCGTGTGCAGTTTACCTTACCACAAACGCAACCGCTAGCCACTTTCCTTTGTTTCACACATTTTGTAAATATTACTCTACACTTCGTTTTCTTTGCTTGCAATGTTTCATAAAACCAAAATATATATATATATATATATATATATCACAAAAAAAAAAAAATATAAAGGTTTTGCTCGCTTGGGTTTTTTCTTTAACATGCGGTAATTTTCCTTTTCTTGTTGTATATGTGTATAGTGATTATTATATCCAAAGTAATTTGTTTTTTATATAATTGTTGCACTCGTCACGACGTTGGCGACGTTGGCAGCGGGTGCTGACTGTACGATACGCACGCCACGGGCTTCTCTTGTTCAATGAGCAAATCGCATGAGCGCAGTCGCCACTCAAGCCCCAAAAAGCTCTCCACGCGTCGCAAAAGGCCCAAGTCCAAATCCAAGTCACGCCAAAAAAAAAAAAAAAAAACAAAAGAGATAACAAGAAGAAGAAAAATAAAAATAAGCAACAACAACAACAGCAACAGCAGTAGAAAAAAAGCTGCCTTATGACCATTGCGGCTGCACTTTCGTTTTCATTCGTCTTCGCCTTTTCTGCTTCGGCCTCCCCTCGCTTGCTACGCCTTCCTCTATAAGCTGGTTTTTTCTTCTTCTTCCGTTGCTGCTCTTATTTTTGTTTTCGACAGCCAAAGAAAGCTTTCGCTGAAAGCTTTCTTGTAGCTCTGGTGGCTTGACACTGATCGTGAACGATTTACAAGTTTGCACCATCCATCTTATTATCGATTTTGTGTTTGCGACTTAAGATCACTTGATGATTTTGTTACACATTGCAGACAATGTACACACTCTTTTCTCTCTGTGTGTGTGTGTGTGTGTTTTTTTTTACCTATGCCTTGTTAATCACGGCGGAAACACGGATGCTTTTGCACAGATACATGTGCATTGATTAAGGTTTTTTCGACTACTTTGTTACTTTATTCTACTATATGATAATTCAATATTAATGATCATAATGTAGACACTTAAAGAATTTTATAGTGCCACTAATTGCAACAATAACAACAACCATGTTAAGCCATTTGTGAAGCTATAAGAAAAAGCAAGTTGAAAAACTGATTTAATAAATGATAATCTTACCACTTAACGCTCACTTACAGAATTAACTAATTACTTGTTATCTGTACATCAAGTCTACATTTTTTCCCCACGCTCCGTTTTGAGGCAGAAAAAGCTCCATTTTTAACTGTGGGCTCCACTTTTATGGAGGGTGCAATGTCTTCTTTCTGTTAAACGTTGAACGACCCCAAGAAGAAACCCACACGATACTTGTGCATGGTAAATCCACTTTGTACCGCTATAAACATTTACTACTCTATCTGTCAACTCCGCATCTGGCATCTTTATTCATTCAATCATTAAGTCATTCAAGTGGCTTGAAACGTTTTTTATTTGGCTTTTGTGTTTTGTGAACTCGACACGCAAATTCGCAAATATCGTGGACTGGATTGTATGGGTTGTGGTGGGGTGTGGTGGGGTGGGTTTGTGGGTTGCACCTTCACACAGAGGGCTTTTGCAGAGCAACGACACAAAATACACAAGACACACTCACACACACACACACGCACACTTAATAAATTAGCCAGTTAAGTGAAGTCAAATAAATTTTCTACGCATGGCATTCACATATTACTTATCTCTTGGCCGCTTCCGACAATTCCCGTTCGGCTGGAGTTTGCCACAGGCCACTGTGAAATGGTATCGAAACAGCTGCTTCAGGTTGACATTGAAGCCACATTGGGTTTTTTGTTTTTGGTGTTAGCAACTTTCTTTTGGCTGCATTTTGGGCGGTCATTGCGCTGGCCAAAAACTCAGCGAGGCAAACAGTTAGGGTTTGTATACATATTTATGCGTTGCACTTGAGAGCGTTTCTAGCAACTGTAAATCACCTCGCCGCCCTCTCGGCTCCCCACCCCATATCAGCTACACCTTGCAGCAGCTTGCAATTGAATTTATGGTCGTTTTCCGCGACCCAAGCCACAGATCCGACTTAACGCCGGAGTCGGCAATTGGACTCAGTGTAGCAATTATCATAAAATAAAATTGAATAAATAAATAATAATAATAATAAAAATAAATGAGTCAGAACGTCATTAGATTTCGACTGCGCAATACTCTGTTCATCGATTACAATAGCCCGATTTGCAGATATTTTATTTTACTGTTAGATGGAACTTTTAAGAGAACTTTTCCTATTGTCTTCTTTTTTTACACTCTTCTAATTATGACGTGAAGTTTGCAATATATTGAACTGGACATCACTGTCCACCTCAACTTGAAAGAAAATCTATTGAGTCTTGAAACACATTCATATTCATGTCGGAGATCGGACAACTGTATCACATAGCTGATATAGAAATAAGTTTTAAGTTATTGGATTGAGCGTATTCAAACATGTCATATCTACTGATTAAATATAACACCAAAAATTGAAGTTTGGAAACGCAAATGATTTTGCGCAATTTCGAGTATACCTGAATGAAATTTAAATGTTGGCGAGTGTATTTGATTATCAGTATCCATTCTGATTTTGTATACTTTTGAGATAGTGCTTTAACTTGAGAGTTACAATTATATAGGGATTTTTCAGATCTGGTATGTATGACAAAGTTGATGGTGCAAAACTTCCTTGCCTCGAAAATGGCCCAAACCTTATGTACCCATTGAATAGAGTATAGGATAAAACTCACTTGAGCTGTACAATTATAATTCAATTTGCTAAAAAAAAAAAATCATTGGTCAAGCCTGGACTAGACGATACCGCCTTTACGATAAATGCATTATTCAATACACATATTATTGTTTCGACTATATGCATCGTTAATTTTTTTTTATTTTTATATCTTTGTAACAGCCTAACGGGTCGGCCCCGTCTCTAAATTATCTCGGGCTAATAGCAATAATCTTTGAAAATGAAAATAGTCTTGTAATTGTAATTGCAATTGTAATCGTAATTGTTTTTGAATTCCATTTAACGGTTCCTTGGCGCTTCTAATTGCAAAACGCATTAAGCTGTCTTTATGTATTTAATGAATTTAATGTATTTTTTTTTTTTGTTAACGAATTTACACCCATTGTGTGTACAATGAGGAAAACTCTATGGATTACGATGTATTTTATGCCATATAGATTGCATAACATCTAAACTGGGAATTACTTCCAAATGCATTCGGAAGTGTGGCCCAGCAAGCAGTCTTTCTAGTTTCCGCTTTTGCACAATCAAAAGTAATATTTGCTCTTCCCAAAACGCTAGTTTAACCAAAAAGGTATAAGTCGGACCAAATGATTGAACCTCCTTAATTTAATATCCCAGTGGCAAAATGGTGGCAATGATCAATGCAAATAAATCGTTTTTTTTTTACGATTTGGCAACATTAACACATTTTATGTGTACCTTAATTTGGCTTCGTCTCACCTTTATTTTGCCATAAATTTGAACAAAGCGATTTGTCTTTATCGACTAGTTATATACATTAAAATGGGTATGAAGACAATAAATTGGGAATTAAAAATAATATTCCAAATAAAATATATTAATTTATAAGGATGGCGACATTGTTGCTTAATTAAAATCAGAAGTCTCTTAAAATATCTTGCATTCAATTTGTTTGTCACATTTCATTGTTGAAAGTCCATATTGTGAACTCATTCAGTTCATATATGTATCTATATATTTTTAAATAAGTACTGCTTATGTATGATGACAAAGACAAATCGAATGTGCAGTAGAATTTCATTAGCTGCTCAAGTGAATATATTGAGTTTTTTAAGGTATATAGAAACCAAAAAAATAAAATACTCCTACGTCAATAGTTAGCAATAAAACCATAACATCAGACTCTGACGCTGACGAAGATACACTAATATTTATGCAACAAAATTAAATGTCGATTATCCGCAAGAATCAGGATCAGATCCCCTTGGGATATATAATATTTAAAACATACATTTAATTGAGAGATTCCCCGCTTTGTTGTATAATAATAGAAATGTTCAAGTGTTTTAATAAAATTAAATTAAGCTTTACAAATTTGTATATTTTACCAAAGCTAAATGCAACTTTCAAATTTCTTCATTGCAGGTAAGGTTTAAAGCCGAGCTCAACTTTTCGAGTAGCAATGCCACTAAAAGCTCTAAATAAGTCTGCTCCAACGGTTCCAACTTCAAAGCTTAATACATGTGGTTTGAGAAATCGCTCAAAAGCGTAGGTTTGACAAGCACTGTTACAAAATCAAATTATACGCATGTATTATTAATTTTTTTGTATTTATTCGTTAAATTTCGTATCCAACTTACGGGCTAATTGAGGTACTCCAAGTGTACGCGACGATGATAAAAAACAAGTGGTATATGAGTATATATGTTATCAGACAAAATATTAAAAAAAAAACGTTATACATAAGTAATATACATATTATAAATATATGTAAGAAACAAAAAAACATATTACCATAAATGACTCGATATTTACAAAAAGCGCTTAACTGACTAAGGACAACGCACAGAAATAGGAGCAGCAAAGCGAACTTAAGCTTAATAAATTAAGTGTGCGATGTACAAGCATGCGTTGAGAATTAACTATCTAAAAACTACCCGACTAACGTGTATAATCCAATAACACAAGCTCAAAGTGGCGACTAAACTTACGATTCATCTGAGCAGAGAAACAACATAAACTATTAAGCATTGAGTAATTTATCGATAAAAGATTGATAAATATTAAAGAAACTCAAGGCCTTCATCACGACAAACTAAGCTTTGGGAAACTTTAATCGAGCTCAATTGCAGTGATTGACTATACCTATGATAGAATAAAAAACTTCTTTTGGTTGTTCAAATTTGCTGAGTAAAGCGTTTAGAATAGAGCAACTATTGGAAAAATAATGCAAATCTAAAGTTTTTATCGACTATGAAAGAAAAAAAGGGATAAAATATGCGTAGAAATATTAAAGCTTTTATAGATTGACTAAGTTAATGAAATCAAAAAAAATAAAATAAAAATATAAATTATAATTAAGTAAACTGTAAGCTTTAGGAAATCGATAAAAAGCAAATGTTTTAACTCGATTTACTAGAGCCTAATTGTATTGACTGAGTACAGTTGAGCTTAGTTAAAGTTCAAAGCGCTTGCTCCAAGATTTATCTAAAGTCGAAATGCCACTTTAAGCAATTATTATTGAGGGGCCAGTTTAATAGTTGACCCCTTTCCTCTCCCCTACCCGCTACGAGCTTGGTAATGGCCATTGATGCACTGTCTCTGCGAGCGTCTGATTGTTGGCACTCAGCGATCGTTTTGTGCGCCACTTGTGACCCGCCTGCGTCTGGGCGACGGGCGTGAGCCACAGCTCCTTGATGAGATCGGCCCCCTTCTCGGCGATCATGACGACGGGCGCGTGAATATTGCCATTAGTGATTGCCGGCATGATGCTCGCATCGATGACACGCAACCCGGGCACACCATACACCCTCAGCTGTGGATCGACCACGGCCCAGGGATCGCTGGGCGGACCCATTTTGGCCGTTCCGCTCATATGGTAAATGGTCATCGTGTACTGCCTAATGAAACAGTTCCAATAGTCGTCCGTAAACAGTTTCAGATGTTTGCAATTGGGCAGCGGTTTGCTCCAGAAGCGTGCACCAAAACGCTTCATTGCCTGCGTCTCACCAACGGCAACTGCCGCCTTGACGCCCTCGCGCAACACATTCACATCGTCCGGATGCGTGAGGTAGTTGTGGTAGAGCAACGGGTAGCGTAACGGGTTTTTCGATGCCAGCTTAATATAGCCGCGACTCTTGGGTCGGAGCATCATCGGGAAGACGCCAAAGACATCGCGATTGCTGACCTCGCTAAAGACCTCCTTGTAGAACTCATCGGTCAGACCGTGGGCAGTCTTCACCTGTGACCCGCCATCGGACATCACCGAGGCGGAGGTCATCATGAAGTTCATGTCAGGCCAATCGTCACTGGCATTCGCATATTTGGTATTGATAAATGCCACCGCCTCCAGTCCAATGCTGGACGTCAGTGGCCCATCCTCGGTAATTGCATAGCGCAGTGCCGTATTCACATTCACCATGCGCTTCATCACAATCGAAATGGGATAGTCAATGAGAAAGGCAATCCCACCCACGGCTATGTGATCCTGCAGATTTTGGCCGACGCCCGGCAGATGCTGCACCAGCGGTATGCCCACCCTACCGAGCTCCTCGCCATGCCCAATCCCTGATAGCATCATCAGATGCGGTGTGCCAATGGCACCGGCAGCCAATATCACCTCCCGCGTCGCATAGACATTCTGGAGCCGACCGTCCCGGATGAACTGCACCCCAGTGGCGCGTTTCGTCTTCGGATCTGTCAGCACTTTCGTCACGTGCGAGAAGAGCGCAATATGCAGATTGGAACGCAGTCTCGCCGGCCGTAAAAATGATTTAGCCGTGGAGCTGCGCGACCCACGTCGCATGTTGAACTGGTAGAAACCGAAGCCTGTTTGCTGTGCCCCATTCACGTCCACAATATCGTAGCCCATTTCCTCGCCGGCCTGCAGAAAGGCCGGTCCAATGGGAGTGTTGTACGGCGAATCCTGCACTGTCCAGAGGCCACCTTAAAAAGGAAACAAAATGTGATTGGATAAGTGATCCACAAGCTGGGAGTTAGGTGAAATTGCTTATATTGTGCAACAAGAAGCTTAAATCTCTTTTGACTTAAAGCTGAGCACAGTTATTTTATTATTAATTAATAAATTGCAAACAACATATTCAATTTGAGAGTTTCACAACAAAAAAAAAAAAGATTTTAAATTCTAGAATTAAGGAGTTTGCTGAGCTTTTGCTTACCTGTGCCGTGGTATCGTTTGTTGCGAGCTAGGTAGGGATTGCGCTGATCCTCCGACTTGCGGAAATAGGGCAATATCTCCTCGTAGGACCAGCCGGGATTGCCGAAATCTGCCCACTGATCAAAGTCACGCCGATTGCCGCGTATGTAAAGCATCGTGTTGAGCACGGAGCTGCCGCCGATGACCTTGCCACGTGTCCAGCAGCAGCGTTTATCCTTCATCGCCTGGCAGGCAGTCGACTGAGGCTGTGTGCTGAACCGATGACAGACACATTGAGTGAGAGAGAGAAAGATAGAAAGGGAGAAAGAGAGAGAGAGGGAAAGAAAGATGTGGTGAAAACGCAATCAATTAGGGAATGTGTTGGCAGTGCTTTCATCATTAATCAACAGGTAAACACAGTACGACAATAAAGTCGCATTAGCTGCAGGTAACCAAACCACGCCCACTCCAATATGTCAAAAGCCCCTCGGCAGCGGCAGTCGCTTTGAAGCGGCAGTCGCCATTGACCAAACCAATTGAGGCAAAACAAATACAAAAAATATATAATATTGAACAGAAGCCGGCAACAAAAACGCAAACGGTCAACAATTGTTGGCCACTGGGCAACTTTATTACAGTATCGTCAACAAACCACAACAACAATTGTTGCTGATGGCAATTTCATTAGGGGAAAAAAACCGCAATTGTTGCGACTTCGATTGAAAGTCAGCATTCAAGCTGTACATTATCTGCAACATTATTTGGCTTTTAGCACGATTGCCTGGTGGCACGAATGGCTTATGATTCAAAGTACTCGTTATGAGCATCTACAGATAGTTACACGCTACAAGGAATACCCTGCTTTGAAATATACTACAACTATAACTATAAGTACAGATCTAACTAACAAAATTTGTTTTTAGTTTAGAGGTCAAGCCAATCAATATATCAGATATCCATTCCATCAACAAGCAGATTTTAGAAATAATCTTTAAATATATGAAAATAATTCATAAAATGAGAAAGACAACCCTAGGATATTAGCTCTGTATCGATAATAAATAAAATTTATTGCTTTTTACCAGAAAGCAAAGACCCACTCCCTTGCACATTCCATTACCATCAACTGCTCGAATATTTGGCCGGAGCTCTAATGTTGATCCCAATGCTTGACTGTAAGTTGTTTACAAAACGCCTACCACTTTCTACTTTGTCCTCTCTTTGCGCAAATTAGTTTCATTTGTTATCCCGTTATGCATTAAACATACAGGAAACCGCGGGCAGCAAAACACGAACAGCAAACTTAATGTCAGCAAATGAAAATAACAAAACAACCAACAATCAACAAAAACAATCAACAATGAGCTATGCAAGTACTGCACAACTGCAGCACACCTGAAAAAATGACAAAACAATTAAAAGAGCAATGGTCTACATAGTGTGATAACTGCCAAATACCCTGTAATCATACCTAAACGGAAGTAGATCATTATATAAGCATAATGAGTTCATATTCACAAAATTTACCAACCACAAATTATAGTCTCTGGATTGATCAGCACTCACAGCAACAGCTGCTTAGGGATCTTTAAGAAGAACATGTAATATATATGATATACATAGTCGATCATACACGTTTGACAGCTTTGCACATATGTACAGAGTATGGAAAAGAGGAAACAATATGTCAGTTGCGGAAAACCTGGTCAATTCAAAACGACACAACACGACGTGTAATGCCAGAGGCAGATTAAGATTGTTGATATTCAATTTAGAGTGTAAAACTGAAGACTAAAAGTTTCATATTTAAATATGTTTTTCCTTTTGTTGTTGCTTTATATATATATATATCTTTTGTAGTATTGTTGTGTTTTTGTTACTGTCTCATGTTCATCAGCTGCTGATAATATGTGTTTATTTATTATGCATTTATTTGATATGATTATGTGCGCTTCTCCACGCCTTTGGGCTTCAAATCACCTCAGTTGGGGGCTGATTAATATGCTGGCATTTATTTGGCTGGCGCCACCTGCCATTTGCTCTTATACCACTGTGTCGCATTGCTTGGCGTGGTGCGTGCTGTTGGCTATGCGCTTTGAGTCAATAAATCATTCAAGTCATTGAGCCACATCGCAGTGTCAGATAGTTAGAGTCTGTCATAAAATATCGAACTTTCCCTCTGCTCTGCTCTTCCCAACGCAATTTTTTCGGTTCAAAATGACGCAATTTGTGTCTGTTTGTGTGTGTTTGTTTATTTTATTAGCCATTTAACATTTAGCGCACATAAACGTTACCAATTATTGTTAGCTGTTTTTTGTGGCCCTCTTTGAGAGCAATTATGTTGAACATTACACATTTTTGGGCGGTCGCTTCGTATATTTTGAATTTTTTTGTTTTTATGTTTTGTTTTTGCTTTCGTTTGCATTCCAATACCTGAGTTGAGCCTGCTAAGCACAAGCATTTAAATCGTCAACTATATTTGCATGCCAACAAAAATTCTCTGATATATCAAATATTGACCTTATTTTTTTTTACATAAAGAGTGCTGCTTGAATCTACCTTATAGAAACAAAAAAAAGAAAATCAATAATATTAGTTCTTAATTGATACTGAAATAGGCTTATGAAATATGTTAGGGAACGACCCGAAATAAAGCTTAGTTAAAAGTTGGCTTAAAGTTGTTTTGTTTTTTAGTCGAACCTTTTCGTTAATGAACATTTTAATCAAATTATAGAAAGCAAGCCATTGAATATTCTTAACGAATGCATATATAAATGAGCTCCATAATTCATTAGAAACCTGTTTATGTTCAAAATGTTTCTTATCGCATCTCAATTAGTTTTAAAATGACTTAAGCAATTAACCTTTTTAATTAACCTCTCATGGAGCTTAAACGGAGGTTTGTAAAAAATAATGTAAATTGATTTAGTGAATTCAGTTAGCGTGACGTTGCCAAAGCAATTTACAGTGTAGGCAGAATGCAAATAAATTTCACATTTGCACAAAGCTGTCATCATTTATTTATTTTGTTGTAGTTAAGCTCTACTTTTGCCCCATTATGGCAAATTCAAACGGTAATTCAATTATCACCAGTGAAAAGCCAAAAGCAGCAAGCGAATATAATTGGCAAAAACATCAATATATATTTGTGTATATGTAACTAACTGAAGTCAAGGTTCCAATTTGCAACATTATGCAGTTCATGATTTTTTATTTATCTTCTTTTTTTTTGCGCTGCCAGATGTGGTTAATAGCATTAGCAAGTTCGTGTCCTAAGTCTTTCGATTTGTAACGGACCACAAGAAGGAAAATTGTGAAATTGGTTTTGTTTTTGTTTTTTTTTGTAAGCTTTTTTCACCAATTTTGATGACGCAGTTCACGTATCAGTGACAAGCGCGTGCGTGTGAGTGTGTGACAGTGTATGTGTGTGTTGGTGCAACGCTTGGCTTTTATCTCTATGAGCGTTTCATTTGTAAGGCAGCTCAGTGAAGCCTGTCACGCTCTCGTAGTCAATGAAACGCTCTACTCATACCCTGTACAAAGGGTATGCGAATTTGCTTAAATGTAATGTTATATATTAATTCTTTATCATCTCTTAATGTGGCCATGAGCAAATCAGCCACTCATCTTTGAAGCTGTCGTTGTGCAACTTGCAGAGAACTGCTTCAATAACTTGTGTTTCTCTCGTTTCTACACTTTCTACACAGAAAAAACTCGCTGAATTTTAGACAATCGCCCTGAAAACTAGCAAATATTTCTTGTTTTTAGAAATAATTTTCAGATATATGAATAAAATGTTCTTTTCTATTTTTCCTTAAGAAATAGAAAGATTTCTATTCTACTTTTCGGTGATAAATCTTTATAAATAATATAAAATAACTCTAAGATGTCGAAGAATTATTTTGCTTTGGTCTGCAAGTGTATCTTATATTCGGTTAAGCACATATTTGTTGTAGCTGGTTTGCGTTTCATGTATTTTTGATTGGCAATTGTGCTCATTGCAGGCAATCCGCTTACTTTAGCTTTCTGCGGCTACTGCTGCTGCTGCTACTGCTGCTGCTGCTGCTGCTGCAGTTGCTGCTGCTTACCCGATGTGGCCTGGTGTTGTGTTTCATTTCATTTCATTTCAAGCCATTCCCAGCGCCGACAAGCCTGTAACCGATTAACCCACTTAATGCCACACGATCCGGTTTTGATCATTTGGCATTCGCCGTCGCATTCAGATTGAGAAATGGCTGTAGGCAGTAGGATATGCCGGTACGGACCAGATCTCCCTTGTCTTCTGCCCGTCCGCCTAAGACTTGCAATCGAAACGTTTAACTTATTTAAGTGCGAAACGTATTTAGGGAAACTTATGGCAAACATCGAAAAGCAGACGCTTTAAGGTGTTTGCTGTGAGAAGAGGCGCTAACCAACGCTGACATTTATGACTGAGTGCTGAGGGTTGTTACACACCTTGCATCAGCCAGACACAACAACAAGAGCAACAACAGCAACATTAACAGATGAGATCTTTGACTGAGTGACCTGTGATGGACCAGCAGGTGGAAGCGACACTCTAACTTTGCAACAACTTGATAGGTGTGTTCCTAATCTGTGCATGTGTGTTGCTGTTGCCTAATAACTCATAATCCAAACAAATGTTAAAAGGCACAGCTGTGGCATTTAAATGACACAATTTGTATTGCACACAGCTGTCTAACACAAAATTGTAAACAATTAACAGATTTTATTATAGGTAAATCATGTTGTTAATATCAGTTAGCCTTGGTTAAAGAGAGTTAGTTAAAGAATATTCCTTGTATTGCTCTTACTTGTTGAGTTTACTAGCATGTACTTGCCAAAATTGCAACGTTGCCACTTGCCAGTGCAGATCTGGCAGCACCGAAACACGTTTGATATCTATGATCTGTCAGTAATTTAGATTTGTCTATCCGGTTTACAGTTTTATAACCTGAACCAATTAAAATGGGTAAAAAGAGAATAATGGTTTTTGTGAAAATATGTATAAAAACAGGCAGAAGGAAGCATATCCGACTCCATAAAGTATATACATTCTTGAATAAAGAATTTGTATATGAATTTGATTTAATTTCCCACCGTTTCGTGAATATCGATAAGAATCGATTTCCGATAGCATGATAATCGAACCGAGCACAAATATGTGTGTGTATCCTGAAATACCTTCCCTGAAAAATGTAATGCTGTTGCCAACATATTTAGTAATTTGATCAGTTCGAAATTATATTATTTATTTATTTTTCTTCTTCTAGTTAGCAAATCCATCTAATTAATCTATAACTTCCAAATATTTGTTAAAATCAAAGCAAATGAAAGGCTGCCAAATATTGAAAACTTGAAAGCCAAAAGTGACTTGATTTTCAACACATGCAAATCATTGAAGTGCAACAGAGAATGTTGCAAGCAGAGTATTTCAGTTTCGCTTAAGAGCCAGCACACAATTCAACGAATCTCGTTGATTGCGTCACAGACAACAACAACAACTACCTAATATCCAAAGACAAAGACAGATATATATATGTATATATAAACGATGCTGGACAGGGATTAAGTTTGGCGCCCATGGGCGACAGGGCTCTTTGGCCTTAGCCGAGCCGAACTGAGCCAACTCAACTGGCAACTGGTTGTTGTTGTTTTTGACTGCCCCTCGCCGTCTGCCACTGCCACACGATTGTGATGCAATGGCGCAGAAAACAGGCGTTGATTGCTACACACTCTATTCAATAAAGTTCCATAAGTGTGTGTGTGTGTGTGTTTATTTCGTATGCATTTTGCCGGGAGGCAGCAGGCAACCGGCAACTGGCAACAAGCTGCATTCACTTGCATAGAAAAGACGAAGCGAACCAAAGTGGAAATGGAAATGGAATTTTGTGGCATGTATTAGTTTGTGGTCGCATGCTAATGCCGATGGCATTCTGACTGGCCAAATAAATAAACCATATGAAACATGAAAAAAAGTGAAATTTTGATGGCCGCTATGGCTTGGGCTTGGCCCTACGGAAACAGTTAAATAGATTACGCTGACAGTTAAATAGATTGTGCTGAAAAGCCTTAAAAAATATTTAAGAAGTAGAAGAAAAAAGTCAACTCATGAATAATAAACAATCAACTGGCTGGCAACAGGTGATCAAGAGTTAAAGAGCTACAAAATCTGAGATAAAAAAAAAAAAACTGTTCCTAACGGTAGAGTGTTCTAATTCCAATTGGGCTTCCAAGAGAGGCAGACTGAGAGAGAGAGAGAGTGGGAAAGTGGGAGAGAGACTGAGAAAGAAATGATTTAATTTAATTGCAAAGTCGCTATTTTCTTTTTGGCTCTCCGTTCTACAAACCACACACAAGTAATTCAAGTTGCAAGTCACGTAGGTAGCGCTAGAAGACACTCAAGTGGCTTTCAGAGACCAAATAAGTAAGAAGGCATTCTCAACTGGCACATACCATCTAAAGGTTGTCAATCTCAAAATCTAACGCCCCAGAACTTATTTAGTCAGTGTAAACGATGCATTCCAAAATTTGTAAAAGTTACAATTGTTAATTTTTCGTTGCACAATGCGTTTATTGTACAAATCAATTTCATTTGCTTAGTGTTCATTACAAATGCATTATTCAATTGTTTATTGCAGCAATTTAAAACTGTCTATACGCTAAGTGTTGCCCCACAAGATCCATTCGCCTATGGCATTTGTGTGTGAAAAGCGTTCGCAAATAGCCAAACAAAATTTGACAGCTTACTGCTAACTGAAAGATCAAGAGGCTGTCGCCCAACAGCGCCAGATGCACTAGAAACTAAACGTGTTTATCATGTTTCAACCACAGACTCAATTTGCCAAACAACGAGTGCAAAGAGGTTCCATTGACTACAGTTTTAACTGCCCAAACTTAATGTCAATCAAAGTTATTTATTGAGCCAAGTGCAGCTAAAAAATCATCAACCTGATTTAGAAATTCAATAAAATTCAATGAAAATTCCATAACGTTTCCAACATAAACCAAATATGCCCTATAAACATCGATTAAGAACAGCTTTTTTAATCATTTTTTAATATACCAAAAACGTGGTGTTTTCCAATTTTTGTAATTTCTGTTTTTTTTTTTAATTGAAGAAGTCCATGCTGCAAACATATTCAATGAATAATATTTACTGTATCCACACTGTATCCACCTTAAATGTACTTTACTTTGGCACACACCCAATAAACTAATAAACACCCGTAGGCATTGGGCCATTTGCATATCACAGTCAACACAGCCAAGCGATTATGCCACATGCAAGTGGAAGTGGCAACTCATTCAAGTGACGCACCAACAAACCACAGACCAGACTCGCTGCTACTTGGGGCGTGTTTAGTTTGACTTGACCGAAAGGTGGCAAACTGAATGACTGAATGACAATTGTGTACTTAGCTAGTGGTCGTCGACAACTATTATAACTATTATTACTATATCGTTTCGTTTTTGTATTTTTTATTTGTATTTTGAGTTTTTGTTGCTTGGCTGTCCTTGTCTTTACAAAGTGTGTCAGTGTGAAGGCCTCGTTTACAAACAGAGATAGATAGATAGATAGAGAGAGAGAGAGAGAGAGAGAGAGAGATATTGCCTTGCCTCGACTCGACTCACCGATACTTCCAGTCCATTTTGGATTTGTGCAAATAGAGCGAGAGCAGCGGCACATCCGATATTTCTGTCTCATGTCCGCCGGCCTCCAGCAGCAGTATCTTCCAGTGCGGCACCTCCGATAGCCGCGAGGCCAGCACCGTTCCCGCCGAGCCACCGCCAATGATGATAAAATCGTAGGCCAAATCCACCTGCTTCACATTGAACGGTCGATTCTCCGGATCGAATAGATCGTAATTGTAGTACGCAATTGCAGCGATTAGAAATGGTAGAATTGTCAGCTTGCCAACGCCGATAACGGCGGTTGTCAGCTTGATGGCAGCCGCGATGCCCAGACCCAATTTGGAGGCGCCCACAGCAGCAATGCCCGCTGCGGCAGCTGCCTTGGAGGCGGCGCTGGCCTTGAACAGCAGCCCACCCACCGAAACGGCGGCGGCGCCCAAAGCAGGCACAACAACCATACTTAATATATAAATATATAATAACAAATATATATATTTATATATATATATATATATATATATATATAGATCTCGCTGCGATCCTTAAGGCACTGCTTCAACTTTGAACACTTCCCTCACGTCTCTCTCCTTTGCATCCGTCACTCACTCAGCACTTAGCACATTTTTGTCGTTTTCTTTTCTTTTTTCCAAGAACTCGCCTTAAACACTTTCATTCACATACATCAATCGCGATCACGTCTACAATTATTGTGGTCGTTGTTGTTGTTGTTGTGGTTGTGGTTGTGCACTTTATTGCTGTTGTTATTGAGCACTTTCATTTGGACGCCCAATGCAAACACAACGGCGGAAAAAAAAGTGTTGTAAAAAAAATCAACTAAAGTGCGAGGCGCGTCGAGTCTTTGCGTAAAATTCCTCGTCGCGCTTGGAGCAAATTCAAAAAAAAAAAAAGAGTTGATAAATTGAAAAAGGCAACCGACTCGTTTGGCAGCCGCTGCGTTTCTGAGCCACAAAAGCAGCTCGTGTACGACGTTTTGTCTGCTTCGCGTTGCTTGATTGTTGCAAGCTTGGGGAAGCGGTTGCGCATGCGCACGCCGAGGAGCTCTCTGCTTCTATGTGTGTGTGTGTGTGTAAATATATTTGTGTGTGTTGGTTCGTGCACACTCTCACACAGTAGAGCTGAGCGCGTGACACGAAGAAAGAAAGTTATTTGATCATTTTGGGCTGTATTCACAGCGTTTCCCGATCAATTTTCGTTCGCTTTTTACTGGCAGCAAATATGTGTACTTTTATGCACTCCTCTTTGTGTCAGATTCTTAATTAATTTACTGGCAGCATACGAATTTAAAGCTGCGTTTAAGATTATTAACGGTAATAATAGAAATAGCCTTTCCAGCAGTTTGTGTCGCCCATTCCATCATCTCATGTCCATCTCCATCTTACTCTTGTGTTTGCTGAAGGTTCAAATCAAGGACAAGTCTTTAATAGTTTATAGAAGCATAATTAATATTGATCCGAAAGCGTAATACGAGAAACTCCAAAACCTTCAAGACGATCCGCTGAGTATTTAGAAACATATTGGGGGTTATGTGATCGTCTTACATACTGTCCAGATCCTTGGCTACCATATATAGCCATCAATCAATTAATTATTTGTAAGGATGCGAGTAGATGTATCAAAGAGTAAAATGATTCAAGGAATCGAAGGAATCTGCAGGATGAATAATATTATTGCCCGTCAATTTAATGTTTGAACATTCGTACGTATTGAATCTAGACTAGAAGTACTCGATATATAAGAAAAATTTATATTTGCTTACGATATTCGGATCGTAGTATTGATAACATATTTGGACACGCGCTCATCTCTAACACCACCACACCAATAAGCGCAAATGGAGAGCGCGCTCCAGATTGTTTGCTCCTTTTCGGCTGCTGTTTGTCGGCAGGTGTTGCGAAACGGTTGAATATTCGCGCTCGCGCTCGCACTCGCACTTGTACTCGATTGCGTGGTGAGCGCATAACCGATTGGCAACCGTTTGGCGCTCCTGCCTCGATGCTCGCCACACTTTTGAGAGATGTCCACAGTTTACCTGTCTGTCGGCATTTTGTCGTTTTCGGATGTTGGACACTTGTTGTTGTTGTTGTTGTTGTTAAGCTTTTCACTTTACTTCAGTTATCTTAGCTCTCTTTTTATTTCACTTAATCAAACGACCTTCATGCTCACTTAGCCGACGATCTCCGGCTTTGTAAGTAGGTGTGTGTGTGTGTGTGTGTGTGTGTGTACATGTGTGTGTGCTCACGTAAGCCATTGGCTTAGTCGGAGCAATGAGATAAGGAACTAGAGTAATGTCGCCATCGCCATCTCCTAAGCGGCAGCGGATGCAAAACAAAAGCAAAAGAATTGCTACAAAAATTATAATAGTTATACTTGAATGTAATGGCAACGAAAACCGGTTGGAAAAACTCAACTCAATTACCGAAATGATTGGAAAAACCGCAGGAAAACAATTATTTTGGTATGAGCCAATCGTTGGTGGTTTGGCATCAAATGCAATTCAATTCAATTCAATTGAATGATGACTAATCATATTTATTACTAGAAAATTAAGCATTTTATTTTAGTAAGCTTCAATTGAGAGTTGCTTTGTTTGTACTGCAGCTAAATATGTTTGTTGTAAGATAATCCTAACATATAATGCAACATATCTCAATAGGTTTGATACTTGAAAATCAGGCTTAACATTAACGAAGGTTTGGAATACATCAGCTCGTAAAATCTACTTGAAGCTTCGCATTCCAGCCCGTTCTTGAGGCAACAAAGTACCGCAATTCCAGCCATCAGCGGTACTCCAATTATCTGTCTCAATCAACTGTTCAAAGCGCATCCAATTCGATTATGTAAACAAATCATATTAAAGAGAGTTGAGGAAGGGGCAGGTGGAGGGGAAGCCCTCTCGGTCTCTCAAAGACGAAGCGTAACAAAATATAATTACCGCCAATTAGTAAAGCGACAATTAAAAGCTATGCCACTATTTATTCGATGTGGTTTTTGTTGTTGTTGTTGGTAGTATACCTAATGTCACAAGGTCAGACGACAATCGGTTTTTGTTTTTTTTTTTGTTGTTTTTTTGTTTATAGCGTTTTCTTCGCTGTGCGTGAGTTTTCCATGCGAAAATTTGTTAGTTCCAGTGTAGCTGGGAAACTCCACGCGTAGATGAAATATGAAACGTCACTAACCAAATATTGTTGACCAACTTGAACAACTTGGCCATGTGCTGAGCAGGCCCTTCAATGAGATGTGAAGTCGTTTATTGCGGTCTAAGAATTGTCAAGGGCTGAGAAGTGGGGCATTTATTTATGACGATGTCATTGAGGAATGCAACAGTGAGCCACATTGTAAAATGGCCAATCTCCAAAGTTATGCAACGAGTCCTCCAGTTGCCCCCGTAAAATCAAATTAATTACAGTCTCACTTATGAAATATACATTTATACATTTAGTTTTCATCAGTAGATATTTTGCTTTAGCACTTTTTTAAATTCAGCTGCATTTCAACTTTCATGCCATAGTTATTATTACATGATTTACAAAGAATTAATGATTGTCTGTCAGATTTATATAACGTTTTGTATTTTTAACAGAATTTAGCTGACAACAATGAGATTTCTACAATGTATTATTATTTGCTATTGTTTTAAACAATATAAAACATTTGTTTATTATTATTAAAGATAGTCCTATTGATTTTTGAGGATTTTTCATTCATATAAATTAAATTTTATAGGCAATTTTGCAATTGCTTAGTTTATTTTTGATTTTGTAAGGGTTTCGCGTTTACTTAAATGAAATTGAATACTCGTTAATTATTATAATTGTTTTGTTAAAACCAAACACTTGGCATTTTCATAATGAGATGACAATAGGCAGTTAGGAAACTTAGGTGGCTAAGTGACCCACAATAAACGACTTCCGCTACAATTACGGGCGACACATAAAAAACGCACAAGTTTCCGGTACTTACGGCTGTTTTGTGCCTAACTGTTTTCGTACCTAACTCTGTGTCACTTGCCTAATCGACGCCAACATTTACTTAAAAGCAATTAAAAGTGAAATGCAAAAAATGCTTAAAATCACACATTTTTGCGACTATTTTTGAGCAGAAGAAGCATCAGTAGAGGCAATGCGGGTGATATAATGATATATATATATATATATATATATTGTTGGTAGTTGGATGCACCACACTGGAATGAGGCAATGAAATTGAAAATGAACTTAATTAAATGACAAAGGCAAAAGGCAAATAATTTTGCTGCAATTGTGGAGCAAACACAAAAAGTGACAAGTGCACGGCGCTGCTGTCAATGTGTTTGAAATCGTAACTCATAACTGTATCTATGTATCTGCCAATACATACATATATACACATATATGTGTGTGTGTGTGTGTATCTTTGGCCAACCACAAAGCCAATCGGAGCGTGGCTTATTGCACGAGCACTACGTGACCTATTCCCAAACTTACCAACCAAACCAAACATAAACCACAATCGGATGTTACTTCCCAGATATGCATGTACATATATACATATATATATGTGTGTGTGTGTGTGTGTGTGCGAGTGTGTCACCACAAGCACACATCGGTAGTTGCTGTGGTAACTGGTAGTTGGCAACTGGTAGTTGAAGTTGTCTCTGGACTGACATCTCTCATCTCTAATCTGTTGCCTAAATGCCTGCAAATGAATTTGTTGCCCCGTTCGCTCATAATTCATTGTCAAATCAGCGTAACGCATCTCTGATGGATCTCATTGCGTACTCGCACGTCACGATTTCGCATTACCTACAGTACCATACCATATCTTACCTTAGCCTACCCTAGCCTACCCTGTGTGCTACCAGCTCTTGGCCAAGTTTAGCCGTTAGTCGATTATGTGCGCGTTAATTGCTTAACCCTTACGCAGAGTGCTTGGGAACCCGCTTAGATTACATATTCACCTGTGTAGCAAGGGAACTGGGATAATTATTTGTTATATTGTTACTAATGAAAATAATTACACAAGTTGCGCATCTATAAGTACATATTAAGCGATATTAATCGTTATCCAGTTAGCCTCAATAACAATAGAAATCAAAACAAATGGCAATTCATTTCAAGCCGAAATCAGCTGCGTGGGCCACTTTAGTTGCGCTCCGTGAGGGGCACTTGTGCGACCCACCGATTAATTACCATCAGTTTGTATGCATGCCAAACAGCCAAACAGTTTGACGAGCACCCAGTTGCCTCGATGTGGCGTCAAGTGGTATGCGGCATAACAACTACCCAAAATTCGCCACTAATTGGGAAAAGTGAAAGCTATCAATCAATTGGCTAAAATCATGCCCCAGACCCAGACCCCGACCCAGTCCCAGTCTCAGTCTCAGTCTCAGTTATTTAGGTACAACTTTATTCATGAAAGATCGAACAAAAACCAGTGAGTGACGACTTGTGCAAAAACTTTTGACATATTCCAAGGTAATAATGGTTATCGTCTTGCTGATGCTGATAATGCTGCAACACCTAACTGAAAGGGCAAAATCGGAAACATCTGAATGATAAAGGAAAGTTATGAATTATGGTGAACAAATCTCCCCATTTACTTTTCTTATATTCTTGTTAACATCGAGTAAAGTTATATAACATTAAATAGTATTTTATGTATATATGCTGTGTACATATTATATATGCACATACATATATGTAAATATGTAGATAGGATAGATTTAAAGATTGCGCTTAACTTATGATTATCAAGTGTTCCGCAATCGACTAAGTGTGTAAATTAATTACTTAAATTAATCTGTAAGACCAGAATGATTAGATTAGATTAGATTAAGTAAGAAAATTAGAGAAAATACTTTTACTTGTGAATCTGTTGAGTTGAGTTTGCCTAAGGATTTCTAGGTAGTGTCACTCTTGTCGTTATTCATTGCTCCTCTGCGATTCATTGCAACTCATTGCGGATAGGGGCAAACACAATTATCTGTTCCTCGGACCTTGCCCCCATCTTCTTCTTACGAACGAGAGTTGGTATCCTCGGAGCGTCCTCCAAGCGTCTGTTTTTGTGTGTGCACCGAAAATGTCATCTCACATCAACAAAAACATGAAAAAACTTAAAAATATTTCGTGTAAAGTGGACCCATCAATATGTTTAAAATAAAACCTGAAATCCAATTAAATTTTTTCTTTCAGTTTTCAGCGCAGATCGAAGCGTAAGCTAATTGGAATTTCGGTTTCGCTGTTAAATGTATTAAACAATTATAAATATAGTTATCATGATTGATGCTTCTTTTGCGTTCAGATGAACTTTGCGCATTGAAAGTCACTGTGCAAAGCTAAACATAACGCACTCTGCACCCAAAAATGTCGCCTGTAGAGCCACTATGAAAATAGTTCAGTGACTCTCAAAGCTGTGCAGCTTATCGCAGTTTCAAACCGCTCATTTTTTTCAATGTTTGACAAGAACTGGAACTACTTGCACCCAAACTGAGCTTAAAATAATTGAGGGCGAGATCTTCGACCGTCCACAGTGCATCTGCAGACTAGCTATTTTATCAATTAATTTTTCATTTTATGATCCACAAATATTATACAAGAAAAAACAACTGCAAATTTCGCCGCACATGTAATTTAATTTCTACAAAAAAAAAAGTACAAAAAAAGTAATTTAATAAGTTTATATAAGTGGATGGAGTTAACCAGAACTCGTAAGATGGCCAGTTCGAAGATGTTGAACTTAAAGCTCCGTATGCTGACTGCTGCCAAGGTAATCCTCCTTGATCATATCGGCGCCCTTCTCACCGATCATAATGCAAGCGGCATTCGTATTCGCACCGACAATATCGGGCATAATGCTGGCATCCATTACACGCAGTCCACTCGCACCATGGACACGGAGACGGGCATCGACGACGGCAGTGGGATCGGTTACGGGTCCCATGCGAGCGGTGCCCACCGGATGGTAAACTGTGGTGGTCATATGACGAATATAGCAGCGCCAGTAATCGTCCGTCTGATAAGCGAAGCCGTTGCACGCCTCCAGATCGACCTTGTGCAGCGACGCCTCGCGCTCCTTAAACGCACTCGTCTCCGGCAGCCGCTTATAGATGTTCAAGGCGCGTATATAGGTGTTCACATCCCGCTCATCGGTCATGTAGCCCGGATCTATCAGTGGCGCATCGAGAAAGTCGGCACTCTGCAATTCCAAACGGCCAGCCGAGAAGGGTTTTAAGTGCAGCAGATATGTGATGTATGTGTTGGACTTCTCGTTAGCCGATAGTATGCTCTTGGCGACCCGCTCATTGAACCCAGTGGCGGCAACATAGCCGCGCAACTCTGGGCTCTGCATCAGGCTGAAGAAATTGGTCGTCTGTATGTCCGGATTGGGACCATGCAGCGAGGTCGTGTTGATGAAGCCCGTCAGCGCCGTTGCCTCGTGATGCAACAGTTTGCTATGGCGACCCATCAGCAGATTGTACATGGCATCTACCAGCTCCTCCTCGGTGGGCTTGCGTGCTGTGGACTTGTCGATCTGAAAGATGACGGGCAGGCTCGCGTGATCCTTCAGATTGCGACCCACAGGCAGGTCCAGCTTAACGGGAACGCCAACGCTCTTCAGATGCTTGGCTGGTCCAATGCCTGCACGGAATGTTTATGAAATAAAGGTGGAATGTATTAATAGATACCAAACGTAACTTGACCTACTAAATCGAAGCTGAACTATTTTTATATAGGCAATGTCGGAGGTAGTAAAATTCTAAGATTAGCTTCTTCAAATAAATAATAATCGCAATCACAATTGCCTTAGCACTATTTGTTTGTAGATATTCTAATAGCTTAATCTGTCATAAGTAGAACTTTTATAAACGTTTCTTTATGCTTGCTAAAACTGGCTGCTATCGCATCAAATTTTCTTAACCAGTCCACCAAATATTCATTCAGTATTATTATTATTATTATAATTTGTTTGTTATTGTGCTTTGGCTATCTTATCGCTCTTTTACGATTCGGCCAAAGATTGAAGAGAGCGGCGATTATTTATGCGCATAGTTTGACATTGGCAAACCTTGACAACTTTATATACCCTTGCAGGGGGGTATTCTAATTTTGTCACACAATGTGCAACGCACTAATCTACTATAAAAATAGGTAAATAGATATATACCAAAGGCTGGCTCGTTGTCTGTCTGTTGTTGTCAATTTGCTCCTAATATATCTTATTTGAAAATGCATTCAAAGACAGATGTTTGCTTATTTTGTTCACTCACCGGAGAGCATCAGTATCTGTGGGGTGCCAATGGCGCCTGCTGAGAGAATGATCTCCTTGCTGGCCCGCACCGTATACTCCTTGGCGTCGCGATGGACAAATGTGACGCTCTCCGCCCGCTGTTTGGCATTTAGATTAAGTCGCTTGACGTGGGCGTGGCGCAGGATGTGCAAATTGGGCGTATCCTTGTTCAGATGAGAGCGGGCGGTGGTAATGCGACGTCCCCCATCCTGAGTGCCCAGTATATCCATTTGGCCGACAAACGAGCCCTCGGTGAAATCGGGCGCACTGCCGTAACCCATCTCCAGCATGCCCGCCCGTATTGTCGAGCGGAACTCATTGTCGGAGACATAGTTGTTGAGGCCCATGGGTCCGCCAACGCCATGATCACCCTTCTTGTAATCGGTTCGCGTGGAACGCAAGTCCTCGGCCTTGCGGAAATGATGCAGCACCTCGTCATAGCCCCAGCCGGGATTGCCACGCGACTGCCAGTCATCAAAGTCGAAGCGTGTGCCCCGCGCATAGATCATTGCATTCATGCCGTTCGTGCCACCAAGCATCTTGCCACGCGGCCAATGGCAGCTCTCACCCTGCATGGCCATGCAGGCGCGTCCATTCGGCTGTGTATGATACTGCCAATCCCACTCGGAGAACTGTGTCGCCATGTGCCACGCAACGAATTCCGTTTCAATGGGCGGATCACCGCCCGCCTCCAGCAGTAGGACTCGCCAATTTGCCTGCTCCGCCAATCGGCCGGCGACAACAGCACCCGAGCTGCCCGCACCGATGACAATAAAATCGTAGGGCTCCTGAAAGCCACCGTTCTGCTCTAGCCAATCACCCTGATCTGCCGGCCACTGCTGCTCACCGCTCAGATCACAAAACTTGGCTATCAACGTTTGCAGCAACAGCGTCATGAGCGTATTCGCCGGCCCTGCCGAGCGGGCCGCGCACTGTGCGCTCAGAAACTCCATCGTTCTTGCCTTGGTTTTCAACTGAAGCTAATCTAATTCGGTAACTGGTTCGGCTGCTCACTGACGCTGCCCGTACGCAACTGATCGCCGGACATTGTCATCAGCCGGCATTTGTACGTCTCCGGCCGCTTTAGCTTTCGCATGCCGCACACATCGCCGTAAATCACCTGCGCCATTTGCATTGCAAATAGCAAACAATAACTGCGCACATATATATATATATACACTAGAAAACAAATTGTACTTTGTTTACTTTGAATTCCTTGTCATATATATTTGAAATATGTTTGTGGAATTTCTTTTTAATTTAACTAAAAACTATCTTAAAAGCAAGAAATCATTTCTTGTTTAAGTTTACTCAACTGTTTTGGTTTCAATTGATAACACTAATATTGAAATTTCTTTGCACCATATTTAGAATTATTATCAACCCAAGTTCTCTCTTTCTTATTATTTCAATATATTCCAAATTTGAGTATTAAATTAATATTTATTTATTAAAACAAAGGTGTGCTCGCGAAAAATATGTTTCATTTTATAAAATAAACATAAATCTGTTTTTATATACTGATCCCGAAAGTAGAGTGCTGGGAAATCGATAACATATCGATAACATCGATAAATATACATCGTTTTGCTGCAATTGTAAAACTAGAGTCATCAGTTTGGCAATTAAAAAGAAATTACACATTTTTAATCTAAAGTCACTAGACTGGAAGTGCTTAATTTAATAATCCCCTCCAAAGATTACCGCCCAACAGACACTCCCTTCCAGAAGTCTCCTTGCCATCACTGGTACCACTTGTAACAGAGTATTTCGCAGAAGGTTGTTCCCGATTGTTCAAATACATTGTCCGTTTGGAATTGTACGCGTTATTAGCTAGATTGAGCTTAACTTAATCCCACATTTTGTTAGCGTGTATTAATATTTATATAGGTTTGTTTATGCCAACATATTCGCAGCTCTGCCGGACGCGCCTTTATCACTGAGCCAGCGGAGATTAGATGCGATATTCAAGTGCGGGTGCAGCCAATAGCTAAGGTGAAGCCAGAAGTACAACTGCAAACTGCTAAGCGAGGGCAACTGATAAGCAAACCCACCCGGCCAATTCAATTACAGTACCTCAAATTGTTTTATATGATCGCATTTCAACAAATAAAGCTATTCATCCATACTCTACGATAAGCCGACGGCAATCACCTTGCCCGGTAGTTCGGTGTGTGCAGTCGACGTGCTGAATCTGTGATGCAACACCTAAACATCTGTAAGCGTGTAAGCTGTTCACCTGGGTTTGGCTAACACGAAGTGCTGGGCACCCTGCCAACAAGTGCAGTTGGCCTTTGGACTTAGTCTCCCCTTTCCTTCTCTCTCTGTATATATATGTATGATAGATTAGTAGGAACCTCCTTCAAAACCTTGTTAGCTACTCTTTCCCTGTTCGGTATAATCTCTTATCTGATGGCATACCAGAGTATTTGGCAATCGGTTACGCCCGACAGCAACGTTTTCTAGTTTTTATTAAGTTTCTCAGAATTTTCCATGCAAGCAAAGCAGAAGCCCAAGTTCAAGTTTGGCTGAAGTGCAGACTGCTGCAAGCGCATTCGACTTCGTTCATTTAATGATGAATATTTAATGATGAATGAATGTTAGAAACTTGCACTATCATTTGGCGTAACAAATGGGCAGCAGATGAGCTCAACCCTCAAAATATAGCAAGCAAATCATTATATCATATATCACACAATAAGTATAAAAATAAGCTTAGTTCAAATCTCAGCAAAAAGGGTATCTTTTGAAATATAAGCTGTAAATACGTTAATTATATGTTTGCATCAGTTTAAGTCAGCAAATATAAAGCTTATACAATTTTGGAAATGGATTTAAGAAATAAAAAAAATGCTAGTGTGCGTCTCCAAGACCTGTGTCCTCATTGGTGAGTGATCCGTCGGTGTAGCATTTTATGATGTGCGATTTCATTGGGTGGACTTCATCTAATGTCGTCCATTCCCTTTTGCTACTCATATGAACTGTGAAATTCTGCTCGAATAGGTATTCAGCTGTCTTTTCATTCCTAGGTTGCATCAGTAGTGAAGAAGTTGGGCATCTGTTTGGCTTAGGATGTGATTGTCCCAACCCCTTCTGGTAATATCCTTAAAGGCGTTCCTTTCTGTTGGAGCCATATGGTATGGAGGCATATTGACGGCTGCCGCTGGCAATAGCAGCGTTTGTCGTACATTGCCTGGCAGGCCTTCCCGTTGTTCTCCGTTTAATAGTCCCACATGACCTCTGCGTACTGCATTCCAAAGTGTAGCACAGGTATCTGGTGTCAAAATAAATCAGTCAGTAGATTAGTTCCTATATCGCTAACCTGGGAACTCATTCAGGTGTGCTCCAATTTGCGAAAGCGAAATGTTTTTCCCCTTTCATTTTCACAGTGGAGGTCTGAATGCGCCAATTTGCAAAAAAAAAACGGGAAAGGTTCTCATTTAGAAAATGGACGCTTTCAAAAGTAAATAACGTAAGTTGGAGCACGCTCAATTAGGCCCAAAGGGGTTTTATATATATTCTTGGTCAGCAACATTGCAAACTTGTCATAGCCTCAAAGCTAGATTGTACCTCGTCAAGCTTTCAATGCAGTGGCTTTTGTATTATAAATTGGTGTCTAGATCAATACTGCACTTAAATTTGGAAACACATTTGCAGTGGAAATGCAAAAATTACTTAATCTAGTGAATACTTTACGATGATGCTTCGAATTTGAATTATATCTCTCTAAAGACAATTAACTTTCTCTGCCCAAGATTGCAAAATTTGAGACGGCAACAACTCTTAAGAACTGGTCTCTTTCAGCTTCTCTTAAGTCTTGTTGTTCTTGTAAATGTTAATATCCTAGAAGAACAGCAATAAAAATGTGTTAGCGACAGTTAAAATAATATATATTCTTTGAGCTTTCTTAACTCTGTTCCGTAAACATGCCATATCTGAACGAGAGATAAAAACATCTCAGATTCGACAGGCGGATCACCGCCTGCCTCCAGTACGAAGGCACGCCATTGGGGATTCTCGCTAAGTCTGCTAGCGACAACAGATCCTGCCAAAGTTATATGGTTCAGTTTAGTCTTGGTTGATGGCCGCCATATCGCCATAGTCCGTCGGCCACAGGGTCGTCGGCGCCACATTGCACTGAGCCACGAGCAGCGCCTGCAGCAGCTTCTGCACCATTCCGCTCCAATTGCCAATCCCATCCGGCCTGCAATGTACATCTTCGGGATTTAATATTTGGCTCTGACTACTATTTGATGCCTGCAATTTATAGCTGCGATAAGCCACAACCTGAATGAGTACATAACTGACTCAACGACCGACTGCCTGATTGGTAATAGGCTTTGTTTTGCCCTGCCTTACCTTTTGTTGACTCTACTATCGGCAAAATAATAAAAAACAACAGCAACTCCAACAACAAACCGATGATCAGCGACCCAGCACTTCGCTGGCTATTACATATATATACAATCATATACATTTACAATCACTGAGTCCTATCTCAGAATGAGTATGCTTAACTCATTTTGCACTTATATTCCAATTAGCATACCTAATAAAACTCTGACTGTTCTTAAAAGTCACAGAAGTTATCAGTCTTATATTGGGAGTTATTGAGGATATCTGAAGTTCATCTTCATACTTAAAGTGTATTCTTCTAACTAATAAGTTTAAGGATATTTAGATATGAACTCTAAATACTATGCTATGCCAATACCTGGCTGCGTGTTCTTTTAAAGCCTTCGTTAAAACTATTTGTGTTATCCATGGAGCTGGGCTCTATTCCTAAAATTTGAAAAGAATCTCCATAAATTGTAAACAAATCTCATTTTCAGAATTACAAAGGTATTTCTATATTGTCCGCTATTCCTAAGATTTTTATGAAGTTGAACAACATCTTTGTAGATCATGATACAAAGATCATGATACTTTTAAGATCAATTTATGATCTTTTTCAGCTTGGACATAATTTTATTTTAAATTTAACAACCTGCTCCTGATTATAAAAAAAAATATATATATATATTTAAATATATATATATATACAAATATATATATTTAAAAATATTGCAAAGTGAAATAAATTAAATAGAAGGACATATAAAGCGCCATCTGTTGGTCGGCGCTCACAGTCCACTGTTCATCGCAATGCGCACAAATTGAACGGGGGCCGGGGGCTCAGCATTGGCGGCAGCGGCAATTAAATTGCTCACAGGAAACAGATTGATGCCAGCGCTGAGATCTGCAAATTGAACTAGAGCACATTATTGATATATATATATATATATATAGATATGGATGATCCTAGAGCGCCAAGGAAACTCACCGGACAGATCGTTGAGCGATGGCACTGTTGCCTCCTGTTCCACTTGTGCCACTTCTGTCACTTGAGTGGTATCTAGCAGCAGCTGTTGTTGTGGCACTGCAGCAATTGTGGGCAACATCAGCAATCCAAACAAAAGCAGCAACAATTGCAACTGCAACTGGCGGTGGGGTGCCTGGATCTTGAGCTGGGGCTGGAGCTGATTTGTTCGCGTCATTTTGTTAGCAGCGGACATCGAATACTGGCCCGTGTGAAAAATCTCGAAAACCTTTTTGAAAATTTCAGCAAAGCATTTGCTGTGTGTGTGTGTGTGGTGTTTGTGTAAACTGCCAAGGCAGTCGGCAAACAGGTAAAACTTGTCGTATTTGGCATTTGGTTCAGCGCCCGCTCATAAATTACAACAAATACCTCAAAAGCGCCAAAACGCCAACAACGAGAGCTGCCAGCAAATTGCGGCGCCTGCATTCAATGTCGCCGGAATGCGCTGGGAAATGCTTTGCTTTGACTTGATTGCAACAGCAACAGCAATAGCAATAGCAACAGCTGACATTTTATACTCAATTAGCAACAAAGACTTAATCTTAGGTCTCCCCGCCCCACTTTCCGCACTGACATTACAATGATTACCACAAAATTGTGCTCAGAACTACACGACAACAAATCACAATCGATGCGAACTTCCCACTCGCATAACTCAATTGGAACATTTCTGGATATATATATATATATATATATATTTTTTGTTTTTATTGCTACACAGATTGAATGGACAATAAAATATCAAATGACATGCATTTTTAAATTGAGCAAAAAAGAACAAAAAATTAAAATTAAAATAAATTAAATAAATAAAAAAAAAAAAACTATATTGATGTGTGTGACAGCGATTACAATAATGAATTCAATATTATTGATATCATAAAGTCTGTTAACACTTGCAATATCTATAACTTTGGGAATATTTTTAAATCGCTTGCTCAAAATACAATATGCACTCCAATTGGCGCACCATTTGCTGTTGTTATTGCAAGCACTTACAGCTTACAGCTGGGCTACCAATTGGTGTCTCTCTGTACGAGTAAAGAGTACAGTTATTGTTTGCTTGCTTTGGCCCCGTTCAAACTTAGTTTTGACCTTCGTTTTGCCAAACACGATTTTCGATTGGTTTCTGTTGTTGTTGTTGTAGTTGTAGTTGTTGTTTATTGATTTACAGAGCTATGAAAGAGTTAAGAAAGGCGAGTGACAACTTAAAGCTAACCAGTTGGGAAGGCAGTCAAATGGATGGAACGAGGCTAGCGCCAACCGCCATGCGGATAGTGATGCCAATCCTGCTTTATAATGTCCGCACCACGCTCAGCGATCATCATCGTTGGTGCATTCGTATTCCCAGTGGGTATCGTTGGCATAATGCTGGCATCGATCACCCGCAGACCACGTATGCCACGCACCCGCAATCGGGGATCAACAACACCGAACGGATCGTGAGCGGGTGCCATTTTACAGGTGCCGACCGGATGATAAATGGTCTGCGAATAAAATCTGGCGAGGCACTCCCAGAACGCATCGCTCAGATACTCCACCTCCGGACAGTTGCGCCACTCGTAAATGTTCATGGTGGCATTCAGTCGTTGCATCGCCGCCGTCTGTGTAAGTCGATGCGCCAGTTTCAGGCCCTCGACCATGACGGCCATGTCCAGTGGATCGTCATAGTAGTTGGCGTGTATACGCGGATGGATGCGTGCATCCGATGAGCACAACTGAAGATAGCCACGGGAACGCGGACGCATCAACAGTGGCGCAATGACAAACGAGTCCTGATACATCATCGGCTCGTACGTGTTTGCATAGTTGTCCAGCGTGATGGCGGCGCCGCGTCGTCCGATCAGGCCACCATCGGAGCCATAACTATAGCTGCCCATGAACAGTTGAACATCGGGCCAATCTTCGTGCGCCGGCTGGTAACGTGTGCTGGCAAAGCCCATCACTTCGCTCACCGGCATCGCATAGAAGAAGCCACGCTTCTGATGGAGAAACTCATCCACCGAATCCGTGTTCAGTTGCTCGGGCATAATGAGCGACATGTGCGTGCCATCCGGCTGCCTGCCGTCAAACGTGTAAATCGCGCCCGACGTCGAGATGTGATCTTGCAGATTGCCACCAACGCCAGGCAGATGCTGTATCACCCCAATGCCCAGCGGTTGTAGCTGGTCGGCGGGTCCCACACCGCTGACCATCAGCAGCTGTGGACTGGCCAAGGCGCCGGCGGCCAGCAGCACTTCCTTGCCGGCCAGCACCCGATGCTGCAGCAGATCATGCTCAAAGGTCACGCCGAGTGCACGCTTCGTCTGCGGCTCAATATCCACTCGCTCCACAAATGCCTTCAGCACAATATCCAGATTGGGACGTTGCCAGCTGCGACGCATATAGCCCTTGTTGGCGCTGCAACGCAGACCATCACGGAGCGTGCCATGCGGCGGTGCAAAGCCGCTTTGCGTCCGTCCATTAAAATCGCCATCGGGATGCGTTAAGCCCAATTGCGATGCGGCATCCATGAACACTTGCCGGAGTGGCGTCGTCGAGCGAAATCTCTCGACGCTGATGGGTCCGCCATGACCATGATACTGACTACGCTCATAGCCAGGCACACGCATATCCTCCGACTTGCGAAAGTAGTGCAGCACATTGTTGTAATCCCAGCCGGGATTGCCCAGCTGGGCCCATCGATCGTAGTCTCGCCGATTGCCACGCACATACATCATTGCATTGATGGAGCTACAGCCGCCGAGAACTTTGCCGCGCGGCCAGAAGCACTGTTGATCCTCCATGGCCAGGCAGTAGCGATCCGAGCGCTCTGTCAGATATTTCCAGTCCCACGGGGTGCGCTGAAATACCGGATACATTTGTGGCAAATCCATTAGGAGCGGCTCATCGCCGCCAGCCTCCAGCAGTAGCACAGTCCACGCGGGATTCTCAGATAGACGGGCAGCCAGCGCACAGCCGGCGGAACCGCCGCCCACAATGATGAAATCGTAACTGGGACGCAGATGACTAATATATATTGACCGGACACGGTGTGCCTCATCCACAATGTCCGGGCGATAGTCCTTGATGCCCTTGTTCAGCGACAAGATGACCAGCGCCGAGGGAACGATCGTGAGCAGAAACCGCCATGTGGTCACAAACGTATTCACCACCGTCATATTCGATCCGAGTCTCTGGCTAAATGTTGACTGAATTCACCAGCTCAAGTTTGGGTTCGGTTTGAATTTGAGTTGGAGTTGGAGGAATTCTTTGGAATTGCACAATTTGCTGAGCCATCGCAAAACGTTGTTGACCAAAAACGGGTGCAATGACCATTGTCAGCATTCTCACTTGCATTTCGTAATACTCTTCGCACACTCCAATGCCAAGAATTGTACTTCCGATTTGTATTACTCGAATGCAATTGAGCTACTTCTGCACCCACAAAACACACGTAAATACATTAAAAGCAACAAAAAAACAAAACAGAAACCAACTAAAAAAAAAAGAACTCGACTACGATATACCCTGATCCCAGCTGTTAAGTATATAATAGTTTCATTGGTAAATTTCCCTTTAAATAATTGTTAGCCTCTGCCTTAATCAGAAGCCTTTGGCTTTAAAATTGTGGCTTTTATTGCTATCGGAAATCGAAATGTATCGATATTCGGGAAACGGAGTTAGCTATCGATAAAATGAAGCTAACTTGTTCTGTTTATGGTATGCGAGAACTTATATTTGGAGGAGGTGCTTCCTTCTGCCTGCTACATACATTTGCACAAAACCAATATACCCTTTTTACCCGCCTTTCAATGGTGTTGCACTTGAAATACCCTAGTAAAATAATCATTATTCAAATTGAAGAGATTCATACATCTATGTTATATAAATATCTTGAATTTGTTTTTAATAAATATTTATTGCTTACAAATGGTCAGCTTTGTTATGAAAAACAGTTAAATAAACAGTTAAATGGAACCTGCACCACTGTTGTATATATGTTATACCCCTTGGCGACCTTTGCATTCATACAGGGTATGCCATCAGCGTTTATCGCTGTTGCTGTCAGCAGCGCTTTTCTACAGCTCAAGCGCTGAGCGTAGCCGTCAACAGTTAACTGATCGACTTCAGCTGTTCAGTTGTTAACTGTAAAACATTGCATTTCATTCAAGTAAGGTGAAGGGGTTGGAGGGGGGTTGGCTTTTGTGAAGGGCCAACATTGTATAAGCTTGTCTAAAGCGCTGTGTCAACAACAGCAGTCAACAAACAGCAGCTAAATATAAACAATATTTGAATGCATTATTTATGATTTACAATGTGGAATGGCAGCAGCAGTAGCCAACAAGACGCATGGTTCTGACGCGGCCCCAATTAGTTCAAAATGGATAACGTGCTCGTTAAGACAACCCATCTAAATCATGGCATATTTCTGCTGTTACTGCAACTGCAACTGCAACTGCCACTGCAATTGCTGGCATCAACTGCTGACGGTGAGCCACTTAGCAATGGTGTTGGCCTGGCACTGCTCGAATCGGTGGCCGCAGCATTGAATGCCTCCAGTTGGACGCTGACCGGCAACTGGCCGCCCAACTATGAGCAGGCGGCAAGCGGGCAGGCGGAGCAATCGTTTGATTACATTGTAATTGGAGCGGGCAGCGCAGGCTCGATTGTGGCCAGCCGGCTGAGCGAGCAGTCGAATGTGAGTGTACTGCTGCTGGAAGCGGGCCATCGACCGCCCCTGGAATCAGAGATCTATACGCTGAGCGGCACACTGCATCACGATGCGCGCTACATGTGGCTGGATGAGGCGGAGCCGAGTCCAAATTGCTGCCTGGCCATGAAACCCGGACACGGCTGCAGCTGGTGGCATGGCCGTATGCTGGGCGGCACTGGTGCCATCAATGGCAACATCTATGTGCCCGGCAGTGCCGACAATTTTAATGGCTGGTGCCAGCGATTCGGCCTCAAGGGTTGGGATTGGGCGCAGGTGCAGCGAGCGTATCGCAAACTGCAATCGCGTCTGCAGCTCGGCAATTTTCCGCTGGAGCAGCACAATCAGCGTCTGGCGGATCTGATCTATGCGGCCAGCGGTGAGTTGGGCGTGCCACGCCTACAACAGCCCCTGAACTCGACCATCAGTTTTGGGTATACGCATCAGGTGCCCGCCACCATATCCCGTGGCAGACGCACCAGCAGCGCCCGCCAATATCTGGCTCAGCCGGATGTGCTGAGGCGCCCCAATCTGAAGGTGCGCCACGGTGCCGAGGTGCAACGCTTGTTGCTCAGCTCCAGTGGAGAGCGCATGCGTGGCGTCAGCTATGTGCTCAAGCCCAGCAATCGCAGGTGGAATGTGTGGGCGCATCGTGAGATAATATTGAGTGCTGGGGCACTTAACTCGCCGCAACTGTTGCTGCTCTCGGGCATTGGCAATGCCAGCGAGTTGGAAGCGGTGGGCGTGCAGCCACGCCTACATTTGCCGGAGGTGGGTCGAAATCTGCAGGATCATGGCATGCTGCCACTTCTGCTGCGCTTCACCAGCAACTGTAGTGCCGCCTTTCGTGGGCGTGGCCCCTTTGAGCCCGCCTCCGTGGCCGAGTATCTGTTGCAGGGGCAGCATGGACCGCTCGCCGCCAGCTTCTCAATGATGGGATTTATTAACTCGAGTGCGCCGGCCAATCTCACAGGTCAGCCGGATTTGCATGTGGTCTCGCACAAGTTGCTGCCACGTGGCAGCGCTGCCAGCTTTGCCTATTTGGGGTTTCGCAGCGAACTGGTTGCCGCCCAGCAGGCAGCGCTGCAGCAAACGGACATGTTGCAGCTGATCGGATCTTTGCTGATGCCCAAGTCGCGGGGCCGGGTGCAGCTGCGCAGCGGCAATCCGGAGCAGAGACCGCTGGTGTGGAACAACTATGGCGAGCATCCAGCTGATCGTGCCACATTGTTGCGCTACGTGCGCTACGTGCAACGTTTGACGGACACACGCGCCTTTCGCCGCTGTGGCCTGCAATTGTGGCTGCCACCGCTGACCGAATGCGATCGACTCGCTGCTGACTCGGATGCGTATTGGTTGTGCCACATACGCTACATGTATGTGGGCGCGTGGCATGCAGCCGGCACCTGCCGCATGGCAGCCACTCACAATGCTGGCGTCGTCGACGAACGGCTGCGCGTGCACGGCATCAAAGGGCTGCGCGTGGTGGATGCCAGCATCATGCCGGAGATTACATCCGGCCATACGAATGCGCCCAGCATGATGATTGGCGAGCAGGGTGCCCGCATGATACTCGAGGATCAGCAGTGTCACATCGTGCCACAGTCAGAAGCGGACAAAGCCAATCCAAATACCATTTTGAAATAAATGCAACTTCCAGTTGGAAGCCACAAAAACAAAGATTTGTCCACTCGGAAACAGCTAGAACTACTACAACTATTTCTAGAAATATTTTGCGGTTTTTGTTTTCCCATAAAATGTATATCCACTTATATGGCTAAAATCAGGGTGTCCAAGCGGAGTTGGTATCGGAACCGCATGCTTACCGATTCAAATTCAAAATCGGAATCAGAACTTTAAATTTAAATGTGCTTAAAATGCAAACAGAACTGAACTGATATTATTTTTCCAGCAAAAACTATAATATCGAGAAATCGGAAACTAAATTCATTTCGATTTGATGCCAGAGTTAAAACTATTCCAATCCAAAATCTATTGGGGACTTAAGTATATAGCCAGTATATATCTTGCTTACCCTACACAGATCAAAAATGTATTTCATGTTTGGGGTTCAGCTTCACTCACGTAATAGCTATGATCCAATCAAGATATATTATTCAAATATCTTTAATGAATATAGTCGGATTTCAGTTGAAAAAAATATCATTTAATGGTCACTGGTTCGATGTTGCATAAAATTACAATAAATACATACAAATTTCTTATAAATATTAAAAAAAAAATCCATAAATATTATTAGAGAAAATGAATTTAAAAAAAAAAAATACCAAACACACTCACAAATCGATTCACACACGCATTCAGAGTATCACACTTGAGCACACGCAACACAACCACACACACAGAGTGAGAGAGAGCGAGAGAGAGAGAGAGAAAGAGAGAGTAGATGTGGCTCATTAGACTAATGTATTCTTGATCCAGAACTCCTTGATCATATCGCTGCCCTTCTCGGCAATCATAATCACCGGCGCATTCGTATTGGCCGATACCAATTTGGGCATAATGCTGGCATCGATGACACGCAGTCCGCGAATTCCGTAGACACGGAGCTTGGCATCGACGACCGCATCCTTGTCCCAATACGGACCCATTTTGCAGGTGCCAACGGGATGATAGATGGTCGATGTGTACCGTCGCACCATGCACTCCCAATACGAATCCGTGAACGGTGGCAGCTGATCGCAGCCCGGCCAACGTATGCTGGACAGTCGTGAGCCAAAACGTTGCATCGCCTTTGTGCGGGACAATGCCACTGCGATCTTGACACCCTCAATCAATGTCTTCATATCAAACTCATCGGTCAGGTAGTTGGGCATGATGTACGGATAGTCGAAGGGATTACTGCTGCGCAACTTGATGCTGCCCACGCTTCGTGGACGCAACAACATTGGTATTATGCTCCATGCGTCCCGGTTGTTAATCGGCTCAAAGACCGCACGATAGAAGGCGTCCGTCAGGCCGTGTGCCTTGCGCAGTTGCGATCCGCCATCGGAATTTGTGGAGCCCGACACGAAATGGAACTCAATGTCCGGCCAGTCCAATGTGGTGTTCGCGTACTTGGTATTCACATAGGCCAAACCCTCAACGCCGCCAAGTATGGTAAGTGGTCCTTGGCCAAAGACCGCATACTGTAACACCGTCGACATGGTATGGAATCGGTTCTCCACAATCGAAACCGGCTGATTGACGAGAAACGTCAGACCGCCCAGTCCAATGTGATCTTGGAGGTTCTCGCCAACGCTCAGCTCCTTGATGAGTGGTATGCGATGCTTGGCTAGCTGCTTGCGTGGCCCAACACCGCTCAGCATCAACAGCTGGGGACTGTTCACGGAGCCGCCCGATAGGATTACCTCCTTTGTGGCACGCACATGGTATAGCTTCTGATCCTTGACAAACTCGACGCCAAAGGCCAATTTGCTGACCGGATCGATCATAATGCGGGTAACATGCGAATTCATCGAGATGTGCAAATTGGAACGCAGTCGTGCTGGTCGCAGGAACGCCTTCGATGTGGAGCAGCGTGAGCCGCGTCTCGTTGTGCCCTGGGCAATCATGAAGCCGGTCATTTTCTCGCCATTCAAATCGCGATTGTCGTAGCCCATCTCAACGCCCGCCTCCACAAAGCTGGCGGCGAGGGGCGTGTGATATGGCGCCTCGCCCACCGTCAGATATCCGCCAGTGGCATGGTAAGGTGTACTGGCCAAATACGGATTAGTATTGTCCTCCGATTTCTTAAAATAGTAGAGCGCATCGCGATACGACCAGCTGGGATTGCCCATCGCCTCCCAGTTGTCATAGTCGTTCTTCGAGCCCCGCAGATACAGCATATAGTTTAGCACCGAGCTGCCACCCAAAATTTTACCTCTCGGCCAATTACAGCGTCCGCCTTGCATAGCTGTAAAAGCAAAGGATTGTTTTTTTTTTAGATGTGTGGAGGAAAACCTTTCAGGTTAGATACAAAAGAGGGAAATTCTCTTTGGCAATTCTAAGGGAGTGTGGATGGAGGGTATGTTCTGGTCTTACCCAAGCAAGCTGTGCCCGATGGCTCCGTTTTGTACTGCCAGTCAATTTTGGATAGCTGCAAATAACCGGCCATAAGTGGCACATCGGTTAGCTCGGTCTCATCGCCGCCCGCCTCCAGCAGGAGGACATTCCAGTTCTCCACCTCGGTCAAGCGATTGGCAACCACAGCACCGGCCGAACCGGCGCCAATCACTATGAAATCATAATGATCCAATATGTCGTCACTGCTCACATCGCTGGGCTTCGATTCGGGATCCATGATTTCCTCATACTGAAAATAGGCAACCGCTGCCATTAGCATTGGTATGAACCAACTGTTGCTTGTCGCCGCCGTCACCGCACCGCCAATCGCCGATGCGGCACCCACAATAGCTGAGCTCATCGCTGCTGTAAGCCTCCTTCAAGTGTTCCAAGCGATAGCGATCTGTGTCTGCGATACGTGATATGTCTGCAATCGAATAAAATACTCAAATCCTCACTGAATATGTCATGAAAAGTCACGTTTTGTAATGTATGTAATCGGGTTAGTCGATTCGATAGCTCAGCTTTTCATGCGCCTCAATATTTCGATCACGTTTTGCGGTATTTCGATAATTTCGTAACTTGGTTTTCGTTAACTCCATTTGTTATGCATACCTTTACCGCTACCCATCCACCCATATGCCTTACAACATGTCCGACTCCTCTTATCAAATCTATGCGATCCGACTGGGTCATCAGTTTAACGAGTGAGCTTTTATCTTGCCTACATTCAACTATATACATGCAAGCATACATATACACACGCACACACACACACACATAGTTCTAGTTAGCTATGCACTCAATCAGAAGCAAGTAAGTTACCGTTATTTCAAGCTCTCACATACATATATACACACAAAAAAGCTTTGAGAATAGGTTTAGAAGCAATTGAAAAAGCTTAGAATGTGTTTGTTCAAATGGATTTGCTATTTTTGGCACTTATTAGTGGAAAGTGGAAGAATTGTGGCATGGAACAAGGCAGATTATTTATTATTCGTGTTTGTAATTTCTGATTTCCTTTACTTTTTGTCGATCTAATATGACAAATGCTCCAATAATTATCTCATGTTGTATAACTTCTTAACAAAATACATATTCAAAATTGAAGTAATCGCTAATACTAAGCGCATGTGAGCTTTTGCGCTGACTGCATTTTCTTAGAGCAATATCAAATGTGAGCTTTGTTGCATTTTTCTTCTTCTTTTTCTTGTTATTGTTGTTGGAGTTGCGGGTAAAAGAGCTCCCACATAAAAGTGAAATCTTTAGCGGCTGATAAAAAAAAAAAAACGTAAAACTATACAAACTTTTGAATGCCGCTTTTCACTCATTATTTCTGATCGGAAAGCCAATCAACAATTGTTGTAGGTACACATGCACAGACACACACAGACAAACACTCACACACATACAATATGCATGTGTGGATAACCAGTTTGTTTAGCCTGGCCCGGGTTGTGGGCATGGCAAGCCGCCCTATCGATCGCCGGACTCGTTGAAAACGTTTCCTGTCGCGATGACTTTGCATAATCTTTGGCTAGCAACGAGCTAAACTAACGGCTAAAACTACAACAGCAGTATTAACAGCAGCAGCAGTTGTTGTTGTGGTTATTGTTGTTGTTATTCTTGTTGTATTTTGCAATTACAAACTTGTCGCTGATATTGTTGCTGCTGTTGCTGTTGCTGTTGCAAACTGGTTGCTGCCGCTGCTCCGAGTTGAATGTGCGCTGCGCTGCTCAAGTTCAAGGTACCAGCTAAATAATACATAAAAAAAAAATACCAAAGCACAGCAACGTTAACAGCGACGTTGGTAGAGGCCGCAGTCGCAGCAGCGGCATTTTGAAGTATGAAGCATGCGAATAGCCGCTAAATAATTGAGCAGACACACAGCGCCAAAGAGAAATGCATAACAGCGCAAGCTGGTACCAAATAGCCACAACAACAACAACAACAACAGTAACAGTTATCACAACGAACATTTAACGAAGCAACGATGAATCACTTTCGTTGAGAAAGCTTCCGTTGCGTAGGAGTTGCTGTCGCTGTCGCTGTCGTCGCGCTACGCATGCGTCGACGTCGGCTTTGCACGGCTGTGCGCGTTCTTTTCGAGCCGTGTTCTTGCTGCGCCGCCGCAGCTGCTGTTGTTGACTTTGATTTCTTTTTGCCGTTGGCACACTTTTGCATTGTCAAATTGTTAGCACACACATACACATACACATACATACAGACATAGATTGGCATGTGAATCATTTTGCCCTTCCTCAGTGCCCATTTCTTTTCTTGTTACTCACTTGTGCTCGAGAACTTTTGCAGATGCAAAGCAACGAGCTTTTGCTTCTTCTTCTTCTTTTTTGTAGTAGTTGGTGTTGCTTTTGCTTACACTTTTAGTGCGAGGTGTAAGCTTAATGTTCGATGCTTTGTTTTTTTTTTGTTGTTGTTGTTTTTTGCTTTCTTTAACACTTTCTTTCTATGCGTGGTATTGCGGCCGCGCGCTGCGACGTTCGCTGGCCAACTGAGGCATTGAGCCATTAAAGCGAAGCGTAAACAGCCATTGCTACAAATGGCCACCACTCCAACTCGCTCTCTTTCTCTCACTCACACACACACACACACACATACTTTCAAAGAGTTGTTACGACTGCGCAGTCAACGCAATGCCCTTTGGGCTCTGGCGTCACAGGTCCGTTGTTTGAACGGTTGCATTGTGGGACAGAGTGCAGCTGACTGGAATTGAACCGTTGGATGATGGCACCTCCCCAAAATGGCCAACGGCTTCTTCCTGTTTGGCTTGTCATGCTGACACCACTCTTGGCTTAATACATATGCTCATCCATCAACTCTTTGACGTGTTTGCCGGCACGTAGACAACTTACACTCACTCACACACACACACACATAAATACACAGAAGCAACAAAAGCTTTAGCGACAGCGAAATGCTTTCACTCTTACTATATAAGCCACAGGCCATTGCGACGCTTTTCCCCCCCGCAGCCAAAAAAAAAAAAACCAAAAAAAAAAAATGTGTGTGCCACAAGCCAACGGTATTTGTGGGTCAGCAACAGCAACAGCTGCGCAGACCTGGCCTGCCCCAAAGACGTCAACAGCGTTAACAAAGAATAACTAGCTGCATTAAATATGTAACATTATAAACAAAAAACAAAAAAAAAATTTTTGAATTGATTGGAGTTTTAAATACAGTTAAATAGGTGTGAAATTTGTAACATGTAAATTTTTAAAAGACAATTTGAATATCATGTTCAAAATACAAAATATGCTAAAACTGTTTCTTAATGAAAATGAAAAGACTTTTTGCCACATTTCTGTGTTGAAAGTCGAAATTGAAATAAATGCGTATTGCATAAAATTAAAAAAAAAAATGATTTTATCTATTTATTCTGTTTGCAAAAGTTAACATTTGAATATAAATATTAATTATAACAAAGGCTTAACTGAGGGCTACACTACATGGATGGGAATAGATTAATACTTAATAATATTTCAAATAATTGTTGTATTTACATTACTTAACTTTGGTATTAAGAAAATCGATAATAAAAAAATAGATAAAATAAAATAATTACTCAGCCCTGTTAACATTTTTTTTTTTTTTCATTCTTGCAGGTGGCTGCTGTGGCTCGATGAAGAAGCGAACGATTGTCGGTGGCTGGGCCTGGGCCTGGTGGCTGGTGACGGATGTGCAGCGGCTCTCGCTGAATGTGATGACACTGAATCCGATGTGCGAGAACGTGGAAACGGCCCAGGGTGTACCGCTGACGGTGACCGGCGTCGCCCAGTGCAAGATCATGAAGGTAGGTGGGCGCTCGCGAGTCTGAGTCTCGTTTCCCTAAAAGTAACCACCTTCATCCGAGTATATCTTTGTATCTTGTATCGAATTCTCCGAGTGGGAAAAAGTACGATTTGCAGATTTTTAAGTTCTGCATGCAAGTTCCATATATAGCTTTTATTAGTCCAAAAAAAAGCAAAATGTATATCTCAAAATCTATATATATATATATATATTTAATACTTACATATATCAACTTTTGTATCTGGTAGCTACGTAGAAACGCGTCTGAAATTTGGCTTACAATTTACCTTACATTACCTGAACTATTTTGATACGTATGCGAATTACAATTACAATTTAATCCCGTTTCACACTTATTTTTTTTGTTTTCTTTTTGGTTTTTTTTTTTGGTATATGTAAATTTTAATATTTTTTATATTCCCCTTGAAAAAATGAAAATGCAACTCAAATAATTATATTTAGCCTTGCAAGCGCCTTAGATCTGATCCATCAAAAGTAAGTGTAGAATGATTCGTATCAAAATTCTAAAAATTCCCTCAATACTATTCACATAATTGCTTAAAAGTCCAACTACTGCTTTAGAGACATTTGTGATCTGTATTTACTTATCAGACTACTCACAGACTTGCACTTTTAGGCAAAGTGTCGTTTGTACATAGACATTTTCGAGAAGCGCATTTGAATAAACATCAATCATAGTATTTGAATGCAATAAATCACATTTAAGGCGATTCAAATCGTACTGCACACAGTTATAAGTTAAGTTATTTTTTGGAATAATCACAAGTCACCTGAATGCACCCGAAAATGAATCAAACATTCACAGTAGCTCAGACGTGAATCAATCGCTGCACAGTAGTTCACTTTGCGGTGATAATGAATAATCAATCAGTTTGCAAAATATGCACTCATTCACAGTACTTTTGATTCGAATCACTCTTTGCACAGTCATTCAGTTGCAGTTGTTAACAATAAATTGTATCCTTGGTTAATCCATTCAAATGACATGTGTGATTCAAGCATATGAATTTCTATACTTGGTATCTGAAATCATACTTGCACACTGTTAATTCACCGGTTGAAAACCCTTTTTTGTATGCCACATAAGTGTGATTTGGATCTAAACGTAAAAGAAATTCCAAATTATGTCCTTACTTAATTATTTCATTTCATTATTACAGTCAACTTCGTATAAAAATAATGATTATCATAACAACGAGGTATGTTTATTGTGTTATATAATTTTATTAACTTGTTTTGGGTTTTGTTTCGGCTTCGTTGATCTCCGATAACTGTCTTTGGTTCTTGTCAATGTACTCATCTATGGATAGGTCAAAATTCAACTACAACAACATATTGTAAAGCACTCACACACACACAAACACTCACATGCAAACACAATCAGTGTTCAGAATTATTAACTCCATCCATCCATCCATCCATCCATCCACCCATCCATCCATCCATAGAGTGTCAATGTCCTGTTTCTTAGCTGCCATTTAATTTGCTGCATGTTTGTTGATTGTGATTTATGATTTACAACACGTATTTAGCGAATCACTCACTCAATCTACAGTATAGTTAATAAGACGAGTATTAGGTATTAATACTCGTGCATAGCGGACTACATATATATAAACAGTCGAAATTTGTTGACATTTGTGTTTTACCTTTTCTCTACTTTCTTTTACCACTACTACCAACCACTTACCCTGCGCTCGAATCGTTCGAATCAATCTCCAATCAACTCAACTCGAATCAACTCAACTCATCAAACAAATCCGACAAAAAAAAAAAATTAATAACAAAACAATACAAAAACAAAACAAAAAACATACCGCAAAACTGTAAATGATAATAAATCCAAATTAACAAATCACTCAATAATAAATATAAATAACCAACATTATTTAATTGAATTATGCCTACTGCTAAACGTCTGCTAATGTTACTGTTACTGCTAATGTTACTGTTACGGTTGCTGTTGCCATCAATCAATGTATCAAATGTGTGCGTGTGTGTGTGTGTGTGTGTGTGTGTGGGTGTGTTTGTATCTAACATAATTACAATTACTGATAACTACTCAAACAATATTCAACAATTACTCATTTATTTCGCTGTGGCTTTGGATTGTCGACTTCCGTTATGGCTGCTCTCTTTCTCTCTCTATCTCTCTTTCTCCATCTCTTTCTCATTTGGTGTGACGTGTGTTGATCAATAAATACGAATCAATAATAACACTAACATGAATCCATCTAACCAATCATTGACATACTCACACACACACACACACACACGCACACACACACACTCACACACACACACACACACATACGCACACACGCACACATACACACACTCTCACCCACAGATGATGAATGTTTATTATTTTCATCATCAGGCCGACGAGCTGCTTGGCACAGCCAGTGAGCAATTTCTGGGCAAGAGCGTTAAGGAGATTAAGCAAACCATTTTGCAAACGCTGGAAGGACATCTGCGCGCCATATTGGGTAAGACATGCAAACATGCATCGCACATGCATCGCACATACATCACAATTACATCATACATACATACATACATACTCATTTCTAATTTATTATAACGTATATATGGAGTATATGGTGTCCAAACCTCCAAACATCTAAATCATTTATCCAAAAAACGTACAAAATATTGTATAGCATTGAAAGTCGGACTAAACTAGTGGTCCTTATTTTGCAAGCACTAGATCCACATATATATATATATACCTGATCAGCATCACTAGGCAAGTCGATGGGGACTACTCGAGACTCAGGACTCGAGATCCGACCGGATCGGACTGCTATATCATATTGCTGCCTTAAGAACGAGATAGCCTTCGACATTCATGTCAGCCTGCTCCGAAAGACAAATGTGGATGATTCAGTACACAGCCAGCCAACAGAAAAATCAAATTTATTTAAAACGTACAAATAACAAATAAATATTTCAAATTCCAGACTAAAGTTCAGCTTTCAGTAAATAAACTCTGGTATGCAATGTCGTGCCTGGATTTATCATATAATGCTTTTGACCTTTAGACTGCCTGTTCAAAATTGTTAGCAATTGACAGTCGAAGACCAATCTTTGATTTTAGAATCAATCCATATTAGTTTGCAATCAATTTAAGCCAGCGAGAAAGTTGCAGTCGGGCATAAGTCGGGATTGCGAAATACTCTGATACCAATAAGTCATGCCACGAAATACTACCTATGAAGGAGACCACCCCTAGTAGTCAACCATCCACGTTTGCCTTTAAAATTGCGATACATAGCGAATTTTGTGAAACGATCTTAGTAATCCACCTTCAAAGTCGTAAATTCTGAGTGCCTTAAGATTGTGGCAGATGTTTGCTATTATCGATTTTATCTCTTAGTGGAGGCACTCCAATTTGTACACTTTGTCTGACGCGGGCACAGACCAGTATATCTACCAAGTTTCAAGTCACTGTCTCTCAGAGGGGCAGCCAATATAGTATGACACTTTCGGTATCAGAGTATAACAATTGATTATGGATTAGTGCGAAATAACTAGAAGTGAGAAACTCTTGAGAAGCCAATGCTTACAAATTCATTGGTAGCCTCAGGCCTCAAGTACAATCATCAGATTGTAATCAAGTTGTAGAATAGAACTCGAAACAACCTTGGATGCCAATTGATTAAACTAATCAAACTGGACATGAATACGGCTTAACGAGTGCATTGAACTAAACTGTGAATGTTGGCCGGCCACTTGGCAGTCGTGAATGTTCGGGGAACTGTAATTGGTTTTGCTCAGCCTAATGGATGTTTTGACCTTGCTGTGAAAGACCCCTGACGATGTAGTTGTATGTGGTTGTTATAGTTATAGTTATAGTTGTAGTTATAAAACGTCGCCACAGTCGTGTTATTATACTCGTTTGTATGTATGTATGTATCTAAATCTCAAGGCGTTTTCCATTTGTGCAACGTTTACAATTTGAATATTTTGCTGATACTAGTCGGAAATAGGGGGTTGCTTTCTCAGTGCTTGTCTCAGTTGTAAGCGCAACGAGCGACGCTCCGGTCGCAAAGTCTCCGAGCGGGTCGTCACACCATATATATATAACCAAGTAAAACCCACCCACCCATCCAAACCCCCTACCACCCCACTCCCCACCGATTTGCTTTTCATGACGTGTTGTCATAATTCAATTGAATCGCGTGTGAACAACACAACTGTTTTGTTTATGTGTGTTATTTATTCCATTTATTTGGCATCGAGTTACCAGCAATTACCAGCAATTGGAAGCGTTCTTCATCTTCACCTTGACCTTATTGGTTTTTTCGTTTTTCTATTTTTGGAGAACATCACCTATCTCAACATGAGATACGACAACCATCGACAACAGACTTTAGAAAACTTAACTCGCAACTAGGAACATTATTCAGTATTTTTCAATCTGTGGATTCGTGGATATCTTGACATTAAAGCCAGTCCCAACAAAATATCAAAGTATTCCGCATCTAATTCAATCTATATAGATGTCTATCCATATTTTTACTCCTCTCTATAGATATAGAGATATATTTTAACCGATATCTTGCAATTAATAAAGTTAGCTGATGGGCAATGAGAATACGCGAATGATTTTTGTGAAATCCCGAAAGTAGTGTTCTACATGTATATATACTGGATATATTCAGTATGTAATCTCTAGATACTAATAGATCCACTAGTTCCACTCTAGAAAATACTTGTCAGCATATCAGCTCTTCAACTGAGACAATCTGCAAATTTTCAGTTAAAAGAGCTTTAAAGCTGAATAGAATTAATCCAATTGAAAGCTTCAAAATGACACTAGATGCTTTTGCCATGGAGCTTACAGCTGAAAGCTTAACAACCATAGAGCTTTCTGCTGGATAGTGACGTGTGCTGGTTATCAGCCCTGTCGGTTCCCTGTTCGTACTATCAGCCAGTCGCTCAAGACATGGCGATAAGACTGCACCAATGACGTCAAAAGTAATACAAATGTTTAAGTGAAGAAAAAAACAGCGAACAAAGAAGAAGAACAAAAGCGATACGTCCACTGTCAACTTAGATAAAAACGGTTAATAACTGTGACCGCTGCAATCAGTACAAACTTAGCTGAGGGGGCTCAAACAAGGGGTCCAACTGGGAATAGCTGCGACTTGAATTCAAGAGCGGCGACAACCATGTCTGTGGTATGGATTGGCGCCCTTAAGGTGGTCATGATAGTGGGCGTCACCTGCCTGGTGGTCAAACGGTAAGCGATCATTGGGGAAACCCTTAACCCTTCACTCACACACACTCGTTGACTCGCTGAATTCGATGGAATTGATTGATTATCGATGGCTTCTTTTCTGTTTGTGATCTCAATAGGAACGCTTACAGTCGAAGAGGTATACAAAGATCGCGACCAATTCGCGGCTTTGGTGCGCGAGGTTGCCGCACCTGATGTCGGCCGCATGGGCATCGAGATATTGTCGTTCACCATCAAGGATGTCTACGACGATGTGCAGTACTTGGCATCGCTGGGCAAGGCGCAGACCGCTGTGGTCAAGCGGGATGCGGACGCTGGCGTTGCGGAGGCGAATCGTGATGCGGGCATTCGGGAGGCGGAGTGTGAGAAGAGCGCCATGGATGTTAAATATTCGACGGACACCAAAATCGAGGATAATACGCGCATGTACAAGCTGCAGAAGGCCAATTTTGATCAGGAGATCAATACGGCCAAGGCCGAGTCGCAGCTCGCCTATGAGCTGCAGGCCGCCAAGATTCGGCAGAAGATCCGTAACGAGGAGATCCAAATTGAGGTCGTCGAGCGTCGCAAACAGATCGAGATCGAGTCGCAGGAGGTGCAGCGCAAGGATCGCGAACTCATCGGCACCGTCAAGCTGCCCGCCGAAGCCGAAGCCTATCGCGTCCAAACAATCGCCCAGGGCAAACAGTACGTATTGAATACCATACACCATATACCATATACCATCTAGCATATACATTCATCGATTTCGTTGTCAACTATTCATGATTATGGTCTTAGTGCTTTGTGATTTTTGATTAGGCGCAACACATTCTTATCAATTCAAGCGAAATCATTTCACCTTTCCGATTGCATTAAGCATGTTTATTTATGATTGATCGCCGGAATATAATCAATAATTATTTGCTACCCTGTTTTGGTTTCTTCAGATTTGATAAAAATACATAACTAACTTGAGTATAAACAATACAGAATAGAAATAATTGCAAGTGCATCTCTCAATCCTTGAAGCATCCATTGATGAAATGAAAACGGAAAGATCTTTAGTTATGACAGATTTGAGCACTCCAGATATCTAACTGGCATTTTGCCTTTGTTTCTTTAAAATAGATGCCAGACCATTGAGGGTGCCCGTGCCGAGGCGGAGCGCATTAGGAAGATTGGTGCAGCGGAGGCTCATGCCATTGAGCTGGTTGGCAAAGCGGAGGCAGAACGCATGCGGATAAAGGCGAATGTCTACAAGCAGTACGGCGATGCGGCCATCATGAACATTGTGCTCGAGTCGCTGCCCAAGGTAAGAGCGAGAGAGAGAGAGAGAGAGCGAGAGCGAGAGCGAGAGATGATCTAATATGATTATTTTATGGCGTACAATTTTAGATTGCTGCCGAGGTGGCTGCACCGTTGGCCAAAACGGATGAGATTGTGCTGATTGGTGGCAACGATAATGTGACCAACGACGTGACACGCCTTGTTGCACAGCTGCCGCCCTCGATCAGTGCCCTGACTGGAGTCGATCTCTCCAAGGTGCTCTCCAAGATACCCGGCGCCAAGGCGTGAAATCTAATGGAATGGGATGTCCAACAAATGGTAATGACGACGTAACCCCCCCCCCCAAAAAAAAAAAAAAAAAGACAAACAAAAAAGGAATTGCAACTGGAAATGAGATAAATATGAAAATGTGAAGAGGAGACAGGAGAACGAGCGAGTTAACCAAATAAGAACGAGAACAAACGAACGAACGAGAGAGAGCGAGAGAGAGAGAGAGAGAGAGAGCGAACGAGAGAGAGAGAGAGAGAGAGGGAGCGAACGCATTTGTAAGAGCGAGCTGGCGAGTGCAATGTGGTCACTGGACGAGGAATCAATGGAATCGAAAGATAATCTTACCTATATATAGATATATATGTGTACGCATACATATAGCAAAATGTACTCCGATATTATGTGTGACGTGTGAGTCAGTGTCTCAGTGTGTGTGTATGTGTGTGTGTGTGTGTGTGTGTGTTCTTTTGTATGCACCACACCACAGCGAAAGCCTGTTCGGGCAAAGGATTGATCAATCAGATGTATCAATCAGATAAAGCTATTGCTAAGGCTAAATCTAAAGTTATGCATTTCGCACGCATTCGCAAAACGCATTTTGTGGCCTTTTCTCGATTAATAAGAAGTAAATATGAAAAAAATACATATAAAAAAAAAAAAAAAGCAAAAAAAAATCGAAAATACAAATTGGGTTTAAAATTCGTATAACTTGCAGATAATTGATTGTGCAGCTTGTTAGCACATATAAAAAACTATTATACATATATATACATATGTGTATATATCTTAAGACACCCAAACATTTTCTTTTGTATTTTATATATTTGTATCTGTCGTATTATGTGTCATGTTTAGTCCATAAGTTAACCAACAGTCGCACAAAGCCATCCCGAAAATGTTTCATTTTACAATTGCAATTAACAATTGTTGTGACTTGCAACTATTTCGAGTTCTGGAACACTCTGAACACATCGCCAGCCAGCTCATTGTCGATCACCTACTATGTTCAAACTACAGTTACTGCCTGAAGATAAGAACAGCGTCCCACTTTGCCAAATGGAACAACTAGCAGCCAACTGGCACCATTTTACACACACTCAAACACACTTATTTCAGTGCACACTTTACAACTGTGACGTCACAGTCACCGCCGCTCTTCCACACACAGACACACACACACACACACACACAATACTCACACACAAAACATCTCATCCACTCAAACGATATGCGTTCGATGTTTTTTTTTTCATACTATTAATCATTGTGTTTTATATTGTTTAATTTTTGGCAAATTTATTGACTTTTATACATTTTTTATGCGCATAACAAAAATTTTTTTTATTAGTTTTTAGCACAACAAAATTTTTTTAAGCAAAAATTTACTAAACCAAAAAGAAAAAAATGGAAAAACAATCAATTTGTACAACTTAAATTTAGTTAAAGCAATTTTGTAAGTTGACATTGTCCACTAACGCGAGTAATATACCTCCTTATATATGTATGTATGTATGCATAGATCTAACGCAGAGTTTTTTTTTTTTTTTTGTATTTTTTAAATCTATAAGTTTTTGTTGAGCATTGATATTGTTTTCGTCCCCTTTTGGTTTTCTAGTATAATTAGACAAGGCATTAGCAAGTCCTTGAAACATTGTTCGTCGATCTGTGACGCATTAATAAAGTATTTTCGAAAAATGTAAATCTTAGCAGGCTTTGACTTAAATTTGTCGAAATATGTATTTCAATCAAATGTCGATCTGTCTATATGTGGGAATACTTTGTCAATGCCCAATCTCAGATCGAAGTAGATAAAGATTGTAACGAAATCGAATTGCGAATTCATAAATATGTTAAACAGTGCATTTGTCTATTGGGAAACTAGATGAACCGAAGAATCAGAACCGAAAACGCATTTAAAAATAAATCAAAATGACTCGACTACAAACATACATATTTGAAATATAATAAATACAAAGAATATATATTGTATATACATATATATATTATTTTTTTTTATTGTATATTGAGTGCAAGCAACTTAATTTGATATATACATCAAAGAGCAAGAGAATCACTAAATAAATCGAATCTGAAATTTTTTGTGTATTTTGTCGTAAATAAATAAATTTGAAAAAAATGTATTGAAAAAAACCGTGTACTACTGTTGGAAAAGTTGGAAATGGGCAAAAGCATTCATGAATTCTGAACCTGATTTCGTATGCTTAAAGTGTTAATTTTTCATCAAATGGGTTTAAATTTCAACAAATTTGCAGAAGTAAATAAGAAAAATATCCAATCAATCTATTAAAATTATCAAAAATGTTTCAAATTGTTTGGCATTGGCTATATTTGGATATTAACCTAGACATTTAGACATTTTTTTATTTGTTTTTGTTTTCAACAAAAGATTTTGGCACCTTTTTGCCTCAAAATTTGGCTAAATAAGGAGCATACTTTCAGGCTGCAAAACAAAGACTTGCGAAAAGTGGTTTGAGAAATTCGAAAGTTGTTTGCCATAATTATTATGGCCAATTTTGTAGATAGACAATTGCCTTTTTTTTTTAGAAAAAGAACGACGACGAGATTTGGATGTTCACCCGTTGATAATCCTGGTCACAGCCACTCGTCAGTGACTGCAATGATTTGGCCAAGCTATCATCAATTTCTGCTTACAAAATAGTATCAATAATTCACTTAAATTAGCTGGTCCAAAGGACAACCTGATGGACCTGATAAAATTGCCTATTTCTTAATTTATATTTCTTGCGAACTTTATTGACATTCTTAACATTCCTAAATGGCAATCGATAATATCAATGGCAGTACGCTAAAGATATGGCCTGATTGTGGCCTCATAACGTATATCCAATGTAAGAAAAATAGTTCCAACCCGGCCATGTCCACATTTAGGATACTTTTATCTGGAAATATGAATGGCATTTATGGTAAGTCTTGAATAGATTACAGTTTTGTGTTGGTCAATCGATATCTTTATTACAAAACATAAACATACAGGTATATTGATAACGTGTACTCGTATCGTAATATATCATAATAGTTGTGTTATACTAAGTATACAGGTAACTCGCTTACATTATATATATATATATATATATATATATATATATATATATATATATCCATAACAATAAAAAAAAAATACAGTTTTATATATACTTTTCTATAGCCTATAATATATGTATGTGTGTATGTGTATGCCCATGCAACGACTATCTTTGTATATTCTGCTGCAAGTTGGGCATACACACACACACACACACACACACATCTTGGATGCTGTGCACACAAAACTAAGCCACGAGTCTAAATATGCCTACGACACTTAAAAACTTACAAACTATGGACCAATCCAGTGACTATAATGCCTAAGACTATTCGCTACTCGCTACTCTCTACTCGCTAATCGCTAATCGCTATTGTAGTAGCCATCCGGAGGGCCACTCGTCTAAATGCAATGCTCACAAGGCCCGCAAAGAGCTAGTTAGAATTTACACAAAAAAAAAAAAAAAAAATTACAATTTAAAGATGAAAAAAAGTATATCCGGAATTACGTGTATAATTATTGATTAAAGACAAGTTTTTGTTCTTTTCTTTTTCTTTTTTTTTGGGTGGGGAAAGTTTTGGCTGTCTCAGTCCGAATACTTCTCTTTGAGATCCTTGCGCAGAATTTTGCCTGTCGGATTCTTGGGCACCTCATCGACAAAGATGACGCCGCCTTCGAGCTTCTTGTAGTGCGCCACACGCTCGGCCACATATTCGGCAATCTCTTCGGCCGTTGCCGTCTCGTTCTCGCGCAGGACGACAATGGCGCGCGGCGCCTCGCCGTTCAGCTCATGTGGAATGCCAAAGACGGCCGCCTCAAGGATCTTGGGATGATCGCGCAGCACAGCCTCTAGCTCAGCGGGCGGCACTTGGAAGCCCTTGACCTTGATCAGCTCCTTCATGCGATCCGTTATGTAAAAGTAGCCATCCTCATCGAAGAACGCCACATCGCCGGTACGCAGCCAGTTGCCCGGATAGAAGGTAACATCGTTGGCCTCCTTATTGTTGAGATAGCCGGACATCACCTGGGGCCCCCGCACGCACAGCTCGCCGGTGGTGCGAGCACCCACTCCCTTTCTATCGGTAGCATCGATTGGCACAATTTTCGCCTCGGTGCTGCCCGGCAATACGCCCGTAGACGCCAAACGTGTGTTGCCAATGGGCGTCATCAACACAACCGGTGATGCCTCCGTCATGCCGTAGCCCTGCATGAAACGCACGTTGGGGAATCTGTTTGCGAAACAAAGCAGACATCGATTTCAGTTCAATTTGATCCAACTTTCATTCCAACAACTAATGTCCACTGATAATGGGCAATTGGCATATGATTTCTTTTGAATTGAATTTCAAAATCTCCAAAGTTACTAGAACCCTTATAATTCACTGATTCAATATGGATCTACAAGGTGCATCAGCACATAACATCGAATCTACACAAAATCTGTTCTGTGAATACTACTTACAGCTTACACACTTATCATAATCGATAATTTGTTAATTTTATTAACAAACCTAACATCTCTGTCCGATCTTCTAGCTAATAACTAAACTATTAAGTGCTAAAATTGATAATACAAAAATTATTAGTCGTGTTTGATTTGCAGCTCAAATGAGAAGTACAAGCAATTGTCTAGCGCTTGCTATCCATACATATAATACAAACTGTCCATAACCCAACCCATGTGGGAAAATGATTCTTGTTCCTCAATATGTGTGGAGAGTGCCACGTCTAATTGGTCTATTCCAAATTTAGTCAAGAGGTTAACTGGAGGAGGTTTTACTCACTTCTTTAGGAAGCGTTCGACGTCATGCTGGCCAATTGGTGCAGCGCCGGACATGACGACGCGCAGCGATTTCGCCGTTTCCTGCGTCAGCTTCGGATGGTTGATCATAAATAGTGCTGCAGAACATATCGAGAAAGAGATAGAGATAGGGAGAGAGAGACAGTGAGAGAGAGAGAGAAGAAAAATGCTTGATAAGTGTTAATCGAGGAGTGTCGATGATGGTATCAATTTACTCACCGATGGGAGGCACCAGATTGAGAACACTGCCATTGTACGTATCCAGGGACTTGATAAAATCATCGGGCTTGAACGCTGGCATCGTCGCGATGCGGGCGCCCTGTCCCAGTTTGGACAGCATGATGACGGTGAGACCGTAGATGTGAAAGAAGGGCAGAACCGCTGGCAGCGTATCCTGGCGATCCAGCGAATTGATGGGCAACGCTTCCTGAATCTGTTCACAGTTAGAGCTCACATTGTTGTGGGTGAGAACAACGCCCTTGGGCAGACCCGTCGTGCCCGATGAGAAGGGCAGAAAGACCATATCATCGGCGGTGGTATCCTTGGGCGTGCGTAGCTCATCGTAACGCACATTCTCGGTGCTCATCACCTCGAAGAAATCAATGGCACCCGCCGGCAGTGCCTCATCCATTGTGCTGCGCACCACAGCGATGGGCATCTGCTTGCCGGCCAAGTTGCATGCCTCAAGCAGCGTCTGATACCGCTGGGCACTGCCCACCAAGAACTTGGCATTGCTGAATGTCAGCTGGCGCGCAATCTCATCTGAAATACAAATTTCACTTTGATTACCATACAATTTCTAAAGTCTACAAAGTCTACAGAATGTAAACGATGTACAATCAACATTCGTAAAGTATGTTGCGAATGTTACAAATTCATTAAAACCAAAGGCTATCTTTAATTGTAAATTCAACTTGGATTACGGATTACGTTCGTCTATAACGTGATAAGCGTGCTTGTTATATATGTGATAAGAACTGATTAGGCACAATTAAATGCTTAATTGTGTCAACTAATCCAAAGTTCAAGGGGAGAAACTCACCTGGCGTATAGATGGGATTGATTGTGGTCACTGTCAGACCAGCCTCGATGGCACCCAGGGCTGCAATCGGATACTCTGGCATATTTGGCAGGCAAACGGCCAGAACGTCGGGCTTGAACATCTTGAACTTGGTCTGCAGACGGACAGCAAACGCGGCACTCGCATCTCGCATCTGGGCGAACGTATATTGACGGTCCGTTATGACGCACACCTGCAACACATACAAAATACACCGATCGATAAGAAATGACATCAAATTGGATCTTGTAAATTTCACAATAAATTGAAGAGAAACAAAAACCATTTCAATCGAATCTTAATGGATTTTTTATGTTAGAAGCATAATAAAAAGCAGACTGTTTATATTTTGAGTTGAATAATTAATTAAACAACTATTCTTTCGGCAGATCAATCAATCCTATGGGAGCTTTAGGATATATCATTCCGATTTTATATGATTCTATATGATATAGTAATCTAATCTCAATGATTTTTGGTACAAATGGGCGAAGCATATCGGGTAAGTTTGATTAGAATAAGTTGTTAAACAAACAATCTGTATTTAACTTCAATCATATTTCAATAGATTATTCGAAGAGCAGCTATACAATATAATTATCTGGCTCGACTGGGTACATATATACATATATACATATATCTAAGGTTTCATAAAGATAACTTCCAAACTGCGTATTAGACAATTTTTATTTAATTTTAAATATACTTTTTTTTTTGATTAGATACGGTATATCTAGATGAATGCCTTTTAAAGATAATAGAAGCGACTTAGTTACCTAATTATATGTACATCTATTTGATAAGATCAAAATAGGTATGTATATATATATATATATATATATAGAATTTCACAAGTACTGATTACCTTAAATTCCCAAACATTATTTTAGCTTTACTAATTAAAATAGAAGCTTTTTAAATATTCTGCTAGACGTAACCGGATTACCTCATTCATAAAAAAGAAGACTGAACTAGATATGGGAGATTAATATTGCATACTTTTGCAGCTGTGTAAAATGAATAAAATTGTGTATATTCTACAAACAAATAAATGCGTTTATTAATCCTAAATAAACAAATATTGTAAACTGAGACACCGATAAGGAGAAAAGTCTTGAAAGTCTGATAATTCTCTCAAGATCTCAATGTTTTATTCATTTTGAGGACTCCCTAAAGTATGTAAACAGAACAAAACTGGGAAACTAATTTTCGAAGAGCTTCAACATGTTTTTTGTAATCATAGGTCATGGTCAAAAGCATATATTTCGGCTATATTGGATTACATGACTTACTATATATAGATATGTATATATAAAGGGAAGATTTCATAAATAAATAATGAGCTGCTTTAACTTTTTTGTACTTTGCTAATGAAAACAAATGACAAGTTTTCCGCGATAATCAATGAAAATGCGTGTAATACGATATTGGCGAGGAAGTGGAGAGCGTTGACCCCAAATGCTACAGCCAAGTAACGATATTGTTGTTATTGTTGTTGGCCAAGTTGAAGGCCATTGCGATTGGCCCTCGAAGTGGGGGTTAGACATACGTCAGAGCTAAGGGGGGCGGGGGCAATCCAATAAATATACTACGCTATTTGTATTTGCGCAGTTCAAATTGGCATTAATATGAGATCTCGAATTATAAATAAAATCAGATACACAAACACATATATTGTAAGATACAGAGGAAAACAAGCGAAAAAACTTGTTCAACTTGTTGAATTAAAAAAAAAAATCTAGTAAATTATACAAACACACAAAAAAAAAACTGAATAAATACATAAATGAGAGAAATACCAATTCAAAAAAAAAAAAAAAAGCCGCATTTGACACGTTTGTTGCGTTCCACTCGAGCCGCGCTGCCGGCCACTGATCAAAGTTCAGTGGGGCAAAGTACAAAGTCTGCAAAGTGATTGAAACGGGAGAGCCAGAGAGAGCCACACAGAGACATACTGCAAATTGAATTGCTCTCTTGCTCTCACTCTCTCTTGCTCTCTTTGTGCATATATGCTTGCTTGTGGCTGTGTGTATGTGTATGTGTGTGTCTTGTCTCTTTATGTTCTTGTGTGCGACGTTTGTTGACTTTTTCGTTAACCAAACTGCTCCAACACCGCAGAGCAACAAAATTGACGAGAGCGAGCCCCCGTCGTCGTTGTCGTCCCCTCCTTCCACACACCAGCAGACAACCATGTCCGAGGCCAGGCCCACGAAACAACAAAAATAGCATAAGCAAAGCGATCAAGCAAACCAAACAAAAACAAAAAGAGAGAAAAAAATGAGATGATTGGCCGACACTCGAAAATGGACAAAGGCGAAAGCAAAACAATCACAATTATTTATCTGCATATGTGTGTGTGTGCGTGTGTGTGTGTGTAAACATAAATGAATATATGATATGATGGCCTTTATCTACAATACAGATAATATTTGGCAATTAAAATCATATTATAATGACTCGGTTGACTGAGCAGCAACTGATAACGACTTAATTGATACTCTTCAAAATTCAAGCTAAGCACTCCAACTAATACTAACTAATTTACTCTATGCCACGCCTCTCCCCCCCCCCCCCCCCCACGACTAGATGACTAGAAAATACCCTGTAATGGATTAGCGATGCAAAATGTTCGTTAAGCGTGGTAAGTTGGCTGTTTTGACGCAAACGAATGTGCTAAATTGATAAGCAGGCAGCAAAAACCAAAAAAAAAAAATAAAATAAAATAGAATAATAAAAAAAAGATTTAGTACACATCATAATTTTAGACTTTGAATAGACGAGTACTATCTCTGAATAACCAACCAAAAACATTGTCGATTGTAAAACCGAATCAGCTTATGTATATATTTAACTCGGTATTATAGTCAAGCATTTCGTATAATTCACTCAGAAATATTGCTGATAACTTTGTCATAAAAACCACACACATAAATATATATATATATGTATGTAAATATATTATATGTAGGGGAATATACTTTGGTATTCACATAGTCTGCAGTGTAAAACAATTTTATGTAGTTGAATCCAAATGATAGCCACATGAAATTCGAATAGTTACAAGTCCCATGGCATCAGTGCAAACTGAATATATATATATATATATATACATATATATATTATACACTATATTTATACATGTATATTAGCACATGTCGCACTTTGCACCTGCATCGACATCCACACAAACAGTTCAGTCAAGTCAATATAACAAAAGTATACAGTTTCGCAATTAATTGCATTTAATTGCACTTAATAATAGGAGACTGGAGAATAGAGAATATGACAGCCCTCTGATTGCTATATTAGAACGATTAGATGGGGCAGAAACAATACAACAATACAACAAACAATATGGCAAAGCAACCCTTGACTAGGCTAATAAATTTCAATGAATAATATTTGCATGCTAATTTTTGTTCCAGCGAAAAGTGAAATTTAAACAATTTATTAGTGTCGGTATTGTTATTGTTGCACTCTACGCTTATAGGGTATTTAATTGCTTAGGTTAGGGGGTGGGTTGAGTGGTTGGGGGGCAGAGCTGCTTATGCAAGTGCAAAGTTTTCATGATGACGATGACTGCAGCGCCCCACGCGTCTATTTATAGAACTTTTGGTGAGCTTTTTCTTTCACTCGCTCTCTCTCTCTCTCTCGCACTTAAAATCTTTTCTGTGCCTTCCATGTCGAAATGCTTTGCATTTTTGATTTTGATTTTTTGGATTTTTTTTATTATTAAATATTTCTATTTGCATTTAGATTTGTATTTGTATTCATTTCACCATCCACTCTGCCATACTCCATTCGGCACATTGCTCTTCTTATCAGACTCGTAAAGCAATTTGATGCCAACGTTCACTCGACTTGAACTTGCTGCAATTGTCGCAAGGGCCCCTAGCAAAACATTGTCGAATTTTGAATACCTTTCCATAACAGTTGACTATAGAATTATAACGTGAATATTTCGTAATCAGGTGAAATATTCACAATCAAATATCAACTGTTATTCGCAAAGAATATACATTTTCAATTTATCAGTGGTAAGTAGCTGTATGTACAACTAACGATATTGATCTTGAATTATCTACAAAGGTATTTACTATTCATATTTCATACCGCTCTTATCAGACATTCGATAAGTTCACCAGTCTACATACAAGTGACCCAATTTTTTAAAAGACGCAACTGGTCTAGCTTATCGATACAATTCAGCCATCAAAAATTCCACACTAGCACTCGTGATTTAATTCCCACTCTCACTCACATAAATGCATGAGTGTGTCGATGTGTGTATTTATGCACATTTTATAGGGTAGAAAGAAGGTCAGTGCACATTTGCGAAAAGTGGCCGTCGCACACATACGCACACACATACACACGCACATACGTATATTGGCATAGGTTCAGGTTCAATAAACTGCCATAAGCAAACAAAATATTTACACACACACAGACACACATACATACAAACACACTTGCATACATACTTGCATACATGTGTATGCATACTCACTCGGCAGAAGACGCGATAAGCCGCTAGACGTTGTCACTTTGAAGGTGGATGTGTCTGTGTGTGTGTGGGGGGAGGGGGAGATTTCGTTTGATTTATTGAGTGGGAGCAAGTTCCACAGGATTTCCAGAAACTGCTTTCGATTGCAACGATACAACTGAATGCACATATACATATACATATACATATACATATGCATATGCATATACATATACATATACATATACATATACATATACATATACATATACATATACATATACATATACATATACATATACATATACATATACATATACATATACATATACATATACATATACATATACATATACATATACATATACATATACATATACATATACATATACATATACATATACATATACATATACATATACATATACATATACATATACGCCTACTTATTGTACTAATATATTAATAATAATATATTAATAATAATTCATACAAAATATTTCAACAATTTTTTTCTTTTATTTTAGATTACCCAAAATATAAACATCTTTAGAGTTATAATCTCCTATCAATCAGTCAAGTTATATATTGCATATATATTTTTTTTGTTTTTTAAGCACTCACCGCTGCCGTGTTGTTCTCCCACTTCTTGAAGTCGCGCCAGACGTACTCGTGCAGTGGCAAATTCGGCACTTGGATGGAATCGTAGGGCGATGTTTTGTAAAAGCCATCGTCGGCGTTGTAATGCAGAAACTTGTCTCTGTCATTGATGCTTTGAGCACGCTCAGCGTTCGCCGTGTTGTGCTGACGCCGATTCGTTGTTATGCTGCGAACGGTTGCACCTCCAAATGCGTTGGCAACGCTGCGCAGGCGCAGCATTTGTGCAGCGGCAGCAACTGGATACATTTTATTCATTGACTAAAGACAATCACACACTCTCTCTCTTTCTCTCACTCGTGATTAGGAATTGGAATTAGCAAGAGTTGTTTTATTTCTTTGCTGAATGCTTTCAATGCTAACTTTTGTTGGCTGGCTGGCGCACACGTCTGTTGCTTTGGAGTGGTGAGGCACGACTGCCAGTTGGCGTCGCAGCGCAAACGTTGCCGGCTCACCAAACACACCGATCGCGTGCGTTGGCGTTGGCTGTTGTAGTTGTTGTTGTCGCTTCTCCCTCTCTTCTCTGTTCGTTTTTGTTCGCCTACGCGTTGATATTGTTGTTGTATATATTCTCAGCGTATGTGGTTGCTCTTGTGGTCTCTCGCTCTCTTCTGTCCAATGACGCTTACGCTCTCGCCAGGCACATCTGTAACTGTAAATTATATGTAAGTGATGCAATTGTATGTTTATATTTATCTTAGCATCTGCATCATGTGTGTGTGTGTTTGTGTAAGTGTGTGAATTTATACTCAATATTCATGCACAAACACATGCACGTGCATCGACTTCGTTGCAGTCGACATTCAGCGATTGATAAAACTGCGACCTTTGGGATTTTCGTTCTGAACACACACACACATTCGTTTTAATCTATACACTTTAAATGCATTTGTTGTACGACAATTGTAATACTCTGTAATTCGGTGAACAGCATAAGAAAGCTCTTAAGTCCTTTTGTAAACTATGGTAATTAAAAACTATCTTATCGCAATAATCATTTCCAGCGCAATAAATCATTTCCAGCTTTTTTCCAGTTTTTTTCTTCAACTTTTTTTTGTTATTGTTTTGGCACTTATAAATATACATTTGTAGATGAAGGCTGTGGATAATATTATTCTGTGATAACTCCAAAGCTCTGCGAATTGCTAACACTTTTTTTTAAAAATACTTTTTTTTCTATTTTTACTACAAATTTGCTATATTTAGTTTCGAGCATGGGCTTTTTTTATTAATGAAAACACCAAAATAATGTAATTTGTCTTCCAATGGAATATCTGCTATTCGTTGGAACCCATAACCAACTGACATTAATCAGTGTTTGCAATCCTAGAAATAAAACAACAAGAAGAAGAGACAGGCAAGTGACCTGTCACAATCGGAAGCTTTGAGCGTGTCTTTGAGTAACAAACATATGCATACACATGTATAACTGTAAATACATTTTGTTTTTTTTTATTTGATTGTATAAAGAAAAAAAAATTCTGTTTGCCAGACACATTAACCGCCCATTTCGGACATATGTGCATGACATGTGTATGGCTTATCATTAATTACCTTTACATAAAAATTATTGTAAAAATTACATCTATTATCGTAGCACACACACACACACACACATATATATTTAAGTATATATATATATTTAAGTATATATTTAAGTATATATATATATATATATATATATATATATATAGAAATATATATATATGATTATAAGTATGTACGTCGAAAGTTGAAAAGAAAACAGCTACAATCAGCAACTGATACTTGGATTATGGGCGCAAAGTCCTAAGTGAAAAAAACCCAAATGGATCGTGGATTTTATCAACAACATTTAAATGCCAGTTGTGTGTGTATGTGTGTGTGTGTGTATACTTTATTCTTGTATTGTAGCTCAAGGCCAGTTTTTCGACCCACACACATACACATGCATTCCAATCGTTCGTTTTGCATTCGGTTTGTTTTGCTTTTGCTGTTTGTCTTTTGCTCTTCTTTGGAGTTTCAATGCAGATCTTGTTTCAATGCACTTTTTCGAAATGAGCTTTTGGACATTGTGTTCAGCTTTGCCACAATGCTATCAGAGAACTATTATACATTTCTGTATAGTCAAAAATATCAATAAAAAAGTTGAACATGTAAACTAAATAACAATAATAATCATAATAATAGATAAAGAAAAGGTTTACAAAAAAAAAAATGCAAAATGCCTATTCTCCTTACGGGTAGCTTTTATTTCGAAGCAAAGAATGTAAACCGCTATGTCCACATATGTATAAATTGATAAAGGGATTTTTTATTTGTCCGTGACGTCTATCGAAAAATCTTTTTGATAAGAAATATTTATTTATACATTCGTAAATTTATATGACTCAATGCTGAACATTAGTATTTATAAAAAAAAAGGAAAATAGATAAAGAAGAGAAAGCTACGTATATGACGAATAAATGAGTGTGAAACATTTTATTATTTAGTTATTTATGTACTTATGTACTTAACAGTCCAAAGGGGCAAAAATGTTTTCAAATTTACTGAAATTGAATTAAATTTATGGCGCATTGAATTTGATTACTAATGTGCTAGTACAAATGAAAGTTAATATAATGTTTGAGCAATTCGCAGATTTGTGGAATAATCTCGTTCATGAAAAATAAACAGAAACACAGAAAGCAAGCCGAACAGGATCTTTTAGGGTTCAACTCGATAATAATTGCAGTTCAGTTCAGTGGACTGAGTGCTCAGCATGTGCTCTTAAGCACAAATTCTCTCACTCTCTGGAACATATATTCATTTTTTTTTTTTTTTTTTTGGTGAGTTCGCGTTGTTGCATTGCCATTGGCCGTTGTTTACTTTCTTGTTGCGCTCAAAGTGTCTGGTGAACTTTGGACTCAGCATCGACGCCACCGTCGCCGTCTTCGTTAAATTTGTTAAGTGTCTCCCGCTTTCAAAGCGTCGCAGTCACAGTCACAGCAGCAGCAGCAGCCACACAAAAATACGTAAATAGTTATGCCAAGCAAACCAGTTTAACATATGTGTGTTGTTGTTGTTGTTGTTGTTTTGCACTGGTTAGGTTTTATTTTGTGCTTTACCTGTGGACTGCAACTTGTTCACTGCGCATTCGTGCTTTATTTTTAACTTTTACTTTTATTGGATTGGTTGCTGCTCCCCTTAACCTTAAGTGTTGAGTTGTCGATCAATTAGTGTTGAGTACTAATCAATTGTAATTTACAAAGTATCACTTGGTGTTTTGTATATATATACATATGTATAAGCTAATAATAGCCGGAGGTTTTTCTTATCACGTTAATCGTTAATCGATAAAAGATAATCGCTTTACGGCCGTAAGATGCGTGCCTGCGTTTTGGGCAGCGTGCGACTGTCAACTGCTGCGTCTTCACGTTTACATTTATGCGTAGTTTGGGGTTAGTCTGTTTTTGTGCGCGTTTTGCCTGGAATTGTGGTTGGGGTTGGGGTAAGGGTAGGTATTTGTTTTACAGTGGACTGTGCAACCCCATAAGGCCCTTAAAACCCAAACCGCTCAAGACGTACGCAGGCGCCAGATTTGGGAAACAAGCGACAGGTGGAGCTGAGTGAAAAGCTTGCCAAAGCTCTAGCGGGTTTGTGAGCTGAGCAAAGCTCAAACATTTTCTCGTATTGCAAAAGCCGGACTTGTGCTTGAGCTTGAGTTAGAGCTTTTCTGCGTTCAGCTGTTCAGCTGCCATAAGTCTACATTGAAAGAGTGAAAGCCATCTCGAGAGAGAGAGAGAGAGAGAGAGAGAGAAAGAGAGAGAAAGAGAGAGAAAGGGAGAGAGAGCGAGTGAGTGCTCGACGCCGCTTGAGTTCGTATCGAGCTCGTAGTCTACTTTTAGGTGCGTAGCCGCGCGCAACATACACAACGACTGGGCGCCTCCAGCGAAGCGTTGCCCAAAAAAAGCATAACTTGTGTGCCGTGCCACTAATTCTTGGTTTTCTTTATTTTTTTTGTAAATTTTTTTTACAATAAATACATATTTATAAAATCAAGAAAAACATAAGAGAAAAATACCAAACAAATTAACGAAAGCCATCGATAAACAAAGAAAAAAGTGTAGCACAGAACGCGGCGCGTGGGAGAAATGGGACTCGAAGCTTGCAACCTGGGCCGCAAGTCGAAGTCCTAGTCTAAAAGTCGGCAATTGTTGCATATAGCGAAGCGTTTGCCCAATTCCCGTTACATGTCTAATTCCTCTCTCCTCTGTGGTTGTTTTTTTTTTTTTCTGTGGCAACTATACTACGTACACACATGTTCACAAATATATATATATACTTACATATCTACGTATGTATTAATATCTATGTCTATTTTTTTTACTTCCCCTCTACTTTAAAAAAAAAACAACAACAACAATGTGCAGTGCACAAAAAAGTGAAGTGATTAAAAGTAATCAAAATTAATAAATAAAAAAAGGAAAAATAAAGCATCGGCAGCAAAACACCGAGAACACAACAAAAAAATAAGTAAAGAAGCAAAGCAAAGGAGCTCGAGAAAAAAAAAACGGAATACATTATTATTATCCGCATAAAAGCAATCAAAAAAGTAACAGCAACAAAAGGTAATCACTAAAGAGCCATTGCCGCCAACTTCCCACCTCCCCCCTCCACCACATTCCTCTCTCGCTCTCTCTCTGTCTCCCTGTCTCTGTCTGGTGCTTACACTTTCGCGTGTACTTCATGTATTGTGTAATGAAGTTGAGTTTGCCTGCTGTTTCAGCTTCTTCTTCAGAAATTTTTTTTTTTTTTTTTGAGGACGCCGACGTCGTCAACGACGCCAAACGGAATGTGCGAAAGTTAGACACACGCGTCTACATGTGTGTATGTGGGTGGTGGTGGGAGGGTTTACGCACTTAACGAAAGAGAGAGCGACATAAACACACTTGTAATTGCTGTCTTGGAGAGTTGTTGTTGTTGTTGTGTTTACTGCTGCTGAGAGCGTTGCTATGCAGAATGTTCGAACAGCAACAAAGCAAAAACTTTGACTATTTGATGTGTTTGTTGTTTTTGTTGGGAGCCGAAATGTGTGTCAGTTGTTGTTAAGGCACTAACACAATGTCAATTTCAACACACCCCCCCCCCCCCCTACGTTGCTCTTTTCACAAAAGAAAAACAAGAAGCAGGACAACAATTGGTCGCCTCTTTTTCAAGTGCAGCCTAAAAGTGTGCAGCAGAAAAAAAACTAAGAAGAGAGCACAATGCTCTGCTGCGGTTGCATAAGTGTCATCCTCACACACACACACACACACACACACACACAGAACGCGTACAGTTTGAGAGGAACTGTTATTGTTGGTGTACGAAACGCGCCAATGCTTAAAGTTACGGAAGGGTTAACAGCAACAACAACAACAATGAACAGAGTATGATGAAGAGAAGAAGAAGAAGCTGAGCTGCCAGGCAAATAAAGACAGCGACGTTGACGCTGAAGCTGAAGATGAAGCTGACAGCGCTGCCAGCCTGACTGGGCGAAATACAACGTCACATAAATACAGCCAGCTCGTTAGCATGTGTGTGTGTGTCTGTGTGTGCGGTTGGCGAAATGAGGGAATAATAAAACAGGAAACTTCAACAGAAAACAGAAAACTACTTAAATATTTAAACCAATTGCGCAAAAAGTGGAGAAAGTGTCACAAACACACTGACAAAATCAAATAATAAAATAAGAGAAAAACAAAGAGTAGAAGCCAAATGACAGGCGAATCTATTGGCGTGTGTACAACAACAATAACAGCAAACAAACATTGGAGGCGGAGTTGGATGTGTGTTGGTTGTCTTCTTTTTCTGCTCTTTTTGCTGTTAACGAATAAAATAAATGAAATACACAAAAAACTCTGACAGCAGCGACATTGTTGTTGTTCTTGTTGGTATCTTTTTTAGCATACATTTTTTATGTAGTCTGCTTGTGGGCCGCAATGCAAAAATTTCCACGTTTTTTGTTCGTCATTTTTTGCATTTATATGCTCCGTACAAGTGTGTTCGGCAGGCTATATTTTGTGAGCCAAGAAAGGCATTTATATGGTAATAATTTATGGTGTTTTAAATAGCTTCAGCAGTCTTACGCAAATTTAATAAATATCCATTTTTTAAGATCTGTGTGTACCAAATAATAATAGATATAACTCAATTTCCTTATAATAATAAATACCCAAATTGATCACAAATAGCACTATTTTCAAAATGCTACCAAAAAAAATATCGATCAAAATTTTACTCAATTAAATATACTTTATTTTTTCAGAAACATTTTATTTTATTTTTATTTTTTTTTCTTATGTGATTTGTCTTTTGATCGATTGCTTTGCATATTTAAACAAATTACAGAATTTGAGACTTGGACACGTTTTTAGATTTTATTTTATTTTATTTAATTTTTTATTTTTATGATGCTATTATGAACAATTCTTCCTCCTTTCCTCGCCAGCCTTATTCTGAGATAAAAACATTGAATTGAGATGCTGACTTGAGGAAGCTTAAATGAATAAGCAGGGTATTACCCAGTGAAGTCCAATCGCAATTTACTTAATTTCTCTGCATATTTAATATGACAAATCGTTAATGTGATTTGTGTGCGTGTGTGTGTGTGTGTGTGTGTGCGTGTGTGTTGGCGACAGTTGTTGTGGCTAATGAAGTGTAGACCACGCTTACTGCTTGACTAACTCGACTAGATCCTAAGCTCTCTCTCTCTCTCTCTCTCGCTCTCGCTCTCTTTGTAATTCTCACTCTCTCTTTGGAGAGACTCTGTGTGAAACATGTTTATTTATTGTTGCATAACAAGCAAAGTCAAATCAAAAGTCCATGCGTAGACCCATCACATTTGCACTCGTAGTCGAGTCAAAAAGCAAAGCCAATCAATCAGTTTGGTCCCAGATTTCTTGGGCTTGGGGCAGGCAGCAGCTGCATGGCTACAGGCTGCCTGTGCAGTGGGAAGGGGGCGGGGTTGGGTGTAGATGAAAGGGGAAGTCTCTGTGAAATTCGCTTGTGCATTCATCTATGATGACTGCGAGAAATGTACAGAATTGAGTTACAACTTGCCACATAAGCACACACACAGTGACAAAAAAGGAGGTGGGTGGTGGGCAGGGGGGCTGGAGGGTAGATTCGGGTAATTTTCGGTTGAATGTGAAAAGAGTGTAAATCCACACATTGCCCTAATTAAATAGATTTAACGAGCTCTGCCAATGACTCTTAGTAAGTTAGACAGTTGCGAGCTCAGTTTGAGCAGCACTGCGGTTTCTTGTTGCTGCTTCAAAGTCATTTAACATGTTTCATTAGACATAAATGTATATTTTTAATAAATGTAGAATCGATCAATATTATATATTATAATATGCAACAATTCAATATTAATATTATTATTTTATTATCATTGTTAATGTTATTGCAATTGTTTTGCATAAAAATATTATTATTTATCTTCTTTTTTTTCTTTGTGCACTCGAATTAAATATGTTAATAAAATAAAATGAATTTCACAGATATTCGCAGAGCAGAATATTTATGGACAACTGTCCGTGCTTCAATTTCATTTAAAAATTTCTCACGTGCACAAACAATTTTAATGCAATTTCTCCGAAAGTGAATTTATTAAAACTGTGCAAAACAAAATTGTAAATATTATATGTGCACATACACATACACATACATATATATATATATATATATATATATATATATAGATACATGTTTATATTTGAACTGAGCGCAGTTAAGCCAAAGCCAAAGCGAAAGCCAAAGCTGAAACTGAAGCTGAAAAAAGGCATTTATGAATTTTGTACAATATCTGTTCGTATGCATAAATTGAGTTAAGCTTCAAATGATTGAGGTTTATTTTAAACTGCACAAGTCGAACAACAACAACCAATTTGTGGCCAAATAGGCATAATGAAATTGACCAAACGAGTAATATATATATAAGGCATAAATATTCTCGATTTAATGCACAGCCTTCAAATTTCGAAGAGAAACTAGAAACACAAACTATGGCAAAATCTGCTCATAAATTAATATTTAACTATCTAAAATTATGAGATACACATTTGCTATTGGCAATGCATCTAGACTCATTATCCCATCATTAGATTTGCTTTGGAGAACTTTAATTGTTAATTAT